ACAGCTCGCTTTTGGCTTTGCACTTCTCGCAACCGCCGCAGGGGAGTTCAGCGAGTATGGTCGTTCCGTCGTAGCACGGACAATCGTCAGGGTCACATGGCACCCTAGAGAGGGCATCTGCGTTGCCATGTTTCCTCCCTGGTCGATGTTCGATTTTGAAGTCGAACTGAGACAAGATTTGAAGCCATCTTGCCATCTGATCGACAGGCTCACGAAAAGACATGACCCATCGAAGAGCGCTGTGGTCAGTTCTGATGAGGAACTGTTTGCCCAGTAGGTAGTGTCGGAAGTACTGAAGGAAGGTGACAATTGCGAGGAGTTCTCTCCTCGTAGTGCAGTAGCGACGCTGCGGCTTTGTCATCGACCGACTAGCATATGCTATCGGCCGTTCTTCCTCCCTCTGGGTCCGATCACACCACTGGAGTTGCGATAGAGTGGCTCCGATGCCACTATCTGAAGCATCGGTATCAATGATGAATAACCCATCATCATTGGGATATGACATGACTTCGTTGCCGGTGAGGGCGGCCTTTAATTTCTCAAAAGCCGCTTGACAGTCATGAGTCCACTTAAACGTCTGTCCGGCCTCTAACAGACGATGTAAGGGGCTGGCTATCGTGGCGAATTGGGCTATGAACCTACGGTAGTAAGAACATAGTCCCAGGAAAGAGCGTACTTCAGTTATGTTCTTGGGGGTGGGCCAGTTCTGCACAGCAGAAACTTTACTAGGGTCTGGTTTGACACCATCTGGTGTGATGATGTGACCGAGGAACAGAACTTCCGTCTGGAAGAGTTCACACTTGCTCGGTTTCAGCTTCAGTCCAGCGTTTCCTAGTCGGCGTAGGACTTCACCAAGACGCTCAATATGCTCGGAAAATGTTGATGACAGGATGATGATATCGTCTAGATATATCAGCAGAGTTCGCCATTGCAAACCTTTGAGTACTAGCTCCATACAGCGCTCAAAGGTACTGGGTGCGTTGCATAACCCAAAAGGCATGGTCACGTACTCGTACAGTCCACTTCGGGTTACGAACGCGGTTTTGGGACGGTCTTCCTTCTTCACTTCAATCTGCCAGTAGCCCGACTGCAGATCGAGGGTGCTGAAGATTTTTGCCCCACTCAGGCAATCTAGGCAGTCATCAACACGGGGTAGGGGATACGCGTCACGGCGCGTAACATCGTTCAGCTTACGATAGTCGACACACGGACGAGTTGTGCCGTCCTTTTTCCTAACAAAAACCATTGGTGATGCCCAGGGGGATGTTGACTCGCGGATCACACCCGCCTTGAGTTGGCTCTCGAGAACTTTCTCCTCCTCGCCCTGAAATGCCTTGGGGGGACGGCGGGGAGGCTGTCGTATGGGGCGTGCGTCGCCGGTGTCAATAGTGTGCTGCACTATTGACGTTTTTCCCAAATCCTCCGCGGATTTGGCAAAAGTGTTCTCGTGGCTGGCCAAAAGTTCACACAATGCTTTCTGCTGGTGTGGGGACAGGTTTTCACAACTCCTCTCGTACAGTTTCTGTAGGTTTTCTGACCACTTGTCAGAAGGATTTGGGGTGTCGGAGACGGCGGGACTGACTGGGTTGACTGCGTATGACATTGGACGGGCATGCTCTCTGCACACACACATTACTCGATAGAGGTGATCGGTTTCACAGTTTTCCTGCTCGGCTATGAGTTCAACCGCATCAACTTCATGCAGATATCCAAGCGTTGTACCTGCCTGAAGTTCAATGTTCTCGGGTGAAGTGTTCACAAGTCGGACAGGTATGCCGATGTCTTCTCGGCGGGGATCAATGAGTGAACTGCCAACCACAACATTGTGACGAAGGTTGGCAGGTTCAACGACTGCATACATGGAACTCAGTTTGTGATGATCAGCTATGCCCTCTGCTACCCACTCGCTGCATGCTGGAATTGTAGTGTTCTGCTTCAGTGCAATCTTAACTACACGGGGAGGGGCTCCTTGGACTGTCCACTGAACCCAGTTACCAGCAATTCGTATGCCGTTGCGTGCCTCCAATATGCAATCATAGTGGTATAGAAAGTCATAGCCAAGGATTCCTTGATCGCTGATGGGGGCGACAAATGCATCCCAATGGAAGTGCTGTTCATCAATCATCATGTCGATTGTGGCAACACCTTCAATGTCAATGAGTTCCTTGTTTGCAGTTTCTAGTTTTGTGCTTTTGCACGGGGGTTTGAGTTCAGGGCGTTTTTCAGCAGGGATCTGGCTGAAAAGTGCTGAAGAAATGATGGTCACCGCCGCTCCGGTGTCGACTAAAAGTTCGCTGTCTTGGTCGCATATCTGCACTCGCAAAAATGCAGACATGCCTTGAAATTGCTGTCTACCCATTCGGATAGTGTTCTGTTCATTGGGACGGACCGGTGCCAGGCCGGACGGCACGGTCCGCGTTAGTTTTCCGTCTGTATGACGACGACCTCCTTGGCCGCTATGTCGGGGCACTTGTTTGCAAAGTGGCCGGGCTTGCCACATTTGAAACAAGTAACATCCATCTGCTGTTTCTTGGCTTCAGCAGGCTTGGCGGATTTCTGCTTGTAGGCGGGCTTATCTTTGATCAGTTTGACAATTCCGTTTAACCGTCGGTCGAGGTTGTCTTGGAACTGTTTAAACTGCTTTTGGTTGACGAACCCGGGATCAGCCTCAGATGCTGCCTGTACGGTGTTCACACGATGTGATTTTCCCGAGCTTGTGGTGTCACGGAGGCTCAGGAAGTTTTCCACCGCCGTTGTTGCCTCCTCGAGGGACTGGGGATTCGTCATGCCAACGGAAACTGCCATCTGTTGGTCGGGGAGGCCCTTCAGAAAATGGCGAAGGGCGATGCTCTCTCTGGTAACTGGATCTGCCGTAGGGTAGCCACGGAAGACGAGGCGGCGAATGTCGGCTACAAACTCCGCCAGCTTCTCCTTCGGCTGATGTCTCCTCGCTTCTAGCTGAGCGATGTAGTAATTTGGCAATTGTCGTTCGCCAAATCGTTTACCAAGCTCCTTCACCAGGGTGTCGGACGACTTGATTGCTTCGGGATCCAGTTGCTGGTACACGTACTCGGCCGCCTTTCCACGTAGACTGCTGACAAGTCGGAAGCGCTTTTCTTCCTCGGACCAGCCGCAAGCCTCGGCGAGACCCATCAGAGGTCGGACGAAGCCTTCCCATGACTTCGTGCCGTCAAATTCTCCTTGGCGAGGGAGAGGAACATCCAGCTTATGACTCGGCTGGGTTCGGAGAGGACGGGGCTCTGCTTGCTCTGCTGCTGTTGGTTTAGCTTGTGGAACGGTGGAAGGGGCAGTACTGGGAGCAGACATCACTGGCTGTGAGTCCTTGGGCAATTTCGCTGAAACATTGGCATCTGTCTGCTCAGCCGTTGATGGGCTGTGTAATGCAGCAGTTGCTCGCAGTTGTTTCAGCTCTTTCTCCGCCTCCACTGAACGAAGCTTGAAAAGTTCGAACTGTTTTTTAAGTTCTTGAAGTTCTGCACTCTCTGCCTGTAGACTTGAATACAGGTTGGTGTCATCATCATCATACAACGACTGCAACCTGCGAGATTTTCGCCTGGCAGGCATGTTGGCTGCTGATATTGACAAGCAGAAAGTCAGAGTCTAAAGCTGGGAGATCCGTTCAGTGGAGGGGTACATGAAGTGACTTAATTAAAAGTCATGGTATAGTTCGATGGTGTGTGTAAGTTCGTATCCCACCGCTGGCCACCAGTGTAACGTCTCTCTGGGTTGAGAGACATTATCAAATAAAGAGTCAGATACAAATATCTTACACACACACACTAGTACTTTATTCGTGATTATTTACATCTCAGGTCAATAGAGGGCGCACTATATACAATGTAAAGTTACGGCGTACATGATTATCTGTGTACAGACGTAGGGTCTATGGCCAGTGAGCGGACAGCTCGATAATCTACGTGTACATGTCAGGGACTCTGTCGGGGTCAGAGCCCAGATCAACAATGACCAGAACTGCCATTTCTGCGCGCTTTATATACACTTTTGGGGGCGCGTCTTAGCCAATGGGAGCATTGGATTCTGGTAGTTATGAATAATGCATCCGTGTACAAAGGCATGGGGAAAGTTCTCTATGGGAGAATTGTACACGACTGACTTAGACATTCTAGTGGGAGAAAGTCCGAGAGCAGTGGTTAGCGGGCGAAGTAGGATCACTCGTGGGAGCCTTACGGGGAACTGATCCTCAAGGAAAAGGGAAAGGGAATAACTTCTCGGTACATAGGTTTGTGTACAAGACTTAGTCTCTAGACTAGGTAAGAATCTACACACTAATGCTATGGAGTAAAACTATGAGATGAAGGACGTAACCTGACCTCTAGCTACCGTAGGTCTCGGCCAGTGGGTTAGCGGGACACACTCGCTGGGGTGTACGGGGTCACTAAGGGGTGAATACACGGGTAGGTTTTAGCGAGCCACATTCGCTAAATGCTTGGGGTCAATGTGGGTCGGATGCGAGGTAAGGTGTGTGAGGGGAATTCGCATCGACTCCGGGGAAAGGTGGAGGGAAAGTGGCCAAGTCCTAAGTACATGTCCCATGGCGGTACATGTTCAATAGCAGTGAGAGCTACATGCATTGCGCGCTATACAATAGCGTACTGTATAATGTGCTGCACACTTATACGTGTGTCTAAGACTTCGTGGTAAGCTTCGCGCTGTGTGAGGGCACACAGGATCGCTGCAAGCATTACGCTGTGCACGGAGTGGAATGGACTGGTTGGGAAAGAAGTAAACTACGCAATTTGCAGGAACGCAACAGTATCTTTGATTTCACGATTTCTGTGATAAATTATCGCAGTAACGCGGTATCGTTGAATGATTTATCTTTGATTTCTGGATTTCTGTGATAAATTATCGCAGTAATGCAGTATCGCGGAAGGATTTATCTTTGATTTCCAGATTTCTGCGATAAATTATCGCGGTAACGCGGTATCGCGGAAGGCAATTCAAGCTTCCGTACTGAAAGCTGTGGACGTTGCAAACGAAATGCTTGAAGCATTAAACTTTTCCGTAGCTTTGGAATACATTTATCAGTTACCATGGTGACGACCGAAATTATGTGACAATCTTCCCTAGGCTAGAGAACTATTCATAGGCAGGAAGGAAAATCGGTTCGTATTTTCATGTGGTTTTGTTTTGGTCAATGTGAATGTTGTTCAAACATCAGTCATGTTGTTGTTTGGCATGTTTGGTCATACTCCTAGAACTATGAGGCTCCACGTAGTGGAGCCTCATAGGTTCAGAAGCCCGCAAAATTGTTGTCAGCACAAAACACTAATTAAGTACAAAAACGTCCATCCCAAGCAGGCCGTTTTCCACAGAACCGCTGCACAGTTTGCCCCTAAACTCCATACAATACCTCATGACATACTCACGTTATGTGCACCCAACAAACATCGGTGGATTCTGTCTGTTTTTCGGCAAAAATGATGAAAAATATGCCCTTTCCGCACTGAGCCAACCTAACACTTAAAACGAGCACGCGTGCAGAATGATCGCAGTTATTTTCGGGTTCGATCGCTCGGAGCGCGCCGCGGGGGGGTACGTACTTGCACTTGTACGCATGTGCATACTATCGTTCCGCTCCTACACCATACCCCCCGCGGCGCGCTCCGAGCGATCGAACCGAAAATAACTGCGATCATTCTGCACGCGTGCTCGTTTCAAGTGTTAGGTTGGCTCAGTGCAGAAAGGGCATATTTTTCATCATTTTTGCCGAAAAACAGACAGAATCCACCGATGTTTGTTGGGTGCACATAACGTGAGTATGTCATGAGGTATTGTATGGAGTTTAGGGGCAAACTGTGCAGCGGTTCTGTGGAAAACGGCCTGCTTGGGATGGACGTTTTTGTACTTAATTAGTGTTTTGTGCTGACAACAATTTTGCGGGCTTCTGAACCTATGAGGCTCCACTACGTGGAGCCTCATAGTTCTAGGAGTAGTTTGGTCAATGTTGTTCGGTTGTTTGGTTTGGTTGACTTAGCCCCATAAATGTGGCATATTTACTGGACTGCCTCCGTAAACATAGGCCACACATCCACATGTACAAAAACGTGTCGACTTTGCCAAATTTTGATATTCACATTTAGGCTTACTTTGTAGGTTTTTTTTGCTTTAGAAGCATTCTCACCCTCTATATAGGCTAATCAGAAAGTGCTGCCTTTTTCAGTTGTCCATTTTTCGTGAAATTTCCAGATACATTTGCACACGTTTGCGTATCAAAATTTCAACATGAAATTTCACAAAAATTAGACATTAGACGTTTCAAGTGTTAGGTTGGCTCAGTGCGGAAAGGGCATATTTTTCATCATTTTTGCCGAAAAACAGACAGAATCCACCGATGTTTGTTGGGTGCACATAACGTGAGTATGTCATGAGGTATTGTATGGAGTTTAGGGGCAAACTGTGCAGCGGTTCTGTGGAAAACGGCCTGCTTGGGATGGACGTTTTTGTACTTAATTAGTGTTTTGTGCTGACAACAATTTTGCGGGCTTCTGAACCTATGAGGCTCTACTACGTGGAGCCTCATAGTTCTAGGAGTAGTTTGGTCAATGTTGTTCGGTTGTTTGGTTTGGTTGACTTAGCCCCATAAATGTGGCATATTTACTGGACTGCCTCCGTAAACATAGGCCACACATCCACATGTACAAAAACGTGTCGACTTTGCCAAATTTTGATATTCACATTTAGGCTTACTTTGTAGGTTTTTTTTGCTTTAGAAGCATTCTCACCCTCTATATAGGCTAATCAGAAAGTGCTGCCTTTTTCAGTTGTCCATTTTTCGTGAAATTTCCAGATACATTTGCACACGTTTGCGTATCAAAATTTCAACATGAAATTTCACAAAAATTAGACATTAGACCGTTTCAAGTGTTAGGTTGGCTCAGTGCGGAAAGGGCATATTTTTCATCATTTTTGCCGAAAAACAGACAGAATCCACCGATGTTTGTTGGGTGCACATAACGTGAGTATGTCATGAGGTATTGTATGGAGTTTAGGGGCAAACTGTGCAGCGGTTCTGTGGAAAACGGCCTGCTTGGGATGGACGTTTTTGTACTTAATTAGTGTTTTGTGCTGACAACAATTTTGCGGGCTTCTGAACCTATGAGGCTCCACTACGTGGAGCCTCATAGTTCTAGGAGTATGGGACTAGTAAGATCTCAAAACTTAAGGTATTGAAAACATGCAAAACAAGAAAATAGACTGGCACCTAAAACAACCAGTCCAACACAGCTTCAGTACTGCATCAATCAACCATGCCAAAAGAATTTAAGAAGCATGAAGCGGGAACTAGTCTCAATTTACTACACATTTCTCCATAGTCAAGCCACCAGACTATTGAGACTGAATGAAGAGGTCAATCATTTTGAAATCACTTGACTTCCCTCTCATGTGCAAAATATTGAAGAAAAGTCTCCTTTAAAAATTGAATTCAGTCTGCAAACTTGGTTGGTGAAATACTGAGGACATTTTCTTTGCTCCAGTGGAATTCTTGGAGAAATTTGCTGGCTAAACTGTGAGTAAAGTGGGCCGTGTTTAGTTTTGCACGTTTCAGAGCACTCCGGAGCCCTGTCTGGGGTTGACTTAGCTTGAGTAACTCCAGCTGACATGCTCCATATTCATTCACATGTGCATCCAGGCATCCAATAAAGCGCCCTCTATTGATTAAAATTTACTTCATGCCCACCCTGCATCCGTACATCCAGGCTTCCAATAACGTGCCCTCTATTGATTAAAATTACTTCATGCCCTCCCCGCATCCGCGCATGTACGTTAAAAAGGCGACAAGTTACTCAGACTAGCATTAACCTTAACCCTTTCATTACCACATTGTTTATTGACTTGGCTCTCCCCACGACCAAATTGTTTGCTCAGTCATGCGGAAATCACTAGAGCGTGAACAAAATGACCACAAGTCCAAAACTCACTTTTTTCAACCCAGATTTTCACTGCCAAGGAGTGATTTAAATCATAAGTGTTGTGTGTAAAGTTTGTTCCTTGAACCTTACTCTTGTATGTGATGTAAAAATGAAGTCCATATGTGCAAATATAAGAAAGTTATGCCTGTTTGTTCATCTGGTTCCATTTATCAAACTGCAAGCCATTTCATCACATGACCAAATGGCACTCCATACCTCAATTTGTGCGTGGATACTTCTGAAGCACTTTTCTCATTTTTTTGTAATGGCAACACTATGAATTAACTACACCATTAGAACGATCCGAAAACACTCTTTCAGCTGGTATATAGTTGATGTATGAGCGGCCAAACATATCAACATGCCGCCTTTCTGAAAAGCAGTGAATATATCTGTGTTGAGGGTGTTCTGTGTGTGGTTTCCTGGTCGACTAAAGTCGCCCATGGGAACCAGCAAGGGGGTTCTTCTTGTCGACAAAAGTCGCCCATGGTAAGGAAAGGGTTAATATGGTCTGCCTCCAGTTGAATACTCCCACTGTACTTAATACTGGGAAAAATATGGTATTGGTTTTTTGACTGCATAAGATAAAACAGCACTGCCTAATTTAACTGACATAGTGAAATCTTTAATTTAAAACTAGTCCGATTATATAGTAGACTCTTCAAATCGTTTTTTTTTTTTACATTTTGACATCGTCTGGCTAGAGTCTTAGGATCATCCCTTAATCACTGTGTGTACCATTAATCAAATCAGTTACACTCATCATACCCTTAATCAAAATCTTCAGATTTCACCACAAAAAAAGGTCCTGAAACTGTCTCATGTGCCCCTAACAGGCTTTTGTGGGAATTTGAAATTAAACTGGTGGTGGTTAGGTTCACTTACGTGCGGGAAGAAAAGAGAAATTGTCCATTCAATTCGGAGACCTGTCGTTGTGCTGGAGGACGCCCTCTTGGTTTTTTTTTTAACCCCGGTTTTGGCTCTGTCTTTGGCTCCATTCATGCAGGTTAGCAATGCGGCTGGTCCGGGATACAGACCGAAGCAATTCCTCTACTACCCGCGGATGTACAGGCCTAGGACAATGATATATTCATAAAATTACAGTGGTTAAAAGTAAATTCCTAAAATCATAATACCAGATCAATTACACATGCGGTACTATACAGACAATGTTTGGATAAAACATACATTATAATTCAAATCTGACCAACAGTTGTAAAAAAATGAAGAAATGAAGTACGACTTACTTTACATTAACAAAAATCACACAAATTAATAAAACAATCAGGACAAGACAACAAGGACAATACAAAAGTTCAGTCAATGCGCAACTTCTCATTAGTTTTCTTTGAGGTCAAAAGAGCCGACATTGATTATTACGTATTCCTATATGATACTCTTTTACAGATTCGTACAATTGGTTGACTATGGCAAGTACCAACCCTGCTAAAGATCCAAATGAATCCTCTGAAATGGCGACCCCTACATCAGAGAGCATTGTGCAAGCATTCACGGTTTATGCTTCCAGCAAAGATGCAGAAATCAAGGAGTTGAAAGCTCAACTTGCAGCGGCTGAGAGTGAAAATTTGGACTTGAAAAGTCAAAAAGCCACATGGTTCTTGGAGAAGAAATCTCTCAGTGATCGTGTAGAGAGGCTTGAAAGAGAGTTGAAGATGCTGCAGGATCTTCAACGACGTCAAGCAGCAGGCGTGTCAAGCATGGGTGTGTCGACTGATGGCAGAGGCGATGCTGCACCGGGGCCGCTGCTTTCCAGAGTTGAGAGCCTTGAGAAAGGCATGGCAAGTGTCCGGATTGGAGGTGAGCATCCCGAGTCTTGCCCTTCGCCCGTCTGCTCGGAGCATCTTGTGGAAACGGATGGCCAGATCACCGACTTGCCCAACACCCATCTAAAGTCAGCACTACTGGCCGGATCCGACGTTCCGCAGACAGAAACAACAGCTGCAGGAGAAGGCAAAGTACCGGCAGGAAGAGCGGCAGTCCCGGCTGAGACCAAAGCCGCAGCTATGGCCTCCCAACAAGGCGCCTTTGACAAGCTTGAGAGCAGAAGTTACAGCTTCGTCCAAGTCTCCAGCAAGGAAAAAGTGGTAAGCGACTATCATGATTGCTGGTCCAAGTGCATTCTCAGACTGAATACCTTCGCCCAGTTTCACATGCTGTTAAAAAAGGAAATAGTATTAATGCTTTGGGGACAAATAAAACATGCAAAGAAATTACCGAATTCTGTTGCATATGACTTTTTTCAGCACATTTTATACAACGCCTGAATGAATCCGGGTCATCTGATTGGTAGGTTGTTGATGACAAGTCATTAAGTTATTCGTCCCGATCCACGACCCGGGCACATTGCAAAATGAAAAGAACTTTTATTCCACTGTGAATAGAAGTTTATGTTTCATTCACGTGTTGTCTAAGCATGTTTCTAATTCGTGCAATGAAAAACTGGGTGACAGATGAAATCCATGAGGCAAAACGTTCCATCTGTCAAATTATTCTTACTATTCCACTCATGTTGGTATACACTAGACTTTTTTTTTAAAAGATGGATCCCACATGATTTTCCATTTATTACGTTACCTTGCTTCTTTTTCATTAAATTATGTTTCTACCATAAATCAGACCGAGTGTCCCGTCAGTACAGAAATGATGGAATGGCTCTCGGAAAATCTCACCCTTGCTGACTGGAAACCGTTGATGCGAAAGCTGGGACTTACGGACGTCGAGATCGGGAATGCAAGTTTTGGCCACCCACACGTAGTGGAGCAACGCTACCAGTGTTTGCTGCACTGGCGTAAGACACACTCCAGATCAGCCACAGTCCCCACCTTGCTGACTGCCATCCGTGCGAAGTCGCTGCATCAGCTGGCCAGGGATTTCTGCAAGGAGTTCCCTGCGGAGAGCTCCCCTGTTGAAACCAAGCGGGAGTCTACACCTGAGCTCACGAGTGAGTCTGACGACGGAGTTTGCGTGGCTCCATGCTAGACTGGTCTCCGCCCCCCTTAAAATATGAGGACCGGTTGCTAGTTCCCATTCAAAGCAGCTCAGCTCTGCGCATGCGCGACATTATTTCTTTTTAAATACAATTTTTGCAGCATTGTGCGTAGATGAAATTTGAAAACATGTCTATCAAAAAACTGATCTCCATACCATAACTAATAGGCAAAATTGCCAGTGTCTCCACGTAGGCAACTTTCAAGCGTTTCAACTGCAGAGTCATGACAGGTTTCAAATTGTGAAAAGTGGTGTATCTCTCTTTATCGATAGTGTCCAGAGATACTTGCGAATTCAGCGAAAATTGAAGCTCATCACCGCAAAAATTGCACGTTGCTGCTATTTTGCAATAGGCTGGTTCCGCGCTAAAATTGTCATCGTGATTTTGTTTGGGGTTTGAATCCAGAAAATGAGTGTGTTTTCTGTTCTCTCTAATAAAAAAGTCAAAAAGCTGTTGCTTGTTCATTTGTTTTGTTTGTTTGTTTTTGTTGTTTTTTCACAGGGAATTTTTTAAGTAACCTGGAGAGGTTCTTGGATCCATTTGTTGCTGACTTCGACGCCCTTAAGCAAGACCTGCACAATGGCCCCAGAATTTCTCAAGGGCAGTGCCTCAAGATCGGATACCGATCGCAAGAGGTAAGTTGAACCTACCAACGAAGCAGTCTGTGACTGACTACCCATGGGACATCCACAGGGCAAAATGTCACAGGCATATCCGTGTCTGAGAAAACATCATCAACAGCCTGACATGCCAGTCGACTGTACAAAAACAGTACCCCACCCAAAATGCACCCATTGACTGTACAAAAATGGTACCTTACCCCCAATACACCTGTTGACTGTACTAAATGGCAGCCAAATCCCAATACGCCCACTGACTGGACAAAAATAGTACCCCTCCCCAAATACACCCGTTGGCAGCCCTATATACCCAATACACCCCAAATGGCTGCCCAATAATACCTATACGCCCATTGACTGTACAAAAATGTACCCCACCCCCAATGCACCCATTGGCACCCCTATTAGCCCAATATGTCCCAAATGGCAGCCTAATCTGCCCCAAATGGCAGCCTAATCCCAATATGGACTGTACAAAAAAGATGCCCCACCCCCATCTTACTGAGCATTTAACTGTGCACATACAATATACTGTATTTATTTCTGCATTAGGGAAACGGCCGACTTGACACTGTCATGGAGGACTGGAGTTCTACGTATTACAAGAAGAATAACTCGGACAGCGAGTTGGACAAACGCTGGGCGCTTCGGAAGTTTCTCCAGAACTGTGGAAAAGAAGTACGAGCTATCTTCAAGAAACACGTCAACCAGGGAGGAGTGATAGGTAACATGAATAAAAAACAAACAGTTCCGCCCATTCATTGGCCTTATGGGGTGCCCCTATACAATAGCACTGCCTGGTCCTCCTCAAACACTGGGCACTTCAGAAGTTTCTCCAGAACTGCAGAGTGGACGTACGAGATACCTTCAAGAAATATTCATTCATTGGTAATACGAGGTGCTCCTATACACTAGCACTTCCCAATTCTCCTTACCAGTCTACAAACAGTCACCAGTCCAGTCAGTGAGTGAGAAAGGTTAAAGCAGGACGCTACGCTGGCCCTCTGGTATCCGCAAAAAAATGGAACGGCTCGGCTTCATTCTAAAAGAGCAATTTATAAAGCACAGATTTGTTTTTTCCATTCTTCTCCTGACGACGGGCAGAGCATACTGCTTGAAACGTTGAGTCCCTCCGGTCCTTTTCAGAACCACACATACTCACAAAAGAGATTTATTCACAAGGTGCTACCGCAAACTTATCTTGTCCATTCATCTTCAAAGTTGGCTTTCAGCTTTTTGTTCCTCTTTGTCACAGGCCCTGCTGCGGGAGATGATGCCAAGATTGGCAATTTGCCCTACTCGACGATTCAAGACATTGAGGAGATGCTGAGCTACACCGATGGTGGGTGTTTTGGGGCTTTGTGGAGTGTCGGTCCTAGCAACTAACTTTTTGAATTTAATATAATACATTTTGGGAAATAAAGAAACACCTATTCCCTTTTTGTGTGAAGGGGGGGGGGGGTAAGAGGTTTACGTTGCTAGCACTTCAGATTCCAAAGATACTGTTTCGTTTGTTAATCACGTACTCTCATAAATGTACATTTCTTAAATCAGCACTCGGAACATGATTTTTTGTTCAGTCAGTTAGTATATGTGACGTAGATTCCCACTAGAATGCAATCTTGGCAGTAATTAATAAATAAATTTGTTTTTGAAGTGTGTCTGTTGACACACTTTTTTCAAACTTCCTTTAATGATTGTGTTCTTCCAAACGATACAATTTCAGACGGATTCATTTCACAGGGTATTTGGTACAAGTCCCTCCTCCAATTTGAGATTGAAGTTTATGCCTTTAATGTGTAGTTTCATAATTGTACCAATGCTCGGATGTGCCTTTAAGCGACTGAAAAAGCATCCTTGCAAGCCTGGTGTGAACCCTTGAATTGCCGTTTATCATGTCTGTGTATGCCAGGTGTGCGCAACTGGAAGGATCTAGCCGATTGGCTGAGGAAGCAGCACCCAAGCGTCTTTCAGCCGGTCACCAAGAACAAGATACGACTTTGGGAGAACGACCCTGACCCACGCAAGGGCGCCAAGAGTGTTTTGCAAGTCTGGGAGACCACCACCCAAGCCAAAGTGGGCGCCCTCTATTCGTGGCTGGTGGAGAACGGACGCCTGGATATAGCAAAGGTCTTGGAATAATTAAGTAAGGCAGAACACTGCTGTAGCAAAAAAAAAGATTGTCTTGTTTAGCAGTCGTTCCTTATAGTGATTCCAAGATGGCGTTTTGTGTACATAAGGTGACTTGTATGTTGCACATCCCAACTGTAATTTGAATTTTGGACTTTTTGAGATACGGTCAATTTTTGGAATTACGGAGGCCACTGTTTCATCCAACGAATGCTGAAGTCCATACAGAAAGATAGCGAGACGTATCTTGGGCAAAATAGATACATGTAATGACATATGTTTAGATAAATCCTTGTTGTGCTAAATGTGACGAGACAAAAGGGTGTAACAAGTTACGTCTTTTTGCCAACTTATACAGTATATTTTGGGGTTTGGCATCAAAATGTCATAATGTGTATAACATAATGATAATCCGGAGGCCCCTGCAGTCAATTTATTTGTTCAACTTTACAATAATGTGTACTCGATATATGTATGTATGTCTTATTTTTGTGATTATTTATGGTCAAACCATGCAACTGGCTTTTAAAATTTTTTTTACTGAAAATCAACGATGACAAAGGAACTGAAATTTGTTCCATATTTTTACATGATGATATATAATCTGTGGTAGAATAATTGGCTAACTGAATGCAAAGGAAAAAGATAGATGACCTTGACATTTTAACCCAATTTATCTGGGGGGGTTTTGGGAGGGGGGGGGGGGGAGATGGGGAACAAAATATGTATTGGGCGAGTTAACCAAGTTGAAGTCTTATTGGATAATCTTTTACCTGGTGAGCGCGGACAACACATGTAATTGTTTTTTTTCCCCTTGCAAGTTGCACTCGCTAGATAATTTTATTTCTATTGTTTTTTTATTATTTTTTTTTGGCTTCCCCAATAAAAAGAGTAGCTGATTTCAGGCACGAGAATGAATTTCAATGAAAAAAAACAAGGAAATGTGTAAAATCAGGAATGAAGGATGTGAAATCAGGCAAAAAAGGCCACAAAACAAATAAAAACGCGGAAATTTGGGCATCAAAGAAACTGGAATTCCTGTTTGAACAGGAAGATTCTCATGCCTGAATGTTTCTAAGAAGGGGATGCCAAAATAGACCAAGGTGTCCGTATAGTGTGTATATATATAAAGTATACCAGAGACAGGAATGGAAATTTACTGATATTGTAGGGAATTTGCTAAAGTATGGTGTGGATTGGGTTTCTTTACCTATGCTTTTTAAAAGTACAGATTATTATTTGTTTTAACTCGTAACTAAAATTAGTATCGATTGCATTCCATTGTATTTTACATTTCATAACTGGAGCTGGTTTACTAAACTGTAAAAAAAAAAAAAAGGAACCCCCCAAACAAATTTACAAGAAAAAGTTAATAGACATTGGTGTCAGAAAATGTATTTATGTAAATAATTGTACAGCTTATGCACATTACATGTGATCTTTTCCAACAAATTAAAAAAAACAACAAAAAAAAACCAGTGTATAGATATTATTGCTCACATATCAGTCACATATTCTGTCAATATTTGTGACAGCCTATTCAGATTGTGTGAAAGCACCAAGAATGAAGAAATACAACAGAAAAAAAATGTTCCTCAATAAAAAAAAAATAAGTGTACAGATATTGCTGTCAAAAAAATCAGACACTTTTTCTGTAAATATGGTCTAACAAAACAACAGTAAAAAATTGCTTGCCTCCCTTTGTGTTTATAACTGTGAGAGTCTCGTTGGGCACAAGACAAAATCATCCAAGTTGTGAACTCCTCTTCCCTAGCTTTGTTTGATAAATCAATCACAGTTTTAAGAACATTGGTCCGCGCACTCAGAATTTTTGGGGGGATTGCTCCTAGCACCGATTTGGGGCAGCATAACGAGGCTTGACAATTGATGTTCAGTCGAGTCTCGTTAATACAAACTCGTTCGGACCTTGCCAAATCGTTTGTTATATCAGAATTTTGTATTAAGAGGAACACCAGCCCCATTCATTGTGCACATAAATGCACAGTCGGGACCAAGGCCTTATGTTTGTTATAACCAGAATTTGGTATTAACAGAGTTTGTACCAACGAGAGTCGACTGTATATCATGTAGCATCTACAACACCTGTGCGTTAATTAGTCTGGCACCGTGTGTTTCACATATTTCCATGTGTAGAAAATAAGTCAAGAGTCCATGCGGATGCAAAAGTGGCTGTTTTAACCATCTTTCAGCTTACACTATGAAAGGCTTAGCTGTTCCGAATCAGTCAAACATAATTTTGTGCACTCTGGGACCGGCTTTAACATACTTGTCCTGTTTTTGGGATACCAATGTTTGGCATTGACTTAAAATTTGCATGAAGATTGCTTTAAAATAGATTATAAAGCTAAAAATATTTTAGTTTAGAAGATTACCGTATGTACGCTGCATTGGGGTACATTCTTTCAAGTGAAAAAATATATTATGTGCAGAGTTTTTTTAATTATAATAACAGTTGATGAATTTTTGTTTTCATTGTGTCTGTAATATTGGAACCTGTGCGACAATAAGATTCAAGGCATAAAATTCCCAGTAGAACCACGTGCGTAGAATTTTTTGTTGAGTTTTTGATTTTTGATCTTTCAAATATTAATGTCTTCCCAAAAAAAAACAGGAAAAAGCTTAAATGAAATAAAATAATTTTTAGTTACATTAAGTAAATACAAACACATTTCAAATTGTGTTTTTCTTAAAAAAAGTGAAACGTGCTGCAGTTTCCAATATTGTGACAATTTACATGTGTGTACTCGGTACTTTGTAACAAAAAATCTGCAGTACATGTATGTATATTAATTTGCTTTATCAGATTGATTAATAATCATGTATATATACAAGATGTACTGTTTTAAACAGACATATAATAAAAAAAATGTAAAAACTTATAATGCAAAGTCTTTACAATAAAGTCAAACTTTTTAAAATATGTACATTAAAACTGTGATAGACTCCAAACATATAATGAGACATGCAATACATTTCCTCGATTATTTTAATTAGAAATTTTCGGCCAGCATTCTACATATTGGTCTGATCATTTTGTGTTTGTGTGGTTGACGCCACTTCTATGTCCTGTGATATAAAAAGTTAATGGACACCATTTACAACAAAAAATGGGTTTTTGCGGATGGCAAGGAACAAGAATACAATAAATATGAAGCAGCTTATTTAAAAAACTAAATTGTCGAAATTTCAGCTCGGTGTATATACTTTTTGAGAAAATTGTGAAATGCATTTTCAATTTTCTTGTCACACAGAACAGGTTTCTATTCAAAGCATAATGGTTTGGTCCTAAACATCGCAAGAAAATAATGGTAATTCCTCTTTTCTTGGAAAAAATGACGGCACACTAGGTGCAACATATCACAATGAAGTAGGATATTTCATGATATTTTTGACAGTTAGTTGTTGCAAATGGTGTCCGTTACTTTTAAGGAACCTAAACAATCACACGTCGACCAAGGCTTCGTGTTGGCTGTCGTATGACCCTTGACCTCTGACCTCTAGCGCCTGAGCTGTTTCCCCCAGCATACCTTGGAAGATAAATTTGCCCCTGAAGCCACGTTGTGCCTGTTTTAAAAACCAAAAAAATGACCGAAAAGAAAGGAAGATTACATTTCTTGCTATAATTATATTTTTGGAGTAATTGGATGTCATTACTCTAATTACTGCCCTGTATCATGCTTTTAAAGTAACAAGTCAAAAGGGGAAACTACTTTTGTTTTCGTTAAAAATGCGTAGACTTTAAAGAAAAGGTCTGATTTATTTTTTAGAATGCTGTATCAAGAAAACTGCTTGCAGAAGTATGGTGTTACAGTTGACTCTCGTTTAAACAAGCTTTGTTTATACAAATTCTGGTTATAGAGAATATAAAGTCTTGGTCCTCACTGTGAATTTATGTCCATGGGAGCCATGCTCCTCTTAATGCAAAATTCTGAAATAAACATTTGGGTGGTGAGTTTGTATTAATGAGAGCTGACCGAATTTTGGGTGTAGTTGTGTGTATGGTTCATGCTAGACGAGCATAAGTATCCTACATGTTACAATGAACAACTCGAAAACAAATCTGAAATAAACTGCTTATAAACAATAAAGAAATCTTAGTGCCACGGTGTGCAGATTTCATTTACAGACTGAGACATCCTGAGTGGGATTGAGGTGTCTAATATAGGTCCAAGTTTTTTCTAGTCCTATAATTTCTTTTTTAGTGATGTGAACTTTATGTCAGATCATAATAGAAATTTCTGGATGACTACATTCTGAGCAATAAAATGTGTACAACACTGCAATATATGAAACTTTGAGCACAATATCGATGATAAACAGTAAATGACTGGGTTGTTTTTTTTGTGTGAACAAAAATCAAGTTCTTGCCTGGCGGTGAAGTGAACTTTGAGGATCATTTTGCTGCAAGAAACGTGGGTGACGTACGCTTCTAGAAAGCCGGATGACGGCACGACGAGGAACAATTCCTCTGCTTGCTTCTGGGGATCTGTTTTGGGGAGGAATGAAAATAAAATATTTCAAAAAGGAAATTGTTGTAACTTAACTCTTTCGCTACTGAATTTAATTTCCCGATTTTTTCACGTTTGTACGTAATAAATCTCTGGAAATTCCGCCGTGTGTCGATGTGGACGCCGCCATCTTTAAATGTCTCTCTGTAAACAACCTGCTCAAAATAACTTGCAGCAGACCCCGGCGAGACGGAGAGCCGTTGGTCGAGCGGCTCCAACTAGGGTCAGAGGTTATACGATATAAATTATGTAAATAAGGCACACATCATGGGGATTACCCACTGATCTCTATATAAAGACTGGATAGCTAATAAAGAGCCGCACAATGTACGAATTTAACGCCATATTGGTGAGACCGGCTGGTGATCTACAAAGGACAAGTTGCCATCTTTATAGACAGCTTGATTTCTTTTGTAACGTCGCGGCTCACTTGACTTATATTTTGGCCACCACCACTGACCAAGGTTTACTACAATTTTTCTAATGTCGTGGTTACTTTTATAATGCTGCAAATCACTTTTTCGGCGTTTTTGAAATAATAATCACTACGGGAATGTGTTCCTTTTAGAACATCATAATATGTGTACGTGACCAAAATGCGCGTCAACTGTTGATACAACGCGCGCTTATTTACGGGTAGAACGTTCGTATTATACGCGGCCATCTTTGTGAGACCAGGGGTGAATTGGTCAATATGCAAAGTCTACTGTGTGAATGTTGTATGCATATCCGCTATCCAGTCTTTATATAGAGATCAGTTGGATTACCCTGTTTATTTACAGTGACGTCACCGGGCCCCTGCCAGCGGCTCGCCGTAGCGAAAGAGTTAAACGAAATGAACCCATATACATTGTACTTGTTGGAACCCATTCATTGCTAAGTATGAAAAGGCTGACAGTCTTACATTAGGGCCAATTCAATGACAGATCTGCATTGACTACCTTTTCTAGTGAATTTTGGACAATTTGTCCCGAATAAAGAGATTTCTGGCTTTCCCGTCACAGATAAACTTGGAAGTTTAAGTCACGGTGTAAGTCACTTTCGTGAAATGTTCCACGACTGAAATCTTGCGCAATGGAAATGTTATGCCAGTTTGCGCCACGTAAATTATGCGTAAGTGGAGTTACGCCACTGGGCAATGTTTCGTAAAATGGACCGATCCAGTAAGCTCCTCCCACTGCGCACGTGGGCAAATTAACACGTGCTCCTCTCCAATGCCGCACTGCATTTCCCTGCCGCGCGCATCATACGCGCGTGCACGCATGTCGGACTTTTGTGCACGCATGTCGGACATAAATCACGGCTGTGATTGGTCAGAATACCATGGGGCAGTGCTTACTGGATCGGTCCATTGGTTGCTGAAGTCCAGACTCACCAGAAATGACCGTCCAGAAGCTGGCCGAGCCCGTCGGATTGCTGATGGTCAATTCCAGCTCCCGCTGCTGCGACACCAGGCACGTGCCAAAGTCCGGGTAGGATGGGGTCATCTGCGGATTGGCCAGGTTGGGCGTGCGATTCCGCAAGCCACGCCTGTAAAATAGAAAAAAGGAGTTCGTTTTACCTTTGCCTTTTATCAGAGAGTCCAGGGTTTGAATCCCACCGGCACCACTGACGTACCATTTGCTGCGTCCTTGGGCAAGACACTTTACATCTATTTGCCTCTCTTAATAAGTGGGTATCGGCGCAGCCACAAACTGATATCGATATGGATAGGGTTAATCTTTGCTCAGGATCAGACAAGGGTTTAATCCACTGATCTCCATATAAAGACTGGATAGCGGATAAAGAACCGCACAATGAATTCATTTGACGCCATAGTGGTGAGACCGGCTGGTGATCTATGAAGGACAAGTTGCCGTCTTTGTAACATCGTAGTTCCATGGGCGTAGCGAGGGGAGGCAAGGGAGGGCACTTGCCCCCCCCCCCCCCCCCGGAAAAGCAACAACAACACAAAAAAAAGAAGAAAAAAAAGAAAAGAAAAAGAGGCGCGAAGACAAAGTGGTGTAAATTTAATAAGTTGGGGGGGGGGGCAAAATGTCCCTGCCCCCCTCTCAAACTGATAAATCGAGAATGTGTTGAGAAATACAAACATTATTTGGCAAAAACTTTTTTTGCCCCCCTCTAGAAAAAATCCTGGCGACGCCCATGCGTAGTTCGCGTGGTTTACGTTTTGTCCACCGCCACTGACCACGTTTCACAACTTGTCAAATGTTGTGGTTTACTTTTGAATGCCGCAGTTCACTTTTTACGTTTGTAAATATAATCACGACAGAAATTTGTCCCTTTTTTAGATCATCACAATACGTGTACGTGATCAAAATGCGCGTTTACTCATGATACAGCGCGCGCTGTATGCACGCGCAGAACGTTTGTATATATACGCGGCCATTTTTGAAAGACCTGGGGCGATCTGGTCAAAATGTAAATTCAAGCCTGTGACTCGTGTATGGGTATCCGCCATCCAGTCTTTATATAGAGATCAGTGGTTTAATCTCACAGCTGGCTGTACGTTATGTCCTTGGGCAAGGCACTTTACCCCTACTTGTCTCTCTTTAATCATTCTCCCAGGAGAAAAAGTGGGTAACACAAGCTGATATCAATAGGGATAGCTGGGGTTTGTTTGGTTTCGGGCGTTACACGGACTAATACGTTAAACCCTCACTGTAAAGGGGGAAATGTATCACTATACCGCTTTGAGGAATCCTTGGACTCCTTGTCTTTGTCTGGTGGTGTCGGGGGTTTGGCCGATCCGAAATGTTCCAGGGTGATGTGGATTCGAAGGGTGCGGCGATGGCGGTGTGGTTTGAGACCTGGACCACATGGCTAGGGGTCGGTGGAGCCTAGCTCGACATCATGGCCATATAGTCCAACAACAATTCCTCGTCCCTGAATCAAAGAGGGGAAAAAAAATTAAATTAAAAAAAAAGCCAAATACAATCAAAAGTAGAGAAAGCAAGCCTTCAACCGAACCGAAATAGCAAAAAAGTTTGAAGAATAAACTGTAGCGGTAACATGCAGGGGTTGATCTAAGTTTGGCTCAATAGGGGGGGGGGGGGGGGGAGATGTGAATGTTTTTGTTTAAGCGGTGTGAGAGAAACCCTGCAATGATATTCAATAAACTGGATTAGGGACTTATAACCTAATTCACATGTTGACCAGGTAGGATTGGAACTGGGGCCCCCCAAGTCAAGGTGGAAGGCAAGTGAAATGCCACTGCGTCTACCTTACTTTACTACTTTACTACCTTACTTTACTAAAGCCCCTCCCATCTACCAAGGAAGAATTTACCAGAGGATATTCGCTAAGCTTACCCATGTTCCCAGTTAGGGTTCGGGGTCTCGATAGTCACTAGGCATATAAGGCCGCTCACAATACATGAATTAAGTGGACGAGTGGGTTGGCCATTCCCTCGACAAAACACGGAATCTTCACATCGTCAAGCATTTCCTGTAAATATGGATAAAAAAAATCAAAATGTGACAAATCAAAAGGGGGACGAAGGGTGGGGGGGGGGGGGGGGGCCTCTTCTGCACCCTCCGCATTCAACATTGGAGAGAGTAAAGCCTACCCCTAGAACTATGGGGCACCGCAAAGCCACAGATCTACTTCTACATGCTAAGTGAAACCAAGTGATTTCAATTTGAAGCCTTAAAGACTAGAGTGGTACATGTCCAACTGTTTGAAAAGACTGACCTCTCTGGTAGCAGACTATGGAGCGATGTTCAAAAATAGAGACCAGTACCAGATGTTTCTCTTGACTCAGTTGACTGTTGCGCACTTGATTTTTCGCCTCTCGAGTGCTTTGCTAGAGAGCAAAATCTTGCTTGTAATCTTGCTTGTAATTGAGGGTACAGTTGAAGTTGAGGGATTATATGACCCGTCAACGTGGGCAGAGCTCAACTTTAATAAGAAGGCATGTGGTTGCAGTATAGAAATGACAGGAAAGAATAACACTTGATGAGATACAATAATTGGTTAATACCTTGGATTGAAATTGCAGTAGTGGAATTTCCAACATTCCAAAAAAGTTTGTTATGAAAATACTTTCAAAATGGAGTGGCTTCCTCTCGTTCTTTCCTGAAATGATTTCAGCGATTGTGTAGTTTGCGAGCCCCTCTTTAGCATGTAATTCAGTTTTGATCAAAAGAGTCGAGGGTGTTTTTAATTTTATCATTCAAAATTGACCTTTTCAACCTAAAGCTGACTTCTCTCAATTCTAATGATTTTGTTCTCTATGTCTTGGGGAACCGGGCCCGTAACTACACGATTGTGTAGTGTAGGGCCCGGTTGAACAAAATCCACTGTAAAATTATTAGACCAAAACTAGTTGGCGACATTCTCAATAAACAGGTATGTCATAGATTTTTTGAGGGGAAATTTGGGGGTAAAATGACGATGACAGCGCGGCGACAACACTCCACACAACAATTTTACTGGACTACCTCCGTAAATAAAGGCCACACTTCCACCATGTACAAAAACATGTTGAACATTGTCAAATTTTTGGCAAAGCGCATGTTGCAATACCAAAACTTAATCGATCCCAAACCTGCACTTTGTACAGACGATCTTCCACTCTCAGCGGCACAAACCATCACCAACGTCAAAAAAACTTCCATTTTAACCACTTCGACACGAAAAAATGGCTGCAATCATCTTTTTCATCTTAAACCCCATCTTACAAGGAATCCTAAAAACTTGATAAAAATAGTTCGCCTTTTATGGAGAGATTTTTAATCCCAATTTTTTTCCTCAAGTTTCCATTTTTTCTGGTTGAAACCCAAGGGCGGGAGTTCGTCTTGTCACCCGATAGCAACATGTACTTAAGTGAAACGGGCGTTTAGCGTAAGTGTAACTTGAGACACCGAATTAGTGCAATTCCGACTTGAGTCAAGTCTATCCAAACTCTGGCTTTCGTGCAATCTTTACAATTGAAGGCTGGAGATATTGTTTAAAAAACAATTCACTGTATACCTTAATTGCTTTCCACTGGTCTGCATTATGATGAATCTTCTGCACAAACATTCCTTTGGATGTCCAAACAACAAACAACCCAGATGATACATTTTTTCAATTTGTTTAGAACACCAATTTGACACAACACTTGGTAAAAGTAGTCATGTTTTTTCCTTCAAAGAGATTGTACAATTTTGTTCATTCCCTGTCACATTCAAACAGTCAATGGCTTTGGCTCCAGCAAAACTTTGTGGATCTAGGTTGTGTGCATTTTTTTTTTTGGTGGACATTTGACCTCCACACACTGCACCCCACAACATGTGCAACTGACCATGGCATCAGGAGATGCTCCAAGAAATGATGAATCTGGGTCTATGTAGAGCCCGACATTCCACAGTGTAACATTTTGATGGCCCTTTAACTCTAAACACTGTTTCAGAGAAGCCAAGGCCACTGACTCATGATCATTCCCCCATTTCATGGCCCTGGTTGGAAAGAACGAGGTAAGTCAAAGCATTTTGGAACAGAGTGAAGAGATATCCCTCTTTGACGATCCATTCATGAATTTGACCACAGACCCCAGTACTGATGCAGTAATTCTACCATAACGATAGAGGTGCCACAAGTTCGATTTTCTCTGTCCAGATGTGCTTGATGCAATGAGTTCTGCTTGCTCTTCAGAGATTTGCTGACGGTCCGGAACTTCAGTTGCTTTAAGGTGACAATAGGGTGTTGGTAGTTCTGTCTGCAACTCTAGTTTTACATTATTTTCATTTTCTGATGCTGTGTCAGTGTCTTCATCTTGCTTAGGGAGGAGTGAAAAAATGCATGCCTCTGGGCTTACCCTTTTCAGTGCATCTAAATCAAGATCTCCTAAAGTGGCTGTTGATGTAGGGTTGAGTGGGCGTACTGACCTATTTTCTTGCCGGCCTTGACTGATGTTTAGGCTTTGTGAAGCTAAGATCTTTAAGGGTACATGGGTCTAAGTCCCTCCCATTCATGCAGTCTTTGTTCCAACTACAGGCCTTTTCAATACATGCCTGTGAAGTGTAACCTAGGCGGTTCGCTGCCTCCAACTTGAACATTACTGCTGCAATATGGCTGCATGCCTCTCCAAGCCTGGAAATAAAATATATGTAACACAAAATCATGTTAATGGAAGACAATCTCCTTATCACCCCAATCCAAGAACACAAATGTGTAGGGCCCCTGTTTAGTTTCGATCAAATTGCAGTCAAGGTGTTTTCTTATTTAAATATGACCTTTTTAACCTGAAGCAGATTTCTGATGACACATTTCTTTTGTAATTGTTGAAGTTCCTTGGGGTAGAAATTCAAATGTTCTTATGCTGTTTATGGTTGGTGCTATGTGATTCAGCACACCTTACGTGTTCACAGTACCCCCAAATTACCCTAAAAAATCAGCACCCCATACATGAATGTTCCTACTGTCGCCGACTAGTTTCATTGGTTAGTCAAATAATTAAAAGTGGATTTTGTTCCCTCATAGAAACCAGGCCCGTAGATACACAATCACCTTGTGAGTCGGCACTAAACCTAGACCTGTTAAGCTAGCGTCAATAACATAGCCAAGTTCACGGGACTTAAAACATACTATTTTTGTCAGATTTTAAAGTAATATTCCAAGTGATTTTTGATGCACTTCTAATGACGTAAGCGATTAATTTCGTAAAGCGCATTGATTTTTTTCCTGATGATGTAATGAGCTATGTAGGAATAAATTATTTTGCTGTGCCAACGACTACTACTAGCATTCAGTAGTTGGCTACTGTTACTAATATTGTAAAGTTGGTACTTGGAGGTACATGTGACTTAGTACCATTTACCCTGAAAAAATATTTGCACTTAAAATCCTTCAACTTAGCTAAAGTTTAAAGAGTAAATCTTGGAATGAATTTTTTAAAAACATAAAGTAGGCCCCTAGTCATAAAATATTTATATGCTGCTTCTGAAAAGCATGTTGTCCTTTTCGGAATGAACGTTGCAACCTGACACTGCTTTTTTTTCTTCAAAATTATATCATCTCATCATAATGATGATTGGACATGACTCTGGGACTGAGAAACACTTCCAACAAGGAAATACTTCAAAAATTCTCTCGACTGTCCATAGACTTTGTACACAACCGCTGAAGTGGCGTCAGGTTGCAACACTTTTTCCTTGTCACAAAACTAATCGAAGTAAAGCTCTTCTCTTACCCTGCCATGCACATGCAGTGAGCAGCAACTACTGATCCTGTGGATTTGTTGATCATAATCCAGGTACTCACAGGGGGATTGGTCAAGCTCTGTGATAGACCCGTGAACGTGGCGTTGTAGTTTACAAGCCACGTTCACGGGATTGCAGGTCAACTCGCCCCCTGGCCGACTCGCCCCTTACCGACTTGCCCCTTACTGACTCGCCCCCTGACCGACTTGCCCCCTGACCGACTCGCCCCCTGACCGACTCGCCCTTTACCGACTCGCCCCCTGGCCGACTCGCCTCCTAGCCGACTCGCCCCCTGACCGACTCGCCCTTTACCGACTCGCCCCCTGGCCGACTCGCCTCCTAGCCGACTCGCCCCCTCGCCAACTTGCCTCCTAGCCGACTCGCCCCCTGGAAAATTATGCACCTTACAAGGACATCGTGAAAAAAAAAAGACAGTGGAGGGGAACACATTGCATCCGTGTTTCACGACACTCAATGGAGCCAAATTATTCAAACGCCATTTTGAAATGATTTCTGGTACAATAACAATAATAACTATAATAAATGGTGATAATAACCAAAAATAAAAAGGTCATACATGAAAATATGACAATCCCTTTCCGCAAGAGAAGAGGGTCAGCAAATCACGTTCAAATCAGCTTCGTTATCTGAGTTTTGGTTAACATTTTCGAAACAGTTCGGTACGGTACGTTAAGAACACCACCATTTTTTTTTTCTTCAAAATATACATCCTTAATTCTCAAAATACTTTTTGATGAAACTGAGGACCCAGACGCGGCGGGTACCTGCCGCCCGCCGGCAGTCACCATGAAATAGACCTGCTGCTACGCGCATAGGCCCCAAGGGCACTCCCCGATTATCGGTACAGCTGTGCTAATGTGTTTCCAACCCCAAATTCTTCAAAATGGCGTTTGAATAATTTGGCTCCATTGGGTTTCACCATGGAGGAACACCCTGCGACCGGGCAATGTGTTCCCTCCACTGTCGTTATTATTATTTTTTTCACGATATCCTTGTAGGGTGCTTAATTTTCCAGGGGTTAGTCGGTCAGGAGGCGAGTCGGTCAGGGGGCGAGTCGAACGGGGGGAGTTGGCAAGGGGGCGAGTCGGCTAGGGGGCTGGTCGGCCAGGGGGCGAGCTTGTAAGGGGCGAGTCGGTCAGGCGGGGAGTCGGTAAGGGGCGAGTCGGTAAGGGGCGAGTCGGCCAGGGGGCGAGTTGACCTGACACCGTTCACGGGTCTAGCTCTGTGTGAATGAGTGACTCTGCTTCGAAGTACACAAACAGGGCTATCAGTATCAGCACTTACTGAAGAATGGCGCGTATGGCCTGGACAAATCCATTCACGAAGTAGCTGTAGGAGTCCAATGACTTGAATGATTTCATTGTGTCTTTAGTGTATGGGCCAGGTGAATTAGTCTAATATTTATGATAGTGGATATTTTGCCGGAGGTAATGACGGCAAACTAACGTTTACTAAAGGTTTGCCGGCGGCAATCCATATCAATAGAGGGTGCTGTACTCCTTAAGACAGGGGGCTGAATTATAAGATGTATTAAATTCCCACCAAAAGTTGTGTAGCACGTTTGGTGTAGCTCTAGTGAGCGGGATGACTCGGGTTCGATCCCGATCCCCGCCACATTTTAAAGGTTTTTTTCCCCATCCCCAAATAAATAAGAATATTCTTCTTTTATTATTTTTGGCCAAAAAAAAAATCTCCGGTTTCTGGTATGGAACTTGCCCCAAAAGTGGTGCGGCAACGCGGCTTTTTTTTTTTTTTTTTACCTGTTTTTTTTTGTTTTGGCTTCAAATGTCGGCTGATGACTGCAAATGGTGCCCGACTAAACTTAGTGCAAATATATGGGAGTCCAGAGAGGCAACATAAAGCTTATTCAGTTATTCTCGATCATAACCCCATCTAAAAACATGTTAAAATTGTGCAGCAGCAGGATTCCAGTCAAACCAGTGAGTTTGGCGGTTTTGAGACATCATCTTGTATTGGAAAAAAAAACTTTTTCATTTTGCCGACGCGCATGGCTACGGCGACGCGCGCGCATACCAGAAACCAGAGACTTTTTTTTTTTGGTCTTAACATGTCTTAAACATTTTATTGCAGAGTATTACATTTTCTTTTTCAGATTTGTGGCTCTGGCATTGGCATGTCTGGAGGATTTTTTTTAGGCAGTGTATATTTTGCCGGAGACGGCAAACCTTTAGTAAACGTTAGTTTGCCAGATATGCACAGAACATGCGCAGTTACTGTTTTTTTGTACTTAAAACATTTTCCGGTGACAAATTTTAGTCTGGCTCCATGCCAAAACTATCGTTGTAACCTCGTTTTCACGAGATGGGATTCAGACCATTTTATAATTTCGGACTATATTTCCCTTTTATAAAAAAATCCTCCAGAGCCACAAATCTGAAAAAGAAAATGTAATACTCTGCAAAAAAATGTTTGAGACATGTTAAAATAATAAAAGAAGAATATTCTTATTTATTTGGGGATGAGAAAAAAAACCTTTAAAAACGTGGTGCGGTCGGAATCGAACCAGAGTCATCCCGCTTACTAGAGCCTTTGCTTAACCACTACACCAAACGTGCTACACAACTTTTGGAGGGAATTTAATACATCTTATAATTCAGCCCTATCTTAAAGAGTACAGCGCCCTCTGTTGATATGGATTGCCGCCGGCAAACCTTTAGTAAACGTTGGTTTGCCGTCATTACCTCCGGCAAAATATCCACTTTTTTTTTTAAAGGGATATAAAAGTCCGAAATTATAAAATGGTCTGAATCCCATCTTGTGAATACGAGGTTACAACGATAATATTGGCATGGAGCCAGACTAAAATTTGTCACCGGAAAATGTTTGTACAAAAAAACAGTAACTGCGCATGTTCAGTGCATATCCGGCAAACTAACGTTTACTGAAGGTTTGCCGTCTCCGGCAAAATATCCACTGCCAATAATTATACATGTCGCCATCAGGCCACAAGGTTGGGTTGTTACTGTACTGCAATCCTCCACCGAACGGATCCGATATTTGTTAGCCCCATAAATGTGGCCTATTTACTGGACTGCCTCCGTAAACATAGGCCACACATCCACATGTACAAAAACGTGTCGACTTTCCCAAATATTGATTTTCACATTTAGGCTTAGTTTGTAGGATTTTTTTGCTTTAGAAGCAAACTCACCCTCTTTATAGGCTAGTCAGAAAGTGCTGCCTTTTTTCAGATGTCTAATTTTTGTGAAATTTCATGTTGAAATTTTTGATAAAAAATGTACATCTGAAAAAAGGCGGCACTTTCTGATTAGCCTATAAAGAGGGTGAGTATGCTTCTAAAGCAAAATTAAACTACAAACTAAGCCTAAATGCGAAAATCAAAATTTAGCAAAGTCGACACGTTTTTTGTACATGTGGATGTGTGGCCTATGTTTACGGAGGCAGTCCAGTAAATAGGCCACATTTATGGGGCTAGGTATTTGTTAGCTCAAATACCTAGAGCTAGGTATTTGTAAAGTTCCGTTGGGAAATTGAACTGTTAATTTGTCATTGTACCTTGACTCTGACGATAGATGATACGGCCGTCTGTGCTGATATATGCTAGTGCTCGTTCGTTTACTACTATACTGCACTGAAAGTGCGCTGAAAGTGCGTCAACCCCAACCTCGTCCCCAGGGTGTCGAGCAGTACGCGCCCACCACTACCTGCTCTCTCACCGGTCACCCTGGTATTGGATCATTTGCATGTGCAAGATTTTTGAACACGTATGCAAATGAGGAACAGTCTGGTGCCTGGATATGCGTTACACATTAGCGTTTGTTTTTGTATGCGGTGTTTGGGGTAAAAACAGAGTCAATTCGTAGCAGCGCGAGCACGGCGTGAGTTACGAAAACACGATTTTTGAAATCAAACTGTTACGATGTTATCGAGACAATATGCAGTATCATATTTCATATTAATATGAGCAGATTGGAAAGGAAATTAGTATTTTCGAGAAGGCGTGGACGAATGATCGCGAAAACACGTACTGCACGTTGTGAATATATAGCACCAAGTACACGATAAAAATCCATTACTAGCCAATTGCGGTATCCAATCAGGATACAGGAAGAAAGTTTCCTATCCAGGGTTTACTATTGGAAACGCGGTTGGAAATAAAGTAAGCACTGGGGACGAGGTTGCGTCAACCCTCTTTTGCGTGAAACATCTTTTGCGGCGCAGAATGGACTGGCCCACTCTACCATGAATCACCGGGGGAGCCGGTGGCTAGTTTTACTACACCAATGTAATATAATAGCGGTCATTAACACCTGTCCCGGTATCCCACAGCTTCTGCTTGATTTTAAGCAATAACTGATTAATTTAATCTAAAATACAATAAAAGTGTATTTCAATTTGAATACAAAATTAGTGATAATTAACTTGCATTTTTCCAAACCACCCCTTCACGAAATGTTTGAACCGCGCATTTGCGAAGTATAAAGGGATCTGTCAGCGCAGTGGGGCACAACATGACGCGGTGACCACGAATCCGCATGGTCGACTTGAACGTAAACCATCATGTGTTTTATAGCTCCATGCGTAAACATGCTCGCAATAATTTCCAAGTTCAGTTAAAATGAATTCAACAAGCAAATCTAATTGCATCATGGATGGAAAAGGTAGGAGGATGTTTCTGGTCAACGTGTCAGAAAAAAACCACGAATTCCAAAAAATCTGGAGGAAAAACGAATTGATAGAGGTATCACCTTACCAAACTTGGTTGGAGGTGTTCGAGCACGCGTGTCCTACCTTATACCGTCAGCTGATGATGGAGCTTTTGTATGACGAGCCAAGACTTAAGATCCAGCTCGCCTCATCAACGGCTTCCGATCCCTCGGATTTACTTATCTCTGTGAGGAGAGATCAACAAGTGAAATGCGCCCTTGAGTTTCGCCCCTCCCTGGACGTTGTTCACTTCGAGTTGACATCTCGGAGAGTTGATTATCCATCTCGAAACTTTTTCTCGGGTAAGTTCAATGGTTGTACTACTAGTTCTGTTGCTCGTCACTTAATTGCATACCACGGAGATTATTTCAATGTTATTTATTTAAAAGTTCCTTTAGCTTGAACTTCTAAAAAATATAGTTGTCTCATTCGTATTTTGAAAACAAAATATTTATTTTGGACAACTAAAAAAACGTTACGATAAATACAAAATACTGAGCAGTCAACCTCTTTCTTCTAGTTCTGACAATGCATGTGCAAAAAATGTAAGGTATTGCATTGCCACTGTTTATTAAATGTCGCCGACGTACCGCAATTAAGCTGCTCACGTTGCATGAACGGCGGTGGTAGCTAGGCGGATTCTGAAGCTGATGACGGACATAAACCACTATAGTCTAATACGACTTGTCATCAAGTCTATGTAGTGATTGGACCGATAACATGTTGAATATTCATGTCAAATAATAAACCAGCCAAGCATGTCAATGGGCGGTTTCCCACAAGCCGCCCGCGATACGGTGTAGCATGAATTTAGGTTTTATGAATTACAGACTCTTTGGTGGTATTGCGCATGGTCATGCATAGATAATTTGGAGAGGGACCGGTCACGTGCGCGTGAGAGGGTTTAACCAAAGGGAAAAAGAGCCCGACTTTCATACGAGTGTGATTTGCATACAACAACGGCAGTTGTCGTATGCAAATCACACTTAGTTGAGAAATTATTCGCACAGAGTGTGATTTGCATACGACAACGGCAGTCTGGTATGCAGCGGTGAAACCGCCGTGAAGTCAATCGTACCGTGCAGACCGCGCTGTAGTACAAGGTACAACATGTAGTTGGTGTTTACTTTATCTGTACAAGTTAAGGTTCTTCGTCGTAGAGCAACTCATACCTTTTCGAAAAAACGTTCTTTGGTCTTAAATTTTTTCATCCATCTGGCCAAAAGACGACTTTCAGTCATTATCTTCCACAAATATCGTCCCGAAAATGCTCCCCATGCAATTTCAAAATGGCGGCCGCGCTGTAATGTATGCATTATGGGAGCGCGCTTGGGCAAGATGATGAATATGCATCATAGTTTATGACGTTTGTCGGACACTCGGCGCGGCTGGCCATACAAACACGAGGTCATGAACTAAATAATGCATATTCATTATCTTGCCCAAGCGCGCTCGCATAATGCATACATTACAGCGCGGCCGCCATTTTGAAATCGCATGGGGAGCATTTTCGGGACGATATTTGTGGAAGATGATGACTGAAAGTCGTCTTTTGGCCAGATGGATGAAAATATTGAAACCAAAGAACGTTTTTTCGAAAAGGTATGAGTTGCTCTACGACTAAGAACCTTAACTTTGGAAATTTGTGTCCTGGATGAAAAGATAATCTCGATCGAAATATGTAGCAAAATCGCTACATCAGCAGCCAAAAAAATTCAGTCTCTGTGGCGTGGAAGCATCGGGCGTCTGGCCGTACTACAGAGCTTGCGATAGTACTGTAACGGCCAGACGCAGTCGGGCTAGTATTAAACTAGTATCCGATTACGTTACATGTAATTACTTATGCTTATACGCTGTAACACTAACCATGGAGGAAACATTCTTATTAGAACAGTGAAATTCATGCACCACAAAAAACATGGCCTTTCGAACATTGTGTTTCTCAGCAAATATAATAGCTCCATGGTAATTGGTATGAATGAAATGTTAAATGATAACGGAAGAATAAATTCTAAACTTCATGTCAGTGAAAAAACTCGCCGTCATCGATGCCGAAACGTCAATGCCGCATGACCTTCAAGTTTAAGTCTGGAAGAAATCGTTCAAAAAACTTCCCCAAATCTATGTATTTATATCAATTTCTAGGAATTTCGTCAACAGCGGCAACCGCACATCCGTGCCGAAATGTAAATGGGGGGGGGGGGGGGGGGGGGGGGGGGGGGGGGGGGGGGGGGGGGGGGGGGGGGGCTTGTACCCATCATCTAAATGGGGGCGCTCTTCAAAACTGACCATTATTATGCATACTACATATTATATGGACATTTTCTCGGCGCATTGTAATGGTGGTTGACTGGGTTTTCTTTTGAGGAAAAGATGTCAGAAGAACTCTTTAAACATTTATTTTAATCGTTGCTGCCAAACAAAATTGGCAAAAAAAAAATCAGCTTGGGGGGGGGGGGGAGCCGGGGCGGGGGGGGGGGGGGGAATACGCCACTGTTCTTGCATCATCTTTATATGTTTATTTTTTAACGAATTTTAACGTGAAAAGCGTATTTGAACATATTTCATGATGGATATATGCAGTATTCAAATGAATGATAATTATTGTTATTATTCCACATTCATAAATACCTCAGACAGTTTACGCATTCCTATTGGTCGAGAGCCCATCACGTGGCCGGTCTTAAACGGTTGATAATGACATGGCTAGGGCCCTGGTCTTAAACACTTTTCCATTGTCACAATGAAATGTGGACTCCTAAAAATCCAGTGCCTGTTATCGTTTCATTGGTTGAACGTTCACAATCCTCACGTAGGCATGCGCAACACTAACAGGGAGTCAGAATTTTATAGTTCTAAATTCAAAACGCAACGCGCCAGGTGCATTCTGCGTGACATCGCGCAGAACATGATACGCGCGCGTCAATCTCCATAAAAGGGTTGTTTACATCTTACTTGCCAGCTGAACACTCCATTATTTTGCAAGAGGGATGTTTCAAAAAGCATAAAGTGAATTTGTTGAACAAAATCGGGATGTTTTGAACGAATTATATGATTTTTTCTTACCGAAAAGGTATTTATGAATGGGAATAAATATGTGCTCCGTCGGTATTTATCACTCTGTTTAAGACCACTTAGAGTCTGGGTGCTGATAATTACCCTCGCCTCCGGCTCGGGTAATTATCAGCACCCAGACTCTAAGTGGTCTTAAACAGAGTGATAAAAACCTCCGAAGCACACATTTATTCCCTTATCGTTACGCAGCAGGCAATGGCGTGTCAAGCATGGGTGGTTCGACTGACGCGGCAGGCGATGCTGCACCAAGGCCGTTGCGTTCCAGAGATGAGAGCCTCGAGGAAGGTTTGGCAAGCGTCCGCATCGGAGGCGAGCATCCCGAGTCCTGCCCTTCGCCTCGCCCAGAAGCAACAGGTGCTGAAGAGGACAAAGGAGCAAGGGCCCTGGCTCTAGCTGAGATAAAAGCTGCAGCTATGGCATCTCAACAAGATGCCTTTGACAAGCTTGGGAAGGGCAATAACAGCTCCGTCTAAGTCTCCAGCCGGAAAAAAGTGGTAAGCGTCTTGTATTACAATTTCTGGTTTAAGCAATATTCCCAGACTGAAGACCATGGCCCTATTTCACATGCTGGTTCACGAGAAAAAAATTATGCTGGGGGGGGGGAATAAAGTCAAACATTTACATAAAGTAACTGCCCACAGCAGTTTGCTGAAATTAAAACGTGCAAAGAAATTCCTGACTTTTGTTGCATATTTCTCTTATAGTACATGTACATTTTTTACAACGCCTGAATAAATCCCAGTTAGATTGTTCAAGAATGAAGAAATAGCACAGGAAAATTCTTTTCCACAGTAAAAAAAATAACAGTGTATAGATATTGATGTAAAAAAAAAAACAGTCACTTTTTCTGTAAGGCCAAAAAAAAAAAGTCTCCGGTTTCTGGTATGCGCGCGCGTCGTCGTAGCCATGCGCGTCGGCAAAATGAAAAATTTTTTTTTCAATGAAAGATGATGTCTCAAAACCGTCAAACTCACTGGTTTGACTGGAATTCTGCTGCTGCACAATTTCAACGTGTTTTTAGATGGGGTTATGATCGAGAATAAGCTTTATGTGGCCTCTCTGGACTCCCATATATATTTGCACTAAGTTGAGTCGGGCACCATTTGCAGTCATCAGCCGACATTTGAAGCAAAAAAGTCGGGTAAAAAAAAAAAAAGCCGCGTCGCCGCACCACTTTTTGGACAAGCTCCATACCAGAAACTGGAGACTTTTTTTTGTGGCCTAAAATATGGTTTAAGCAAAAACAAAACAAAAATTTAAACAAAAAATGCTTGCTTCCTTTTGTGTTTTTAACAGTGAGGGTCTCGTTGGACAGACAACGAAATCAGGAATGTTTGAAATGGAACGTCTTTCCAAGTTGAGAACTCCTCTTCTCTAGTTTTTAAGACCATGGGCCCACAACCTAAGAACGTTTTGGGGGTTGATCCTAGCATCGATTGGGGGCAGCATAACAAGGTTTGCCAATTCATGTATATCATTTAGAATCTACACCACGTGCCTTAATTAGTGTGGCACCGTGTGTTTCATATACTTCCATTTGTAGCAAATAAGACAAGAGTCCATGCGGATGCCGAAATTACTTTTTTAACCATTTTTCAGCTTACACTATGAAAGGTTTAGCCATTCTGAATCGATAAAACAGAATTTTGTTCACTCTGGGGATACCAATGACTTCCATCTACTCAAAATTTGCATGAAGATTGCTTTAAATAGATTACAGAGCTAAAAACGCTTTAGTTTAGATTACTGCATGTACATTGCATTGCGGAGTACATTTTTTTTTCAAGTACCTTCAACGGTATATATCTTAACCCAAACCTCCCCAAATCCATCCCCAATTTTGGTGGATTTTGGGGGACTTGGTCCTGCAGGCCTGGTTTAACTAAATATTGATGGAGTATGATGGACTTAGGCCTGGAGGCCTAAAAACAAAGCATGCATTGGAAGCAGTGTGAATGATGGATTTGGAGGACTTGGTCCACTACTTAGTAACAGACAGTAGGGAGTTGGGGTTAAATATGTAATTATGTGCGGCTATGCTGAGCTTGTTTAAATAATTAATGACTTTTTGTTTTCATCGTGTCAGCAATATTGGAACCTTTTTTGACAATAAGATTCAAGGCATCAAATACCCAGTAGAACCTAGTGCATAGAAGTTTTTGGCGATTTTTTATTATTCATTCTTTTAATTCTTAACGTCTTCCAAAATAGGAAAAAAAAGTGGGGGAAAAAAAAAAACAATTCTCATAGACGCATTAAGTGAAACATGCTTTTCAAAAAAGATTTTTTAACAATGATAAAGAAACTTGGCGCAGTTTTCAATATTGTGACAAAAATATATACTCAGTACTTGATAATAAAAAACCGCAATATATTAAATTGTTTTATGAGATTTATTAATAATTTTATGTATAAAGTGCATAAAGAAACCATACATACATGTATATTCTGGATATAATTGTGAAAGTTTATGCAAATTCTTTACAAGCATCACGAGAAATGAAGTAAAAGTTTTTAAAATATGTAGAATCAGATGTAGATCTGTGATGAACTCCAAACATATAATGAAACGTAATACAGAAAGTTGTTCTCGATTATTTGAATTAGAAACTTCTCACCAGCTTTCTACATATTGGTCTGAAAGTTTTGTGATCGTATTGTTGAAGCCATTTTGTACCCCATCAAGAACCTTCTCTCTTAATGGACACCATTTGCAAAAGAAATGTATGTTTGCCAATGTAAGGAACAGTACAATAAATCTGAAGCAGCTTATTGAAAAACTAACCTGTCGAACTTTCAGCTCAGTAGATATACTTACAGAGAAAAAGTGTGAAATGCATCTTCATTTTTCTTGAAACAAAAAACAGGTTTCCATTCAAAGTGTAACGGTTGGTCCTAAACATCGTAAGAAAATAATGGTAATTCCTCTTTTCGTGAAAACATGACAGCATACAAGGCGCAAGATGCTTGATCCTGTCATTTACTCACAATCAAGACGGATAATTCACAATTTTTTGACGGTTTCATTTTTGAATATTTGCATGGTGTCCATCCCCTTCAAGGAAATTAAACAATCACACGTGGTCACACGTCGACCAAGGCTTCGTGGCGGCTGTCATACGACCCTTGACCTCTGACCTCTAGCTCCTGAGGTGTTTCCCCCAGCATGCCATGGAAGATAAACTTCCCCCTGTAAGCCACGTTGTGCCTGTTTTAAAAACAAAAATGACCGAAAAGAAAGGAAGATTACATTTTTTGCTATAATTATATTTTTGGAGTAATTTGGATGTTATTACTGTAAATAGTGCCCTGTATCATGCTTTTCAAAAAACACATCAAAAAAATTAAAAAATACTTATGTTTTTGTTTAGAAAACTGTATCAAGAAAACATGGTTGCAGAAGTATGGTTACAGTCGACTTCCGTTAAAACAAGCTCTGTTAAAACAAATTCTGGTTTACATAGAGAACATAAAGACTTATATGGGACCGATGCTCCACTTAATACAAAATTCTGAAATGCCAAACATTTTGGCTAGGCCTTGCTGAGTTTGTATTAACGAGAGTCAACTGAAGTTTGTGTGTAGTTGCGTGTATGGGCCATGACGAGCATATCTATCCTACATATATATGTAACAGTGAGCAACTCAAAGGCAAATCTGAAATAAACTGCTTGTAAAAAAGAAAGGCAACTTTGGACTATTGTGTACAATATTTATGAAACTTTGAGAACAATATCCAAGATGTACAGTAAGTGACCGGTGTTCAGTTGCTATTTTTTTATGAACAATAATCAAGTACTTGCCTGGCGGTGAAGTGAACTTTGAGGATCATTTTGCTGTGAGAGACGTGGGTGACGTGCGCTTCTAGAAAGCCGGATGATGGCACGACGCGGAACAATTCCTCTGCTTGCTGCTGGGGATCTGTTTTGGGGAGGGATGGAAATTTTACAAAAAAAGAGGAAACTTGTTAAAGTTTTACCATAATTTGTGAAAACAAAATTTTTGTTTTATCTCATTCATTGCTTAGGAATAAGGGTCAATTTGGAAAGAATGTTGCATCCTGATGCCACTTTTTTCATCATAGATTATCTCAATGAATGTCAATCATTGCAAAAATGTTTAAAAGACGTGAATCTGGGACTGAGAACCATTTCCAATTTTGTTAGAAAATACTTTGAAAATGCACTCAACTCTCCACAGACTTTGTAAACATCCGAAGAAGTGGTGTCTGGATACTAAATTCGGTCCATTTAATGACAAATCCAAATTTTCTACCTTTTATAGCGAATGTTAGACAAGTTGTCCCAAATACAGCAATTTCTGATTTTTCCGTCACAGATAATCTGGGAAGCTTAAGGCACCATGTAAGTCACTTGTGTGAAATGTGCCACGACTGAAATAGTGCGCTACATGAAATGTTAGGCCAGTTTCCGCCACAAAACTATGAAAAAGTGGAGTTACGCCACTGCGCAACCTTTTGTAAAAATTGTTGCCGAATTCTAGACTCACCAGAAACGACCGTCCAGAAGCTGGCCGAGCCCGTCGGATTGCTGATGGTCACTTCCAGCTCCCGCTGCTGCGACACCAGACACGTGCCAAAGTCCAGGTAGGATGGGGTGACTCGGATGGACGGTATAATGACCATCGCATACAAGGGCAGTTTCTGGACGCACAAAAGATGAAGGAAAAGCATATAAGACTTAAATGAAACCATAATGTTCCCTCAGATTCACACTGGCCAGCCAGCCCAAGTAAGCTCAACTGTCGAGTGGTAAGGCATCTGAACCTGTAAGCAGGAGGTCGTGGGTTCGAGTCCCACCGAGATAATATGACTTGGTTTCTCAAAAGCTGAAAAATTATGTGCTAAAACATATTACTTGGATGAAGGGGAATTCTGTAATTTAAAGATTCCCTCCCCCTCTTTTCCTCATCCTTTATCCCACCCCGTTCCCCACCCAGTTCCCAACCTTTCCCCACCCACCCCAACCCCCGCCCCCAGCGTTTTCACCTTACCTGGACAGCATTATTGCTGTACTGTATCACCAGGTCTTGCTTGATGATCAGTCGGCGTTCCTCCTCGTGTTTCATCAGCTGAACCCCGAAGTACTCCTGGCCAACTTGCAGCTTACTCAGACACATCTCCAGGAGATCGGTCGTAAGGTGGAAGGCAACATTTATCTGTTTAAGGTGGGGGTCGTCAGAAAAGGTACAATTGTAAATTTTTAAAAACTTACCGTTTGTGCTATTTTTGAGTTTCACCCAGAATACTGTAATATTTTACTCTCTTTGAATGAAAAATTGAACATTTGAAAAAAATTGATCTGTGTTTATTCATGATTACATTCTCACAAATTTCAAATAAATTTAGGCCTGACAATAAATAGTTTGATTCTTGTGGTGGCCTGGTTCATGCCTCTCTAACAGAATCGATAATGTAAGGATCGGAAACCAGACTTCTCGCAGAATGGATTTTTTGGCACTTCAAGTCGACCTTAAATAAAAGCCTTAATTAATTTAAGTGGGTTGCAGACACCCAAAATAATAAGTATAAAGTAGGTTTTTAGGAAGTAACTAGCTTAATACCTCGGGAAGCTAATATCAACTGTCCACCCTCAAACCAAGTTATATTTTTCAAGTTGAAGATTCTACCTGGAGATTCTTCTGTGGCGGCAGGCCCAGCATCTGCTCTCCGCTCGACACGGCCGACTGGTTCTGGATGGGGACGGCCGATCCGCCGCGCGACTGGCCCGATCCGGGCTCGGTCCTGAGAAGCTCAAACGGCTTCGGGGTGAGCAGCCGGAAGGCCAGTGGAGTCTGGGTGGCGTTGGTCAAGTTGGCTGCCTGGCTCTTGGTGTAAGGGGACCGAAACTCGGCCCGGTTGGCCAGGTCAAGGAGATCGCTCGCTGCCGTGTGGTAGCGCATGCCTTCATCGTCGGTTGTCTCAACCGTCAACCTGTCACGAGAGAAAAAGAAAGGAAGACAAGAGATGATAGACAGAGTTGTAATCAAGCTGGTCACAAATCATCACAAGTCATCAAACATCATCATAAGTCATAAAAAATCATCTCAAGTCAATCACAAGTCATCACAAGTCATCACAAGTCAATCACAAGTCACCACGAGTCATCACAAATCATCACAAGTCAATCACAAGTCAATCACAAGTCATCACAAGTCAATCACAAGTCATCACGAGTCATTACAAATCATCACAAGTCAATCACAAGTTATCACGAGTCAATCACAAGTCAATCACAAGTCAATCACAAATCATCGTAAATCATCAAAATTCAATCACAAGTCATCACAAATCATCACAAGTCAATCACAAATCATCACAAATCATCAAAATTCAATCACAAGTCATCACAAATCATCACAAGTCAATCACAAGTCATACAGTCTCAACTCAAGTCACAGACAACTCAAATGAGCTGCGAAAAAGGCATTGACCTTTCTTGTCATTCACCCTTGCTGCATGACTTATGGTTTAACCTGTGATTGGACTCATGATTTGAGTTGTGATTTGTCTTGTGATTGACTTGTTTCCAACTTCATCGCAACTCTTGCAAAAGTGTGTTGGGGTGGCAGTGGTTTTGTACTGGATAGGCATGAGATAACCTTTGGTGCATTCACTGTAACTAATATGAAATCCTTACTACAATTCAAGGAATCTCTGTCTGTCTGTCTGTCCGTCTGTCTGTCCGTCGATTATCTCCAGAACCGGGCACCGTATGGAGTTGAAAATCGGCGGGGGTATTGCTCGGGACAACCGAATGTGCAGTGCCGAGTTTGAAGTAGTTTGGACCAGCGGTTGTCGAAAAAGTTGCAAAAAAGCAGTATTTTCTGAGGCCTAGCGCGCCAGAATATAGCCTAGAACCCGGCGCGCACTGCTGTTCTTTTCAATTGTTTACGTCATGTAAAGCTAAACCGCGCGTGCTCAATATGACGCAAACAATGCAAAAAAGACACGGGCACGCGTCTAACTCTATGGCATGCGCACGGGCATTGTAGGGCGATACTATTGTTCAGTATGGGTGAATGTATAGCATTGCGTACCATGTTACCGTTTGTACACCTACGTGGTGGCTGCACGGGCACATTATTTTTGCAGTCGACTGAGCGACCTTACTGCAGGACGATACCATTGTCCAGTAAGGGAGAGTAATATCTGCGCTGGGTTTTTTTTGCAGCCTTTTTGAGAAACACTCGCCCAAAACAATTTCAAACTTGGCACAAACTTTGACGTGAGTGTGCGTTCAACCTGTAAAAACAACACCATTGAATCGCGTGCGTTGTTTGCACGAGCAGTTCTCAAAAACTCTGCAAGCATGCAACCAATACATAAATTTGCGCTTCCCAAACAAGCACATTTTAGACGGCACAGCACGGTTGTACGCGTACGAGGACGTGAGAATCTGCACGGGTATACGCATTTTGTCGTCGACTGAGCAACAATTACTGTAGGCGACTGACTGAGCAACCTTTACTGTAGGACGATACCATAGTCCAGTATTGGTAAATATCAGTGCCAGGGATGGCGACGTCTACAAAGTGCGCGTTTAACCTATAAATGTGCGTTCAACCTGTGAAAGCTAGCAACATGTAATGTGCGTTGTTTGAATGAGCAGTTCTCTGCCCCCTCCACACAGACACATTTTCAACGGGCCCTGCACTAGTATAGAACAATTAACAGAGAGTCTCAAGAAATTCCAGCCCAAAACTCTCCGAACTTACAGAGCGGGCTTGAGGTAGGCTGTGAAATCCAGCCGCAGCGGGGTCATCTCGTAAGCCTGCCCTCGCGACACTTTCCCCGGGACCCGTCTGGTGCCCTCGCTGTCCAAACTCATGAAGCCCAGGCCGTAGCCGATCCAGTCGGCACCCCGCAGGGTCAGGGAGTCCGTCTGGGGGTCGAAGGAGGCTGTCATCTGGATGCTGCCTCGGGCTGGAATGACCTGAGGTCAAAGGTCACAGGTATCCCATAATCAGCGTTGAGTTTTAATTACTTGTACTATGAAGGTAATAATCATTAGTAGAAGTTTCTTACCATTTGTTTATCGCTGACAGTGAATGGCCCACCCTCGGCCCGTTCACCTTCGTGCTCTCGAAGGACGACCTTAATCAGCTGACCTTCGATCTCTGACCCCCGGCATTCACTCTCCAACTCCTCAGTGACCTTCTGCAACAGGCCCGGTTGAGTAGTCACCGTCGGACTCCCGTCATTCTCCCCCCTTGGTATCTCAACGGCAGACATATCTGGTTGGCTGGGTACAATCTCCTCACCATTCCCATCTCGGAGGGGGAAGGGCTCTCCGATGTTGACCAGGAGGTCCAGGAGTTGGGCGTCATTCTCCACCAGGTTGAAGATTTGCCAGTCCAGACGAATACCTTTAAAAAAAAAAACCAAAAAACCTCTGTAAAAGACTAAAGTCCCTCTCAAAAGTGTTAATTAACCCTTCAAGAATGTCCACATTGTGTGCAGAATATTACAGACGCCCCCATCCCCCCCCCCCTGAAAAAAATGTAGTAACTGGCTTGATTTCTATGAATCAACAGGAAAATTGCCAACCCAAGTTTTGAATTTTGAAGTGTAGAGGTCCATTTGCAAGAGTTCTACATAGTTGGTAACAAATAGTGCACATGGAGTGCCCACTGGTCATCATAACCTAATTATTTGCTAAAATATAACTTGGTGAATACTCAACGACGGATTTCATCAACCTACCGCAGGGGCTGTTGTTCCTGATCTTCAGCGGTCTGTGGACGGGGGGCAGGCCCGCCACGTGGGTCCCAAACCTGACGATGGGAAGTTGACCCTTGAGGGTGGCCATGGAGAAACAGAGTGGACATCCAGTGACCGTCATTGTGATAGGGATGACCACCGGGGGTAAATCTGACACCTGTTAAGGGGGGGGGGCGGTTAGAAAAGTCCAAATCAATAAAATTAGATGCAAAGCAGGCATTCCATCGAAATTGGCAAATTTAAAAAAAAAAACAAGGAAAGCAAACTGATTTCGTTTAACATAAGGGTCATCTATCGCTTTCGGGGCTCCACTTTATAAGGGAAAAACCAACCTTGCAGATGAGGTTGTCCATGTAGCGCCCCCACATGTCGCTGAATGCTGTCACTCGGACCTCCAGCTCGGAGAACGGTTCAAGCATACCGGATGCCGGGGAGACCACAAATGCTGCGCCGCGGTCATCGCGCAGCACGGCCTTGGCGTAGTCCGTCTGAATCTGAGAGGGCGTGCGGCTCTGCGGATCGGCCAGGTTGGACGTACGATTCAGCAAACCACGCCTGTAAACATTCAAAAGGAGTTTGTTTAACCCTTGGCTTTCATCAGAGAGTCCTGGGTTTGAATCCCACCAGTGCACTGACCATATGTTGTGTCATTGGGCAAGACACTTTACACCTTTTTGCCTCTATTAAGGGGGTTTCGGCATTGCCCCAACTGATATCAAGATAGGGTTCTTTACTCAAGATTAGACAGTCATGGGTTTAATCCCACCACTGGCCATATGTTATATGTCCATGGGCAAGACACTTTACAACTATTTGCCTCTCTTAATAAGTGGGTATCGGCACTACCACAACCTGATATCGTTATGGATTTGGTTGACAGTCATGGGTTTATTCCCACCACTGGCCATATGTTATGTCCATGGGCAAGGCACTTTACCCTAATTGTCCGTCTTAATTTAGGAGTAAAAGTGGGTACCGGCATGACCACAAACTGATTTCAGTATAAATAGGGTTTATTGGTAATGCTTTACCTCTTTGAGGAATCCTTGGACTCCTTGTCTTTGTCTGGTGGTGTCGGGGGTTTGGCCGATCCGAAATGTTCCAGGGTGATGTGGAAGGGTGCGGCGATGGCAGTGTGGTTTGTGACCCGGACCACACGGCTAGGGGTGGAGCCTAGCTCAACGTCGTGGCCATAGTCCAACAACAGCTCCTCGTCCCTGAATCGGGGAGAAAAAAACAGTAAATTCAAAACAAAATACTGGCAAATTCAATCAAAACAAGAGAAAGCAAGCCTTTAACTGATTTTAAAAACATTGTAGAATATGCTGTAGTGGTAACATGCAGGGGTGGATCCAGGTTTGATTTGGGGGGCGGGGGGGGGGGGGCTGTTGCTGTGAATGGGTCAAACCCATCCATTCAACCCAACCCATCCATTCGAGGGGTTGCGGGAGGCTTTATTGTTGTTGAGGTTGGAGAAAAACCCTGCAATGATATCCCCTCAAAAGTTCTTGAAACTTGGATGGGATTTACAACCTAATTCACATGTTGAACGGGTAGGATTTGAACTGGAGCGCCCAAGGTGGAAGGCAAATGAAACACCACTGTGCCAACTTAACTCCCCTTTTTTTGACTACGAGAAGCCCCTCCCATCCCAAAAAGGCAAAAATTACCAGAGGAAGTCAGGATATTTGCTAAGCTTACCCGTGTTCCCGATCAGGGTTCAGGGTCACGTAGGTCACCGTAAGGCCCCTCACATCCGTGAATAAACCTAGGATGAGTGGGTTGGCCATTCCCTCGACAAAACATGGAATCTTCACGTCGTCAAGCAAGCCCTGAAAATATGGATGAAAAAAATCAAAATGTGACAATTTAAAAGAGGAATAAACACAAAACCAAAAGTAAAACTCTCAGTGGATTATAAGTAATACAGATATATGGACAAGTATCTATCTCTTCAATGGGGAAAATGAGTGCCAATATTGAAGGACCATAGGGCGCCATCTTGTCTCATGCACACTCGGTATGCATGTATTATATTCAAGGTGAACAGTGTGCGTAAACCAGTGAAGCGTCCTTCATATACTCATGTTATGTTACATAGCGTCCTATTTTGATTACAAACAGAGTCCATTTAAAGTCCACACACAAACAGTTCTGAACAATGCAATGGGTGTTTTTTTCCCTTAAAAATCTGGAAATATTTATTGAAGAATAAATACCTGAGCATGGGCCACGAAAGTGACTGCCACTTTCAAATTCTCCCTGGGTTGAAGGCGGCCCTGGCTTGGGTCAAAGGTCACTTGGCACTTGTCTGCCTGCGACCCCAAAGGCTTTTTAAAAAAAAGCAAACAATTTTCTGATAAAATAAATTATGAATTTTTGAAATACATTTTCTTGCTACACAATATAAGGGAACAAACAAGTGCAATGTCCAAATGAGGGTTTTGGCTCAGCTTATGAGCGTGTGTCCATGGGCAAGACACTTTGCAGCAATTGGTCCTCTCTACCTTATTTGGAATCCCTAGTGAACAAACCATAACGAAAGTTTGTTTGAGGTGTTTAAAACCCACAAGGATAAACTTAACAGTTACACAAGACATTTTCAACCATTAACCATATTTGTCTGAACGAAAACAGTTGTGCTGTAAAATGTTTCAATGTTGAACAAAGTTTGTGTGGAATGAACGTACCTCTTGCCAGTTGAAGTCAGCAGGGAGTAGTGTCTGGTTGACGATGGTCACTTCCCTGGTAATTGGCACACCGACGTAGACCTCGTCCATGGTCAGGTGACTAGACTGCAGGCAGGCCTGGGGATGCTGCACGTCGGCACGGACTCCAACAAAACTACCACATTCGCAAAACGAAATTTAAAAAAATATTAAGTCAATCATAAGTCAATCAGTGGTCTATCACATGTCTATCACGCATCAATCACATGTCAATCCCATGTCAATCACATGTCAATCCCATGTCAATCACATGTCAACCACAATTCAATCAAAGGTTAATCACAGGTCAATCACAAGTCAATTACGGGTCAATCACAAGTCAATCACAAGTCAATCACGGGTCAATCACAAGTCAATCACAAGTCAATCACAGGTTAATCACAGGTCAATCAAAAGTCAATCACATGTCTATTACATGACAATCGCAAGTCAATCACATGTCTATCATATGTCAATCACAAGTTAATCTAAAGTCAATCACAAGTCAATCACAAGTCAATCACATGTCAACCAGAGGCTAATTGCAATTCAATCTGAGGCAATCATAAGTCAATCACAAATCCATCATAAGTCAATCACAAATACATCATAAGTCAATCTCAAGTCATCCATTCTCAATCTAAGTTGCGAGCTATCTATCTGACCTGAGACAAAGGCAGACATTCTTTTTTGTGATTGTTATCAATATACCTGTTGTTCCCGTCAGCAACTGCACACTTAAACACACCCTGTATCCGGCGGCACTGCACGGGTTTGAACGTGACCTTTACGACCTTTGACCCGAGCGGTGGCAGGTCACCACTGGAGGGTGTCAAAGTGAACTCGGAGACAGTCTGAAATTGAGGGACAACAAATAATGGTGATGTTTTCATTATTTATCTGCGCCATTCAGTTTGCCATTTCAATGCAATGTACTTTTTGTCAAGAAATTGGTCAGTGTATAGTCCTACAGATCTTTGTTTTAATAAATAATTTTCTGAAAGATTACCTTTCCAGTTTTCGGGTCCCTCAGCATGAACTCTTCACTCTCTTCCAGACGCCAGGAGGCGGGGACTTGGGAGGCATTCCGGAGGTGGAGCTCCGCAGCTGCGGTGTCCCCGTGCCGCACCAGCCCAAAGTCAACAGAGGGCGTGTCGATCACGACCCGCGGCCCCACGATGTGGGCCACCACACGCAGCGGCACCGTGCTCTCCTGGTGCTGGATGTGACACTGGAGGGTGTGGTCGATGGGGCCGGGACGTGCCCCCGAGAGGGCCAGCTCCAGGCCCACCGTGGATTCTGGAGGGATGGTGCCCTGGGGAGTCTCCACCTCGATGATGTGGCCCGCGCTGTAATTGCTCCAGGCAAAGTGGGCGGGAAACCTGCTGTGATTGGTCATCTGGAAACGACAATCATTGAAGTCCATTAATTACAACAGTACCCAAATTCATCTCATTAAATTATGTGGGCTAAGTTGCCGATGAGTTAAGTGCTAACGAGTCAACAGTCAAGAACTACCTGGAAAGGTTTCCGGATGGTGGTGGACACCAGGAGCTTGCCCGGCACAAAGATGGCGTAAGGCTCCACGGTGATGCAAAACTCCTCGCACTCCCCCTTCAGCTCCACCTCCAACCCCACCACGTCCGAGACCTGGACTGCGCCGCTCCGTTGAGCAGAGCGGCCGTTTGGCGTCAGCTCCTCCTCCCGGCCGTCATCGCTCGCCGCTGATGAGGAGGCGGCCGAGAGCTGGCGGTCCTTGGGGACCTCCTTGAGGATGAGGTGGAGGACACTGTGAGCGGGGCCAATCTAGAAAGTTGAAGAGACAGAATCACTAGCAAATAGGGTAATAACTTATGACTTAGCAAATCTCTTCTGTGTTTCTGTACATTTCTGTAAATTCTGCGCAAAGCGAAATTCCACAGTAAGCATGTTCATCAGCTTTTTTTTAAAATTTGACATGTCTGATCAGTACCTTCGTGGGAGCATAAGCCACCGTCGCCTTGCACGTCCCCTGAGGTGGCAGCACCCCTTTGTCAGGGTTGATGCAGAAGGTGTTCGTCTCGTCCTTCAGCCGCTGAATGATGCCCCCACCGAGAACCTCCCCACTTTCCTCTTCTTGGACGGGACACTCAAAGTGGGGCCTCAGTATTTCCCAGTGGAAGGGCAGCTCCACATTCCTGTAAGAACAAGACCAGGCGAGGCCGGGAATTCTATTTACTGAATAATTTTTTGGTGTTATGGGGTAATCCTATACAATAGCACTGCCCGGCTCTTAAGTGACAGAGTGTCAGCCAGTCAGTCTGTGAGGTACAAGGATCATTCAGAGAAGAAAACGTAATCCTTACGTTGTGTTCTTGATGGTCAGCTGTTTGGTGGTGAAGGTCATAGGGTTGATGGGGTCAAATCGGATCTGGTGCTGGGCCGTGGCGTCGCACATCTCCCCTGGGGCGGGGAGGCTCTCCCCACCCTCGCTGACATCGGCCAACTCCACACCGGCCGTTTGGCCCTCGCCTTACAGAAACAAAATTTCAAATGTATGATCAGTATTCCAAAAACCGCTTTTTAAAATTTTTTATTTCAGCTTCAGCTTATTCTACATTTTTTTAAAGCCCTTTTGAATCAATTAAATAGAATGTTGTGTGCTCTAGCTATAGAGTTGTGATATCTTGTTGATTCTAAGTCTCAGATTTAATCTACAGTAGAAGCCGTTGAAGTCTGCACGAGTCATCACAAGTTAATTCCTAGTCAACTTCAGAAATCCAACAGTCTCAAGTCCGATGATCATGATTTTTAAAACGAGCTGTGTCAAAGGCATTCTCTTATTTGTGTTCCTCCCCATGGTTGACTTGTGATTCGGGGGAAGGAGGGGGTGATTGATGTAGGGTAGACTGGACTACGACTCTAACCAAAACCAGACCACTAACTAGAAACTCAAGAGCATCCCTAGAACTCTATACCTTTCAATGTGAAGTGCTTGACGGTGCAGTTATCGCAAATCATCGTAAGATTGCGACGGAAGTGTTTCACCGATGTTGGAGTGAACGTAACCTGCGACACAAAGCATGATTGATATGTGATTGATATGAGAAAATTGCTGGTTTTTGAAATCGCGGCTTTGTCTCAGCTGTGGCTTCGTCTCTGGAATCATTTAGAAGCCTTTAATGTCTATCCCAAAGGACTTTTTTTTTCAACTTTGGCATCATATTACAGCCAAGGCCGTAGACAAAGCCTAGGTTTCGTAAACCCCAATGGCCATGCCCAAATCAGGAAGTTATTGTCTAGGGCTATGGATAGGCACAATGGTGTTACAATGGCAGAAACTGAAGTTAGTCATAGCCATGTTGTTTCTGGCTTTACTTGCCTGTAGTGGAATGGTGTGGCCTGCGAGTAGCTCAAAGATTGCTGGCTGGATGATGAACGGTGCCAAGTCGACTCTGTCGCTATTGGTAGCAGACTGCAAGACAGAAAAAAAAAGAAAATAGAACTTGACAAACTTTGTTTAGTACCAGTATGATCTTTAATCTAAGTAAGCTTTTATAATTTCATTAGGTTACTTTTTGGGGTAAATGCAAATGATCCTACTGCTCACCTTAAAGTTTGTCGTGGGCCAGCTCTCCCGCGGCATGAGACAGAAGCGACCGCTTCCTCCCACGTTCTTGACCAGAAACTGGACAGTACGTTTCCCGCCGACTAGACAATGTCCGCATTCTACATCTTTTGACACTGTGGCGAGACAACAACCAAAAAAACGACAATGGAAAAAGTACTTACTTAAAGCTGGGATTTTTAGTAAAAATGTATGCTGCATTTCATGGAGTGCTAAACGGAAAAAAATCCTTTCGCAAATTTTAAATGCTAAGCACAGATCAGCTGGGAACCAGTCCCAAGCATTGTGTATTGCATGGCTTTTTGGCCGGTAACCCGTTTTTGCTCAGTGAATATATATTCTACGCTTAGCTGAAATTTGCCCAAATAGCTCTGCACAGAATAAGCTTGATTCTGCGTGATGTGCATGTACATTTGAATGCTTTCTAGAATTGAAATTACCTGATTTGCTTTTATTTCAGTTGTTTGACACTTTTTATAAGTTGAAATTAAAAAAAATTGAATAAGAAATTGAAACTACTGCTTCAGGAAGACCTGAAAAATTAATTTGTTTTGGAACTTAAATGATTTTTATCTTGCTGTGAAAATTGAAAATGGGGCAATTGATCTTGTAGTAAAAAGCACAACACAAAGTTGTTTTGGACTGAGTTTGACAGCATGCGTCAGAGTTTACAAATTTACATTATTGAGACATTACTTATTCCTTGTTCGTGGACATGCATGTATAAAAGATGCCGCTTTGTTACTTATTTTTTCATACGCGAATGGTGTAAAGTACGCACGACTTATTCTATTCTGAAAGTGCGCTAACCCATCCCGTCTTGCTTGAGCGTCAGGCATCGTAAGCGATGCTTTTGAATGTCCCTCGCAGTGGTCTCCCCAACTCTCCCTTTTTGTAACACTTGAGGGGTACTTGTGCAACGAGTCTATAATGCTTCACAAGGATGGCAGAGTTTCAAAAAACGCAAACTTCACTACTTACAGGATAAAATGGGAGGTGGACGCCTGCCCTGGAGTTTGACTACCAGCGGCTGGCTGGACTGGGTCTGGATCGTGATGGTGTCGTTGAAATCCATCAACGAGTCTGGCATGAAACGGATGCTGTACTGGCAGCTCATACCGGGGGCCACGATGCCTTGCTCACCGGGAAACTTGCCTGTAGAAAAAACAAATGGATATAGTTGAGAAAATTATAAAACCAAAACCAATAAAATAGCCGGTTAAAGCCCGAGTCCATCATTTGCAGCTATCCAAAAAAGTAACCGGCGTACTTATTGTTGAAAAATATACTGGTTGAAAGCTAGTAAGGGGACTAAACTCCCTGTGAAATTAACCCTTCTGGCAAGCTGTAATTTTGAAGAAATCAACGAAAGAAGGCATTTCCAACGGTGTTTCTTAAGAAGCACCGTAGGAAAATTTAAATTAGTTGTTCGTTTTGTTATTCGGCGCAGCGCGCACAAGCATTGGAACGACGCACAGGCGCGCACGGTTGCTATAATTCATTGGATCAGTGCGCAACATCGCGTAAAGCTGCAATTCAAAACAATTCAAAACATGATTTAGCAACTTTTGATTTTAAATTGAGATCCTAGAATGCTGTTTTTTTCGTAATATGAAGCTGAAGCTGAGCTGAAACTTCATCAAGTAAGTTGTTCAGTATCCTTCATTAGATTTTGAACACTTTTGTTGCTTCAAACGAACAAAATGCACTAATTACAAATGATGGACTATAGCTTTAATGCAAAAGGACGTGTAAACACGATTTGGCAATGAATATTCGCAGGGGCAGGTGAGGAGTTTAATCGTCAATAAGCTTTTCCTGAGTCTTAGGCGATGGACGTGTATACACTTCAGTGGTTCCCATTGGTTTTGTACACACCATATTTTGAACTTGAACTTTCGTTGTAACAAATATCGCTCTGTGACGGGGCCTCTGGGTGTTGCAAAATTGAAGTTACAGTGAGAAGTATTCTTCAAATATATTGCATGAATGACTCTCAGAGAGTCAGTATTTGTGGAGTTTGACTTAATTTTAAAATTTGGCCAGTACATCTTGTCTTCTGTTTCAAAACTTGTGGTCTTTTTTGGCTCAAAATAATCCAGGCAGGAAGTGGTCAAAAGAGCACTGTTTTACATGCAAAGTTTTTACGGAATTGGAACTATGAACAGACCTAGCCCGACGGAGAAGAATTGGGATTTTGGAGGGACGACTCGGAGTGGTCGACTCGCAGCCGAGACGTTCTTCAAGTCCAGCGGGAGTTCGTAGACGCGTCCGACTTGGTAATCAGTGAATACAACGGTCGATGGGTTGGCAAGGAAGACAACGGAGGGCTCTTTTTTGCTGTAATTGAAACAAAAATTGGAACAAATATTTATGCATATATTTTCAATTTAACAAAAAAATTACAAAATGTGTACACGATGCATGAAAGTTACAGACGACTTTTTAGTGAAATAGAAAGTGTGTGAATTGTACAAAACGACAACTACATAAATTGAAAGTGTAAGATATGAAAAAAGGGTTAGGAGAGAGGCTGAGAATGGATGTGTGGAGGTTGTTTGGGGGTTAAGGGTCACCAAAGGGGTAACAAGGATATCTAGGAGGGGAGGGGATAGGTATATAAGGACTAGCAGGGGTATTTAAAGGCTAGCTGTGGGGTGCGGGGGGGGGGGGGGGGGGGGGGGGGTTCCAAGGGGTGGGGCATTGGGAAATGGTAGGATTAGGAAGGGGACAGGGGTATGGGAGAGTGGAGGTTGTGTGCAAGAAAGGTGTGTGTTTAAAGGGGCGGGGGTTCGGTTGGGAATAGAGCAGATCATTGGAAGGTGATTGCACAATAGTCGCAACCGATTTGCATTTGCCGGATAAGTTTCAAAAGTTTGACTTACGCTGTGTCTAGAACAGTGGACTTGGCCCCGCCCAGCTTGTGCACCACCGTGTTGGGTTTGACTAGGGTCTTGCCCCCGGCCAGGGTGGAGGGGGGCCGGTGGCGGGGGTTGCGCAGGAAGTCGGTCTTGCTGTGCACCTGGGCCAGGTCTGTGCGGTGGCGCTCTCTGGACTGCGGGGAAGCGGTGCCCTGCCAGGGCTTGCCGGAACCGTTGGACTGCATCTGGGGAAAAAAAAATGTAAATGACTGTACTTGTGAAGGACTTGTGATGGACTTGTGATGGACTTGTGATGGACTTGTGATGGACTTATGATGAACTAAGGATGACTTGTGATGGGCTTGTGACTGTACTTGTGAAGGACTTGTGATGGACTTGTGATGGACTTGTGATGGACTTATGATGAACTAAGGACGACTTGTGATGGACATTTTGATGAACTAAGGATGACTTGTGATGGGCTTGTGACTGTACTTGTGAAAGACTTGTGATGGATTTGTGATAGACTTGTGACGGACATGTGATGGACTTATAATGAACTAAGGACGACTTGTGATGGACATTATGATGAACTAAGGATGACTTGTGATGGAGGCTTGTGACCGTGCTTGTGAAGGACTTGTGGTGGACTTGTGATGGAATTGTTGTAGACTTGTGATTGACTTACAACATCTGCTTGGCTTCCCGGCGTTTCCTTGCCCCCTCCCTCCTGAATGTTGAACTCATCTTCCGTGTAGTGGACGCGGACAGTGGACGCATCAGTGGCCTCGGCATATCTTGGTTTTCTTTGCGCTATCAAGTTGGTAACAAAATAAAAGGATAATTCGTTAACCATTTTAAACTCCTCCTGTTTTTGCTAAGAAGACTCCTGAATCCCACAGAATCCAACACGTTGGTTAACCATTGGTACATTCTATGCCATCATCGTATCTCAGTTTTTCCCTTACGATAATGAAGTTGGTAACATAACGGAACCTTTGGATGGTTAGTTAACCATGTTAAAGTAAGCTTTGGGGATTGTTTGCTAGGAAGATTCGTGATTCCTACAGAATCCAACATTGTTCTAATTAACCATTCGCACAATCTATGGCTTCATCATTATCCAGTTTCCATCAATGTTATTGAAGTCTGTAACACAAGTGAACATTTGGGCCCTAGATTTTGAAGGATTTTGGTCCTTCGGGTAAAGAAAAATGCTATACTGTTCCATATTATCAAATGGTTTCACAATAATTAATACAGTTATCACAACTCCATTCATAAATGATTTAGAGATTTCAAATGACCTTTTGGTGCTTTGGTGGGAGGCGGTTCGGCCGTTGAGTAGTCTTCTGGTACTATCAGGCCGTGCTTGCGCAGCAGGTCACTGTCCAGATAAGTCTCCAGATTGGGATCCACTGGAGGAAATGGGAATAAATAACGGGAAATATAAAAAAATTTCGAGGCGATCTTTGGACTAAAGTTTCTCAAAATTCACCAATGAATGTTAAGAAATTGACAGGTTTCAGGTTAGTTGATACTGTGTTTTGACCGGTGATTTGACCTGTGATTTGACCTGTGATTTGACTTGTGGTGGTCTTGCGATCCATCGCAAGTACCTTGGCTACAACAGTGTTTGGATCTCAATCAGTGATTCGCTGTCATACCTGGAGGCAGGCCCAAGTCATGGTAGATGTCGCAGCCCTCAGCTGCCTGGTTCAGTTTGCGTTCGTCGGCCGCCATAGAGCGTGCCCGGGCCTGCATGATGTGCCTCTCCAGCATCAGTGCTTCGGCCATTCGCCTTTCTCTCTCAGCTTGGATCTTTAAAAATAAAGTTAATCATTTTATGATAACTATGAGTGTTAAAATCAAGGTCGTCATCTCCATCCTGAACTTGTCTTTGCTGAAGAATTGAAGATGAACGCAAGCCCTGGTCCAGCAAGCAGCAGTTGAAAGTTATCAAGTGATTCTCTTGGCAACTTACTTCTCCTGCCAAGGACTGAAACGCTTGGCCCTCCAAAGTTTGTTTTATTTGCATATTTGTTTATTTTCAAGTTATCCTCTTTAGAGAAGTACAACTAGCTTTTTAAAATGATCCTTTATTTATACTGATTCCAATTTTCATCTCTATACCTTTCTCAGATCTTCCACATATTTCTCGTGGTAGGTGTCGTCCCCGCTGCGGGACTTGTTGAGATTCCGGACCGTCTCCTGCTCCACAAAGTCCCTGGTGAAGAGGTCTCGGAAGGTCCGCGCCAGCACGTGGGTGACATCCTGCGAGCGTCCCGATGAAGGCCGCTGCAGGTACATAGGCGGCTCATCATATGGCAGTCGCCCAAGTTTCGCAGACATGTTGAATATCACTGGGGTCTATTTGCAGAATTTCAAAAACAAATGTTGAGATCAGGAAAGAATTCAAGTGGAAAGAAGAATTAATTAACTCTCGTAAGTCATAATGGTATTAGGCACTAGTTACTTTTAGGACCCCTAATGAAAACGCAATGTTATGTTTTAATTGACTTGTCTTAGGCCAGACATAGTTTCTCTGATTCACAGCTTTGAAGGATATTTTTAAAGGAAAGTAAATGGGAGAACCACCCGCATTACAAGTGATGCATGCACAACGCACAATAAGCCTTATCGCAAAGCATTATGGGCAGGATAAGGGGCAAAGAACCACGCAGGAACGCCGTGTTCGAACGCACACGTATGCCTTCGCCGCCGTGTTAAGCCATGGTTGTTATGGTTGACGTCTTCAGTAAAAAAGTAGGCTACAAACAGTGCAAAAATAGAGAGGTTCTAAAAGTAACAAGGGTAACATTAATCATCTATCATTTCATCAATCATATTCAAATAATCAACTTCAATTGTAATGTTATTAATTTTTTAATTTTAAAACAAAACAAAAAACGACAGGCAATGGACCTCTCATTTAGCAGTTTATAGAAAATAAAGAAACTTCATTATCATGCTCAAGGTTCTACTACTTTTACAGTTCATGAAATTGAGAGTTGGTAGGCCCTACTGTTTGTCTCCCATACCCCCCCCCCCCCACTTTGTCCCACTCCCGGCCCCGCCCACGCCGTGGCCGGTCACTCACACTCAGTGCATCCTGCAGGACTAGACTGAGGACTGATAATGAAGTTAATCCACTCTAAAACAGGAAATGAAATGGATCATACAAACCTAGTACATCATATGAATTTAGAAATATGTGTAAAATAGTTGTATTTGTTAACTAGCGATAAATATTGAGTTTTTTAAAACCCGAATGTGCAGCAGTCGATGTTCAGATGTTGTTAAATTATTCCGCCATATTGTATTTTGTTGTCAAGTTAATTAGGCACGCTCCATTGTATACAAACAAATATTTCTTGAAAATGTACAAATTAAAAAAAAAACTATTCTTTTTACAACAGTTAATGTATCATTTCACATAAGTTTTAATATTATCATAAAATACATTTCAAAAATAAATAGATTTCAACTGCAAATCATGTAATAAAAACTTAATCTTCTTTATCCTGGGTCATTCTCAAAGGTCATTTGCGTGACTAAGCGTTGAGGGCGCTATAGCAAATTAGCGGTCTTGAAAAATCTAAAAATCGAGCTCGCCATTCGAGGGGTGAGTCACGCACTGTCTGGTCGCCTATAAATTATAATTAATTGTGTGTGTGTGGACGTGTGTGTGTGTGAATGCAACAAGGCCAAGCAATATCGACCCGAACATGCGTCAGAAAAAGTACAGTGTTCATTGAGGCCATAGACAAGATAGAGCAAGGAAGTGCGTGGTGGGTTGGACATTTCTCCGAAAAACAATTGTACTGTTGGTGAGTAGCCTAAGCTAGTCATGCTGCCTGCTGGTCATGTGTGTATTCATTGAAATTGAAACAGCATTCATTCATTTTCTCTCTCATTCTCAAATTGTTGTGTGTGTTTTTTTTATGGACGTGTTAATTTTCACCATGGATAGATATGTACTCACTTTAAGTTGAAGCATAGAAACAAGGTAGCTTGAGTAACTCCAGCAGACATGCTCCATATTCATTCACATGTTACATGTGATTGTGAATGAATATGGAGCATGTCAGCTGGAGTTACTCAAGCTAGAAATAAGGCTATACGTCATGATAGTAGAACACGTACATGTACGTACGGTAGAATACAGGGCCACTCCATTCTTTATCCGCGCATCCATGGCTGCATGGATGTGCAGTTGGTTTTCTATAGCGCCCTCTATTGATTTAATTTACTTCATGCTCACTCCGCATCCATATCCGCGCATCCACTCCTCACATCGCATCCAACTACCAAAAAAAACCCTTTTCCGGCATGTCCCTGCATTCTATAGTTGCTCCGAAACAAGCCAATTATGTATTTTAAACTCGTTCGGACCATGGAGGAATAAAAACATGTTCTGACTGACTGGCCATTTTTTTTTCTTTTGAACATGTTTAAAGTAGTTTTGTTCACAGAAGTTAAAAGCAAGCATATTAAGGTAAAAGTACCAGTATTTCACTGCATGAATTTTAAGTTTGTCAACAACGAAGTTTGGCAACACTGATGTGGAAAGTCTGGGTAAATGTCAAAGTGCGCCACGTTAGGAAACACCACTATATTTGAGAAAACAATATTCTTGGTCTCAATTTTCATTTCAAAATTTGTTGAGTCATGACAAAGTCCCCAAATCAGCATTCAGGACACGATTCTCATTCTGTTGATTGTTGGTACAGTGTACATGATGTCACACACTGACAGTCGCGCTAATAATGGCAACCACACGCGCGTTCGCGTCTTGTCAACGTGCTTGCACCCCGTTAACGGATTAGCCCAATTACACACCGACTGCCAATGGAAATTTCCAAAAATGTGTCACTTGACACATCTTTGGGATCGACCTTCTTTTATTGTTTTCTTTAAAATGACCGCACACCAGAAGGAATAATTTCACGGAAAGTTTAGTGTTATCACGATTTTAAACCAAGTAAACTTTTTGACAATAATTTGCTCGGCTACTTTTTGGATACATGTGTAGAATTGGTCCACTCTGCTTTTTAAACCCTAAAATATGCAAAGTGACACCAACCTGGAATTAAATTAATAAGCAATTGCCTGCTCTTTTCGTGGGATATTTGCAGGCCCTGAAGGGGAAAAAAGTCTGCTCTTTAACCCTTACTCTCTGAGGGTAGTTTACTGCATGTCAGTTGGTTATGCCAATGCCCTCCAGCTGCAGTTATTTGGCAGATAACAAGTCTTAACAGTGAAGGCTCCAATTGGCAGGAGTTGGAGGCCCTGGAGGGTGCCTGATACTGACCAGCTGGGGGCACTCACTTTGTTATCAGAGGACTCTCATTGTTCTCTGTGGCATGTATTGGAGTGCCTGTCCAGTTACCCTTGAAATGACATGGCAGATATTGGAGGGCCATGCAAAAAACATAGGAGATTTTCTTGAGGCACAATTGGCATGCATTGGAGGGTCAAGTAGGGTAAGGGTTAATTAATTCTAACTCCCTAGAATAATTTACCAGGAACCATACCCATCCTGGCAAATTCCAACACCTACACGGGAAAATTGTACACACACACTGTTGGACTTAGTTTGTAGACCATCAGTTTAGGGGTATTGTACCAATCCCAACAGATACAATAAATTCTGCTGTTGGGCTTTGATGGGTTGAGTTCGGTTAGGGTTAACCACCAGACATGGTGTGCTAGTTCCAAAAGTAAATGTTCATTACACAAACCCACATGACTTTTGTTCAACCATCCCAGGACTACATTACAGATTTGCTCAAAAAAAACCCAAAAAAACCAAAACGAGTAATGCCAGTTTCATAGTAATGTTGCAGTAATGTTGCATTCTGAGGCCACTTTTTTCATCATATATCATCTCAGTGAAGGTCAGTCATTGCAAAAATGTTGAAAACACATGAGTTTTGGACTGAGAGACATTTCCAGTTTTGTTAGGAAATACTTTGAAAATGCACTCAACTCATGGGCTTTACTCATGATATTAAATTGAAAGCGAGGTAAAATCTTCATTTTTGGAACTCAGGTATAGAAATGAAAGCAATAACATAAAGTTGATTACAAATTAATAGCAGTCCACTGTGATGAATAGCTAAAAATTTGTGATTTAACATAAACATGATAAAGCCACATTAAAAAAAATTGAAACTGAGGCTAAAATGATAGTCTGGCACCATCCCATTCAACAGTTCACAATATATAAAATACATTCAGTGAACACAACCAAAATGGCTACCTTGTGAATAAGGTCCATAGACTTTGTACACAACCACAGAAGTGGCTTTGGGGTACTTACTTTCTTTCCCATTAGGCCAAAAAAAAAAATATTCGGTCTCTGGTCAGACCAAAGTTCCGGAATTGACGCGGCCACGCTGCTTTTTTTTTTTTTTTTCCTTTTTTTTTTTTTTCTTCAGCTTGGATTGTACAGACAAGGTGGGTACTATTTTGCTTTTTTGGTGTCCTCATGTACATTGGTGGCCTCCATAATTTGCCTTGGTGCTTTCGATCATTTGCCTTGGTGCAGTTTCCCATTCCTTGGTGCTCTTTGGTAAAAAAAAATTGAGGAGGTGCGGAAATAGAGGGCGCTGTTGGAGTTACCGCGGAACATTTTGGACAAAAAAAGATCGACGCGCATGCTTAAAATCGACGCGCGCGCTGACCAGAGACCGACTTATTTTTTTTTTTGGCCTTATTTGGAAATTTTAACCCATTTATTTCATAAAACCTCCCACAAAACCTCAACTAAAGTTTATCCTTGTACAGACATGACAGAGAAACAAAGAATATAATACAACACAATAAAGTCATGTATAAAGTGCTCTTACTCATAAAAAGTTTCACAGCGCTGGACAATAAACTAGAAATAATATGAAAACATGAAGCATAGTACATGTATTTCTATGTACATACTTCTGTAGTACAGGGGAAAAAAGCGGGAGAAAACTAGGTTTATTGTAAAAGGTCATGCATGCTGTTCCACCTGAGGTGTCAGGGGAAATCCAAAAGTTTGTTAACCCCTTGATTCAGACCTTGCAAGATCCAGATCTATAGGTCAACAAACTTTTCACCTCAGGGGGTCCAGTCGATATGATCAGAGGAAAGTTGTAGACAAGATTTTTTTTTTTTGGCACTCAAAAAGATTTGGTTTTCTCGACATTCTTCTGGCGAACTGCACCTACGTTTGAGCCAGGCTTTAGTTTCCAGTTGAGTGAATTTGAAAGAGCAGCGACCAATAATTATTGTTTAGTTAGACGTTGGATTTTTAGGTCCGTGAGTACATGTATGGTAGAAGTTTGCAGGTAAACTTATGTGGCTAGCCGATTTTATTGAGGAAATATTCGGTTTCTAAATTGGTGTATTGGAAGGTTTTATTGGTTTGTTTGTTGGTTTGCTTGTCTTAAAACTTTGAAAATGTTTTGGTAGGAACTGCGTAAATATGCATTTGGATCGTTCCAAAAGTTTGTTTGTTTGTTTGTTTCGATTTTTTTGTAACTTGTTTTGGCGTACAGTGTAAGTTTTATACCTATAGGCCTACATGTTTTGTAATTTTTTTGGGTATTGTAAAAAAAGTTTCAAATGTGAATTCACAATATACTCATAAACCCAAGAAGTTTGACATGATTTCCACGATTTTTAAATTTGCTAGATTATAATTTTTTCAAAAGCACACAACTTCCAAGCAAGCAAAAAACCTTTAAGAAAAGACAATGACAACAATGTACATGTACATATTCACGCCATGTACATGTTCCTTCATGTGTAGCAACATGGAGGAAGGAACACATTGAACAAGTATCCAGCTATGGAGCAAGGTCAGGGCGTTGGGGTCATCTTGAGGTCACCGTGAGGTCACCCTGAGTTGACCCTGAAGTCAGCCTATTAGCACTTTCACTGTGCTGCCCTCATCTGTTGTGTTTCCCTGACCTTGTCTGAACTCTGAACAATGGAAACCGGACCCCGGCTGTTCAGGTTTCAGGAAATCCGACCATAAAATAAAGATATGGTAATTTGGGGGCAGTATTTGAAAAAAGCAGGGGTTTTCCCAACGCTGGTTGGAAATTGATACAAAAATTGCATTTTCCTTGCAAAAAATGGTGCCAGGATATTACAGGATGCTTTAGACTGTCATTCACGAACAGTCCAGTAAGGTTTTTCATAAGTTTTTCGGTAAGTACCGGTGGGTAGGGAATTATTATTTTTTGGGGGGCCAATTTTTTTTGTGTACGATCATATGGAGGCGTCTGCTTGAAGTCCTGGGTAAAAGGCAGAAATTGATGGTTTCTGGTGGGTTTTTTTCTCATTTTCCCCATAAAAAAAAATAGGTTAGAGTCTGTCGCTGTCAGAATAGGGTAGGTAGGAAAACTGGAAGCAGAACTATTTTTTTTTTTGGCCTAATAAATTTTGTTTTTTTGATGTTTGCAAATGTTGTATATTCCCTATAAATATGCCATTATGGCAGGTATCATAGTCCTCTTTAAAAAAAAAATTAAATATAAATTTTGTTTACTGTTGCTGTATTTTTTTTATACAATTTCAATTATGTTACGAGCTCATTGCTTAAAGGTAGCGTCCATGATCAGAGGAGAAATTTAGAGGATTTTTGTGCGGGTATTTTAAGTTTTAAATGATTCTGCTGTAATGAAGTGGTTGGTTTTGTTGATTTATTGGTGATCTGGTGATTGATCGTGTTTGGTTTAGAATCTAGTGGGTAGCTTGGCAAACACGGATACTGCAACTCTCATCAGACATGTTGACACTAAAATCCTCTTGCCTTATCTGATGATTTCATCAACTTCTGTGTTGTTTGTTTTGGTGAAGTCAAGTGGTCCTTCATATTGATTACACATTGTTGCCCATTATTTGGTTTACTTTGTAAGATCTACCAGATACATTTGATAGAAACAAACACGTATTATGTTTCAGTCAGTACACTTGCATGTTCGTCTTCAGTCTTAAAGGTATATAGGATATTTGCTGTTTTTGTGGGTTTGTTTTGATTTGAAGCAACAAAATTGCTCAAAATCAAAGTAAGGTACACAACACGTAAGTTAGTTTCAACAACTAACTTCAAATTAGGTTTTTTGCCCTTCACCGACGTTTTTTTTTTTTTTTTAAACACTGTATACTCAGTGTGTTACCTCCTGAGTGAAAGTTGGAAAAATCACTCGGGTGGGACTCGAACCCACGACCTCCTGCTTTCTAGTGCAGATGTCTTACCACTCGACCACCGAGCTAACGGGATCGGGTGGCCGGTTCGAATCTGATGTACATGTACATAGCAGCGGGTACCGCTTAGTAAACTATTATAATAGTTAACAACTAACTTGTTGAAACTTGAGCTCAGTGGCTGCTATACATTTTGAGAAAACAGAGGAAATGTGCTCAGACTTTTTGTTTTTGTTTTTTTGTTTCGTAACTTGGCTTCATTGCTAATGCATGTAAAAAAAGTGTGCCAGCTGGCACATAAAAAAGTTTAGGTAAAGTAAGTTTATGGCAAGCATGTAACTTTGGTACCCAGTATCCTGAACCAGCTCCGTAACCTTTGGTCGGAATTTCTGTAATAATGCAGATTTTTTTAGGGGGGGGGTGGAAGGTTGGTGGTTTGATGTGTTTGATTTTATTTTTCAACGTGTATACTTTTGTCTTAACACTCTTGTCTTAACACTTTAAGTATTTACAATTTCTTCCTCCCAATAAATAGTTTCTTTCCATTTACTATTTTCTTTCCTCAGATTCGGTAATTCTTGACGAGAAGTTGACCCAAAGGTCGTTGACCTCAGGATGAGGGTCGGGCGGGAGCCCCCACAGGTGGACGACCACTTCGGTGCGTCGCTGGACAAAGAAATGAACATCGTGCGCTTACGACATGCCGCTCAGGTAAGTTGCAACCTTGTTTGAACAAAGTTTCCCTTAATCGTCTCGCCCACCCTTGTGGCGATTGTGTCGTTACAGGCCCTGTTCCTTTAAGAGAACAAAATCCATTTTAAGTTCATTGGAATCACCCAACTATTTTGGCGAAGTTCAAAACCAACAGCCTGGGTGTTTTGGATAGAGGGCAGGGTTTTGATATTTTTGAAGGATATTTGGTGGTAAATGACACTAAAGACGACAAAACGCAACACAGAAATAAAGATGGTGATACATTAGATTTGCACAGCTTCAACTGGAAAATGTGGAAGAAAATCTCATTTTCTACCAAAAGATACTGTTCAAAGTAACAAAAAAATACAGTCATTTGAATTAAAAGAAGACTGATTTAGGTTGCGGAGGTCATTTTGGAATGATAACAACACCTTGAGTTCTACTAAAACGAAAGAGGACTCATAACTACAAAATTGGCCTTGTTAAAATCAACACAAAGCCACCATTAGTAGATCGCAGTCCTTTTGAACATAATACTTTAGGCCTAATCTATTTGTCATGGAAGATAAATAGATTAGTTCTAGGGCTTAAAAATATTAGAAGCTGGAGAAATCAGGTGATTTGTGTTTATAAATGCTCTTCAGTGGTGGCGTTTCCCGAGGTTTCAGCACCAAAGACCATACCACTCACTTAAATGCGTACCATTTGCTTTGCATGCATTTTTGTTTGTTTCACATAACAACTCCATTTGAAATCCAAGGAAGAATCTTCAAACTGTTGAAGTTTCAGCTCAGTGGATATTACACTTTTTGAGAAACCAGTAAAACAAACCATGCACAACCTCTGATCACGAATCACGATCTCATCTGCAGCACTCTTTATTTCCAAAAATCAGTCAGTTGACTGATCGTTGGAAAATATCCAACATTCTTGATTTCTTTTAAATGACAGCAAGCCAGACAAAATTTCACAGGTTGTTAAATGTTTAGTACGGTAAGATCTTTAATTCAAGTAAGCTTTTTGATTTGGTACGTTACTTTTCGGATAAATGCAAATGATCCTATATGCCTTTAATATGAAAGAAACCTAAAACCCGTTTCAGCATTTATAAACAACAAGAATTTGTGGTATGGAATATTCAAACTTTGCTTTTATACTGAAGGTCGTCTGTACCAGCAGTTTGTTTCTTGTTTTTGACAAATTGTGTCACATGAGATTGAGCAAGCGCATGTGGAATTTTATTGTTTGTGGTAGTTTGCCCTTCATGCGATCTTGGCATTCAGTCATAAAAAAAACATACCTGCAAAAATATGAAGTGCAGTGTTTTGAAAAAGCTAGCAAATTGTAAAAACAAACGATTACATGGGGTTATCGTAAAATTGTTTTCTCTTAACAACGGAATGGTTTTGTTGTTTTGTAAGTGGTATTTTGTCACTGAAGATTTGTATCAGACTGAAACATAATGAGGTTTGAAGTAGTTTATTATTTAGCATTCAAACTTATGCTTTTACATGGCCTTGAACTCCGTGGCAAATGTGGTGAGGCCAGAAAAAACAAACATGTTTCCGGTAACTTTGCCAGAAAAGATTTTTTTCTGGGTGTAGTCAATGGTAAATTAATTCACTAACTTAGCTACATGTACATGCAGGCTTATTGAGCTCACTGAACACACTTGTATCGTGCTGTATTGACTCACAGATGTGGTAGTATTGACTTACATGTTGGCCAAAAAAAAATAATAGTTCTGCTTCCGGTTACCCTACCTACCTTTTTTTGACAGCCCCTACCCTAATTTTTTGTCACGAAAAAATGAGGGAAAAAACCCCAAAATCCACCAATTACAATGTACTACCCTTGACTACACGTAGACACCTCCATATGATCATACACACAAAATTCCCCCCCCCCCAAAAAAAATATTAATTCCCTACATTCCTACCCTATTTTCAAATGCCATGTAATCGGAAGCAGAAGTTGTTTTTGGCCTTATCTTTCGGACCTTTATGGACAATCTGTACAGCAACTTTTGATATTTAAATTTGGGGTCGGGTTTCTTTAACAGGTACCTAAGGCAAAAAAAAAAAAGTCGGTCTCTGGTCAGACCGAAGTTCCGGAATTGATGCGGCGACGCGTTTTTTTTTGTTTGGTTTTTTTGGTGGTTTTTTTTTTTTTTTTCAAGCTTGTATTGTACAGACAAGGTGGGTACTATTTTGCTTTTTTGTGTCCTCATTATACATTGGTGTCCTCCATAATTTGCCTTGGTGCCCTTTATCATTTGCCTTGGTGCAATTTCCCCATTCCTTGGTGCTCCTTGGTACAAAAATGTGAGGAGGCACGGCAATAGAGGGTGCTGTTGTAGCTTCCGTGTTAATTTGGAAAAAAAAAAAAGGTTGACGCGCATTATTAAAATCGACGCGCGCGCTGACCAGAGACCAATTTTTTTTTTTTTTTTGGCCTAACCATGATTTTTTTTTTTCAATCGAGTACCCGATTCCCATACTACCTGTAAATACACACCCCCATCACTATCTCATTTTCCTAACTCCACTGTTAGGAAACAAATCCATATTGGTCAGCTCAAGTATCTTGGAATATTTTGGGGGTTTGGCGCGACTTTGGAACGCCAGTCTAAACTGGGGGTACTTTTACTTTTGCGACATGGGTTGTCCAAAATGGGCGCCTGGAAACCCCAGCGAGCCCTCTGACCTAACACTTTTCCGTTCCTCCGACTTTTTGCAGAAAGTCCGGGCGGAGTTTCTGGGCCAGCTCGATGGTCATCTGGAGGGCCTTCTGGACAGTTTTGTCGGCGAGCTGGAAAAACAGAGTGACCAGGACGAACTGAATGCGAACGATTCCGACCAAAGACCAAAACAGGGTGAACAGTAAGTGTCGTTTTTTTTCCCACAATTTTTCCACAAGCCACAAATGCGGGACCAAAAAATATGTCAAAAATGATGGATTTTTTTTTTGGGGGGGGGGAAGTAATTTTTATAATCTCTAAAAGAGCAGAAATTATATGGTAACAACCACCATTTTAAAGTTCTGTCCACGGATCACAAAAAAAGTGTGCGTTCTTTCAGCGAAACGAAAACAATTCACACACACATCCTTATGTGATTTGTTTTTGTGATCGGTAGACAGAACCTTAAAACGGCGGTTGTGTTTAAAACTCTGTAACTTAAAAAGTACATGAGTGATTTGAATGATTCTTAAACGAAAAGAAAGCTTATAAATTGGGCTTTCATATCTTAGACTTTGAAAGTGCTACATGCAGAACTTCACTAAAACAATGGTCCCGACATTTGGGTTTCGGTTTTAATAATCATGTACATGATCTGAACACAATTGTATCATATCATGTTGTACAGTTGTGTGATTTTTAATGCCGAATAAATGATAACACATGTAATAATAATAATAAAAATCACTTTTGATGTTTTCCGTAATCCAACACATTGGGCAAAATGTATATTTGCGCATGATGATCATAACAATTTTGAAACAGAAATAAAATGTTGAAATGTCCATGTTGCACAAATACTTTGACTTGTACATAAGGATGATTGCATTCACACTTCCTGCTGTTCGATCAAATCAGGATGTTTGTGGAGCTTGTTAGCAATATGTCCATCTGTAACAATCAATCATTATTTTTGCACCTGTTTTTTTTTTTTCAGGAAGCAGCTGAAAGAAAAAGTATTCATTGCCAGAGAATCATTGCTTACGTAAGTACCTCCACAGACTAACCGTAGAATTTCCGTAACCGTGGACACAATGATTGAAATTTAACTCTAACTCCCAAGGCCTTTTTGTTAGGATGTAGCCTCAATCCGGTAAAATCTTCCAATTGGCCTCATGGAAAACTAGCATATAGCCTCAATCCTGCAAAGTGCAAATTCCTCCATTGTTTCTTGAATATGGTCCGTGGAGGGGTGACCTGCCTGAATCCTGCAAAATCCTACGGCAGTGACTGTCGATATGTTGAGGCTTGGCCAGTGACATCCTGGAGCTGTGCGGAGGATTTCAAGCATAATCCAGGCCTATATTCATGCATGGCTGAGCAAAAACAACACAAGGTCCGGCCCAAGACCTTGATAAAGTGCATCCTACAAAATGAGTAACGCACTTTTGCCATGTAACCTCAATCCTCCAAATTCCTTCACTTTGGCAAAAGGATTTTGAAGGATTCAGGGCGGTATAATGACCTCGAGTATAAATGTAACACAATTACCATTTCACACATTCTGAAAAAGACAACTTGAAATATTTTTAATAATTTGTTAAAAAAATTTAAAAGAGTTGTAGTCAAATTGAAAAGTTACGTAAAATGAAAGCTCTAATTTTTTTTCGCCACTTCTGTATCATTCATAAAATGGATGTGGCTGATAATTTATGATTAAAAAAGTATGGAATAAAAAAATGTCCGAATTGACAGGTAAAATGAAATAAAACAGAACCCTAAGATTTTGCCATGAACCAAACATTTATCCATATTTCAACCAACAGACATAAAAATTCTTATCCAATATTTCTTAATAATGTGATTAAAAACTGTGTAATCTCTCCACGCCCTGTCATCTAGTCGGCTTCATACCCTCCCCCCCCCCCCCACTTCAATGTGATGACTCAGCAAGCGCACTCTCTGTGTCGCGTACGTACCGTATTAAACAACCCTGAATGTTTATCAATGGGAGAAAAGTAAACATACCCACACGAGCAGCCGCAGGTCGATGTGCTGAACCTATGAACCTGGCTTAATTATTTTGATCGGACTTTGGTTTCTGTGTCATTCGAGTCACCTCACCAGGCATGAGCAAAAAAAAAAAAAATTTAAGTTGATGTTTTTTGGGCGCTGGAGGGGCTGGAACATTTCATGGGGGGCGTTAGTAGATCAATGATAATTTTTTTAAAAACTCAAAATCTCAGTGGGGGGGCGACTGGGGGGGGGCGACAAGGTTTCATGGGGGGCTGTTGCCCCCCCACGCTCCCCCGTGGCTACGCCACTGGCATCAAGACATTCACAAAGCTGGAAAATTAACAGTGATTACGTACCCATGATTTTTTTTTACAAATATACAAATAAATTGCGGAAAGTTGGAAATTTGAAATTGTGAAATTTTGTTGGTCCAGGAACTGTTGGTGAAACTGCAGGCTATATTCACAAATCCACATATGTTTTACCTCAATTTACTTAATTTGTTTTTCAGTGGAATTGAACAAAGAAACATGGACGCAATTGTTAGTATATATTTTTCATACGCTGCAGAAGTGTGACGTTCTGCGAGGTTGTCTCCAATAGTGATGTGTCCACAATGTCTGGTCCGCCATATTTACCATAGGATTTGCACGGGCGATTTCGGTGAACTTTTGTTAAGTTGAAATTTCTCAGACATTTGGAATAAATACGACTCAAAATGGGATTTTGCTTCGGAGCTGACTGTAGTTATCACTTAGAATGTGATGGATTCCTTTATTTTTCTTTTCTAACGGATGAAACATTGATGACAAAGTGAGCACCGTGCCTATCGCTACGTAAGTCCAGGTTTGTGTCGACCCATAACCCCTGGCAACGCGTGACCTTGGCGGCATTTGACGTAAACACTTCTACCGCGTATATTTGATTGAATTTTTTTCTTTTTCTTTAATTCAAGATAATTTGAAATAAGATTTACAAAATTTCAGGGGTGACGAAGTAAATTCTAACTCCTCTAAAATTCAAGCCTTACCACCCCCACCCCCTACTAACTACCGCACCCACCCCTACATTACCCCTACCCCCTACCCCTCCTAAAATGAAATGTATCAATTTCTCTGCTTTGATGTGTTTTTTTGTGTGTCTTCCTTTTCTTTACAGACAATTATTGGTGAACAAAAACATCCGGACAATTTACAACATATTCGTGGCCATGCTGATTGTCTTTGTACTGAACACCGCAGTCTACGAGTACATTGAAAACGGCAGGTAAGGTTTGGAGTGTGCAAGATTCTATTCCCGATTTGGAACGGCCAAAAAATTTGTGTAGAGTAAGCTGTAGAGTGGTAATGTAATGAAATGTACGTACAAATGTATCTGGAAAGTACATGAAACAAGCGGCACCAGACTACTGCTTATGTGGAGTAGATGCTACATGACATACGGGGCCCAATTTGACGGCGCTGCTTAACAGTTAGCAGAAAAGTTGTGTTTAGCATAGCAGAAAAATTTGCTAACCTTAAGCACTATTTCACGGCGTGTGTGTGCTAACGGTCGCGCGTGCATGGAGATTTCTATTGTTACGTCACTGAGTTAAGCAAATTTTTTCCTCTGAAGTAAGCGTGCCTTTTGCTGTGCTTATGCTTACGGTCTCCATGAAATAGACGGAGGCTCTGTTAGCAGAAAAGCGTGTGCTTAGCAGCGCCGTGAAACTGGGCCCTGGTCCCAGCCCAGTCTAACTCAGCCAGTCAGTGAGATAGGTAACCAGTCTAATTCACAAGTGACAGTCAGTCAGTGAGATAGGTAACCAGTCTAATTCACAAGTGACAGTCAGTCAGTGACATAGGTAACCAGTCTAATTCACAAGTGACTGACAGTCAGTGAGATAGTTAACCAGTCTAATTCACAAGTGACTGACAGTCAGTGACATAGGTAACCAGTCTAATTCACAAGTGACAGCCAGTCAGTGAGATAGGTAACCAGTCTAATTCACAAGTGACAGCCAGTCAGTGAGATAGGTAACCAGTCTAATTCACAAGTGACAGCCAGTCAGTGAGATAGGTAACCAGTCTAATTCACAAGTGACAGCCAGTCAGTGAGATAGGTAACCAGTCTAATTCACAAGTGACAGCCAGTCAGTGACATAGGTAACCAGTCTAATTCACAAGTGACAGCCAGTCAGTGAGATAGGTAACCAGTCTAATTCACAAGTGACAGCCAGTCAGTGACATAGGTAACCAGTCTAATTCACAAGTGACAGCCAGTCAGTAAGATAGGTAACCAGTCCAATTCACAAGTGACAGTCAGTCAGTGAGATAGGTAACCAGTCTAATTCACAAGTGACAGCCAGTCAGTGAGATAGGTAACCAGTCTAATTCACAAGTGACAGTCAGTCAGTGAGATAGGTAACCAGTCTAATTCACAAGTGACAGCCAGTCAGTGAGATAGGTAACCAGTCTAATTCACAAGTGACTGACAGTCAGTGAGATAGGTAACCAGTCTAATTCACAAGTAACAGTCAGTCAGTGACATAGGTAACCAGTCTAATTCACAAGTGACAGCCAGTCAGTGAGATAAGTAACCAGTCTAATTCACAAGTGACAGTCAGTGAGATAGCTAACCAGTCTAATTCACAAGTGACAGCCAGTCAGTGAGATAAGTAACCAGTATAACTCACAAGTCAAAGAAAATATCTCTTCAAAAATATGTGAACAATTATGAGCAACATGTTTATTTAGCATGGCATTTTTTTTTTACCGTTTTCTTTCTTAGCATCAAGTTGAACGTCGACATGCTGCTGTGGCAGTTTGGCCAGTTCCCGGTGGTCCTGTCTACGTGGTGTATCATGATGATGTGGACAATGATAGTGACGTTCGTCTTGTTCCAGTACTGGGCCACCAACCGGCATAAACGAAACCGCGTTCCTGATCGGGTATGTCTCAGATACTAAGGTTTTTTTTTGATGTTCGTAGTCTTGTACTCAAGTCCATCATCAATACTTTTAGTCCTGGCAGGTCCATCACTAGACATCCGATCCCAGTTCTTGGTTTGTTTGTAATTCTTCGGCAACTGGCCAGGATAGCCAACGAAAGTCTCTCGACTTATTCCTAGTGGGGTCCCTTGGTAGAAGATGTGGAAGGAAATTACAGTTTTAGTGGTGGGAGGAGAACCCCAGGATGATATTCTGGGGGAAACCCACAGAATCAGGGAGGGACTGAAAACCCGATCCACATATTGGCCCAGGCGGGATTCGAACTCGGGTCACAGCGGTGGAAGGCGAGGACAGTAATCACTGCGCCAACCTGACTCCCCTCGAATTCTAATGACTCTTGCAAATGCAGTCTTGTGTTCTCGTTCATCCCCTGTTACTTGTGAGTGGACTTGTGAATTGTCTTCTGATTTGCTTGTGACTGGACTTGTGGTCGTCTCGACTTCATCCCTGGCGTATTATGGGTGCCCTCTAAAAACGTATGAGAATAAAAAGTAAACTTCACAAATTTACTCAAGTGGGGCTCGAACCCACAACTCAGGCTTCCTAGAGCAGATATCATACTGGCAGAACAGAAGCTAATGTAGCAGTTAAGGTACACACCATTGATGTTTTCTTTGCATTGGATGGTGAAAAAAATCCCAATTTCAGTGAATATGGCATTACTTGACCTTTGACCCTAAAACTTGTCAAACCCCCCCCCCCCCCCTTTACCCCCAGGTGTGGCTGTGTATCTACATTGCCTCCCAGCTGTTCATGTGCGTCTTTCCGCTGAGGGTCGTCCTGAGCCACCAGCTACCCCCGGCCTCGACGATCATCGTCATCGCCGAGCAGCTCCGGTTGATCATGAAGACCCATTCCTTCATCCGGGAGAACGTGCCCAGGGCCCGGCAGTGGAAGCCTCGTTCAGGTAATAGTTGATTTGGTTAGTTTTGTTAGTGGATTTTCAGTTGATTTTTGGTTGATTCTTAGTTGAAGTTTATTTTTATTCATGAAGATACATTATTTCATGTTGGAGAACGTGCCCAGAGCCCGGCAGTGGAAGCCCCGTTCAGGTAATAGTTGATTTGGTTAGTTTGGTTAGTTGATTTTTAGTTCATGATTAGTTGATCGTTTGGTTGAAGTTGGTTAATTCAGGTTGAAATTTTGGTTGAAATTCAGGTAAATATTAGTTTGGTTGATCGTTTTGTTGAGTTACGGTGTTGTCGTTGATTTGAGATGATGGTTAGATCATTTTTTTTGTTGAAGTTGATTTTAATCATCAAGACCCATTCCTTCATCCGGGAGAACATGTTCGTTAAATGGATTTTTTGGAACTTGAGTTGATAAGTTTCAACTAAAACATAACAATGTTCAAAAGCAGAAAAGTTTTTAAAAAAATCACAAAATTTGAATTCCATTGCAGACTCTGCAGAAGCCGACATCCTGCAGAAAAATGGCGTCGTCAGGACCATCGGCCACAGCTCCAGCAACGCTTACCTCCGCAGTCCGACCAACGGCCACCTGCGCGGCAATGGCCACATGCGCAGCAGGAGCGATGGCTGCCCCCGCTTCCTGGCGCACGCCAACGGCGTCAGTGTCGCCAGCCAGGCACGGCTCGCGAGCAACGGCGAGAGCGGCGGCGGTCCCTGCCCGGACTTCTCCCACTTCTTGTACTTCCTGTTTGCGCCCACGCTCATCTACCGGGACCGGTACCCACAGACGCCCAAGATTAGATGGAACGTGGTCAACACCAACTTACTGCAGGTGAGGGGACCAGTGATTTAGGTGGTCCCGGAGGGCAAGCCTAGTTCTTGTTGTGACCAACTGACTCCCCGACCGACTGACTCCCCGACTGACTTACTGACTGACAGACTGACGGATATTTTGAGGCGGGCAGTGCCAAAGGGTGTACTGTACTGGTTCGCGTGCGTAGTACGAACGACTTCCTGAATGTGCAAAAGCTAAAGCCACCCGCTGTTGCGTGAGCGTCAGGCATCGCCGGCGCGCGAAAACGTTCGAATTCATATTGCGATGGTCTGAGACTAATCTCAGACATTCGAAATACGCAGTGGATGGATCAGGAACCAGTCTAGGTCACCCCTAACTCTCCTTTTCTGGCCGTTGATGGGGTAAGTTATCCCATTATACCCTTCGGCCGAGTGGTATGTGGGACACAGACGCACTACATTTTCCGTGTTCCACGAGCGCGAGCGTGATAACGAATTTATCTTCAAGCAAACTTGACGCGCAGTATACAGTTGGAACGAGCACGCTTTACACGGACATTTCGCCTCTCTTGCAGGTTCTAGCGTGCTTGTTCTACACCTACTACACCTTTGAGCGTTTCTGCGTGCCGGTCTTCCGCAACTTCAGCCAGGAGAAGCTGACGCTCCAGCGGCTGGTCCTGTGCGTCTTCAGCTGCATGCTGCCCGGCACGCTGGTCCTGATCCTGGCCTTCTTCGCCATTCTCCACTCCTGGATGAACGCTTTCGCCGAGATGATGCGTTTCGCCGACCGACAGTTCTACAAAGTAAGATTTGTATTTGAGATTTTAAATCCGTGGCTTGAAGATCATTTACAAGAATCAAACTTAAGGCCAAGTCAAAATTTTAATTGTTTCTTGTCTGAGGGTTTTGAAAAACAAAAGATTTTTTCAAGATGGCAGATTTTTCAAGATGGCGGATTTTTCAAGATGGCAGATGGATTCTTCCATTTTCTGGACTCTTTGGCTGATACTCGTGTCCAAAGAAGCTGACACCCTTTCTAACAGATTGTAAAATTGCGTACGTAGCTACAATTTTGTTGGAAACAAATAAAAAACAACATTTAGGCGAAGTAAAAAAAAAACATGTTTCTCGTCCCCGCCCACTACCTTTTTGGAGGCCGCCTGGATTTTTATATTATTTTTTATTTTTGAAAAATGCAATAAAAAAGCACAGAAAAAGTCCACAAATTCATCGGAAAATAAATTGTAGACCAATACAAGCCTAAACGACACTGTAAATATGTTCAGTTCTCTTGTCCAACTTATCTTTCATTTTAAAAGTGTCTTTGAACAGTGGAAACACCAACGGTTGCAGGAAATTTTTAAATGACGGCCATCTTGAAACAAATAAAAATAAAAGCCCCTCTTCCTCCTTTTTTTCAAAAACCCGGACGAGAAACTTTTTTTTTTTGACTTGGCCTTATCACAAATTATTTTCTTTTTTTTTAAAGGAGGTGAGCTAAAACAAGGAAGCAGGCAAGGACGAGAAACTGCTTTATTTTTTTACTTGGCCTAACCCGGGGGTATCCAACAGATCAAAGAGCTAACATTGGAATTTTGGAACTGAAATTTTGGAATTCGGAAATCGTTGAATTGAAAAGAACAATGATCAGAAAGGTCTTTAGCAATCTGCCCTGCAATGACCTTTCTGTTTTTATCTTTCCAGGATTGGTGGAACTGCAAGTCCTATGCCAATTATTACCGGACTTGGAACATTGTCGTGCACGACTGGCTGTACACGTACATCTACAGAGATTTCCAGGTACGAAAATACTCCACACGACTAGCTAACGACCAGTGCTGTTCTATGGAGTACCGAAGTGTGACATCATTTAGAACCAGAAAGTGTTGTGCAAACGAATGGAGTGCTCGCGCGTGTTGATTCTCGGGCTGAATCACGCGCTAATGTCTTTCACACACATTTTGTGCGCGTGACGTATTCACTTCGGTACTCCATTGTGTTCAGGGGTTGGTGGAGTCACAACCAATTAAGCCCCCTTCATTTTAACTCCCACCCCTCACCCTAGGCCCCTCCCCCCCTTAAAAAAAAATGTGTGAAGTTTTAAAATAAATTCCCCTGACATTCTATAATTAATTTTTTTATTTAGAAATGTAAAAAAAGTACATTCTGTGTTGAATTTTAAAAAACCAACCATTTCTTTAAAGATGTAGGCGGTGTTCAGACAGGTTTTATGGAAATTTGAACCTTGGGCTGAAAAATTTGGAAAAAAAGCAGCTTTGTTTGTATTAAAATTATCTCTAAACCCATTTTGTGCTCCACCCCTTTTAAGAAACAACTCCCCACCTCAAAAAAGTTTAATACAGCATCAAATTTGGTAGTTGTATAGTGTCGATCCTGCAGAGTACATCTGCATAGGTCTGGTCCAACTAGAAAAAGCAAAGTTTTTGAGAAGTTTCTCTCAAATTTTATATTTTTCTCCTCATATCTGTTTTTGTCGTCAGCTCCTTCGGATTAGGAAGAGCATTTCCATGATTGCCGTCTTCGTTATTTCGGCGCTTGTCCACGAGTACGTTCTCTCGCTAGCTTTTGGTTTCTTCTTCCCAGTTCTCATGTTTCTCTTCGGCGGAGTCGGATGTAAGTCAAATTTTTTTTGGGGGGGGGGCGGGGTCTTTTATTTTGTGAAAAAGTTGTTTTCTGAGAGTTTTTCTTTGTAGAAATAAAGCTTATTCAGTATATCACCAGAGTTTTCATTCAGGATTTGGGATATTTGAAAATGATGGCTTTTGAAGAAGTTAAGGACATCATGGCATTCTGGGGGCCAGAGGTTCGATTCCAACTCAATCAAGTTTCATTGTATGGGGCAGGGGGAGGCAGTGACAATTCCCTGGTGCACACAAACTGCTCAGTGTGTAAGTCAACATGTAAGTATCGGCGGTTACCGGTGACATTTCCTCCTTTCTTTCCATCTGTTCTGCAGTCATTTTCATCTTCATTACCGGTAAAGGGACGTCCAACCTTCACAACATTTTCGTCTGGTTGTCCCTGTTCATGGGCAATGGCATACTCATGTGCCTGTACAGCCAGGAATGGTACGCTAGGCAACACTGCCGCGCCCCAACGGAAAACTCCACACTTTGGGTGAGCTATAGAATAATGTATTTGAAAATTGCTTTGTTTTTTCTTGTTTGTGGGTTGTTTTTTTTTGGGGGGAGGGGTGATAAACTTTTCTCATTGTGCCTGATTGTAATAAATGTGTGTGATTATTAATTTCTTTTTAGTGATTTATTTCACTTCAGGCTTCTCATACTTCATTTGCATGCTAACAAAGATCCTTATCCAGATTTTTGAATTATAAGCAAATCATTATGGTGTAAAAACGCCATGTGCAAGTGAAGGTATGGAGGGCCATTTGTTCACATATTGAAAGAAGTATAGTGTTCAGTCAATTTCTGTCTGATGGAAAAACTTTTACAAAAAATCAATTGAATTTGTTAAAAATATGGGTTTGATATTTATTTGCACACGAAGTTCTTGCGTTATAAGAACTTTTCAGATGCATTTTTAGTTCACATGAGCGATTTCCACTTAATCGTTCACAGAATTTGATGAAATGTAGCTCATAGTATTTAAGTCATATTTAATTTCAAAATAATGTTGTTTTTTAAAAATTATTTCTTAATTCTGTCTTTTTTTTCCCAGGATGCTGCTACAGATTTGGTCGTCCCAAAGTCTTTCTTTTGCAACTGGCAACCCTGAACGCAACAGGAACCTTTTTTCCTTTTTGGTTCTCCAGAAACAGTTGGTGTGAATCGATTTTCCTATTAAAGCCGTAAATTATTCTAGATAATTCACGATCGTTTCACATTTGAAAGCTAGCCAACTTACTCCTGTAAACTCAGCATTAAGTTTTTGTTTTGTTTTGCAACATTTATAGACATGTATGTATATATGATTTTTTTTTTCCGAGATCAAGGAAAATAAAGAAGTAGTCCTACACAAAAGTAAAGTTATTTTAATTGAGAAGTATATATCATATGAGTTATCCATCACTAAAAATTATTAACAATGCATCTAAAGAGTTTTAAATGCACAAAGAATGCTTTGAAATAAGTCAGAACATTTAATTTAATTATATAAAAAAATTTAATTTAATTATATAGGAAAAAAAAACAAGAGGGTGAATGATTCAGGAAGTTAATGGTCCTCGTATATAGCGCCCTCTGGATTTGATAGTACAAGTTGGAAAGTTAATGGTCTTCAAGACTAGTGCCCTCTATTGTCACTACAATTTAAATAGTCTGATTATTTTTTTAATGGCCTCAAAAATAGCACCCCCTGTCTTGTAAATTTGAAATGATAAAGCCACCAGTTCTTTTAAATAGCACCCTCTTGTGAAATATGTATAAATGATTTTTTTTTTCTAGATCAAAGAAAATAAAAGAAATACACAAAATGTAATTAAAATTTAAATTGAGAAAGTGAATAACAGATATAACTAAACATTATTTACAAAGCATCTTGAGAGTTTAAAATGCACTAAGAATCATTTGAAATATTCAGAAATTGTTTAATTTAATTACATGTGTATTTAGGAATAAAACAGGTAAAACAAGAGAGTGAAGGATTAGTGAAGTTAACGGTCCTTGTGAATAGCGCCCTCTGTAATCAATAGTTCAAGTTCAAAAACTTAATGGTCTTCATGAGTAGCGCCCTCTATTGTCACAAGAATTTAAATGTCAAATTTTTTTTTAATGGTCTCAAAAACAGCGCCCTCTAGATTGTAAGATCAAGACTGATACTAGACTGGTTCCAGGCCCCTTCATTTGTCATATGGACTTCGAATGTAGGGACTGGTAGTGGGTAAGAGATTAAGAATATATCAGAAGGATTTCTTTCTAATGTATGCAGAGAAGGGCTTTGCTTAGATTTTCTTTTAATTGAAGGGAAATATGTATTATAATGCAACATGTAAAAAGGAAGCATCAGTTTTGTCTTATTTGCCAAAGGTTTTGTTTTAATGTTTGTGTTATTCAATCAAATTGAAAGTAATTATTAACAAGATTGGAAGAAATATTGCACTTTGAAATCCATACAAAGAGCACTAAGTAATTGCTGCTACACAGTGTTCTTTTAAACAAATACAAACCGATCCAATGAAAACAATGGATCTTTTCAAAATAAGAAAAAAAATGAACCGCGTCATATTCTACAGTTTACACTTATCCGGTTCTACGTTACCTTGTTCCATAATCCCAAGTTTATGTTATACAATACATCTCCAAGGTTTATGAAATATTTATATTCAAAGTATTTTCCAAAAAAAAAGTTGCAACCTATTGGGATGTCAGGGTATTAAATAATTTATTAGCATATGCGCATATTTATGAGCCTGTGTCACAGTTATAGGTGTAGTTTCTGTCAAAATGCGAATTCGTGTTAGTTTGTTACTATAGATACCAAGCGTCAGACTTATAAAAATAAGAATATTGCAGTAATTATGTAAGAAATTCAAGACTTAAGATCTAGTAATTATTGATTTGTATTGTAAAGAAGAGAAGTTTGAAAATAATTCTTTTTTTGGTTGGAAAGGTAAATTAATATTTCCAAAACAATGAACCTTTGTAAATTGTCTGATGGGAACTTTGTTTTCAGTAACAAATTAATAATTTTAAAAATCTGTCTCAACCCCCCCCCCCTTCCAAGAAAAGTGACCAAGTGAAATGACAGATAGTTTCCATGCTTATGATTTGCATGCAAACAGAGATCCTTATCAAGATCCCTGAATGTGTATGGAAATATTTTTGATGGACTAATGTGGATTTAAAAAGTCTGTGTGCAATTGAAGGTATGAAGGGCCATTTTTTCATATACAAAGGTTTCCTGTCATCAATTTCTACCAAATGACAAAACTGTAAACATCAGCCATTGAAAAAATGGGATATGTTACATTTTTCTGTAATATGAAATTCTTGTCTTTGCACATTAATTGTCATAACCTTTCAACTTTTATTCACTTACAGCGATTTCCAGCCTACGATGCATCTAACGAGTTTAAAAATGCACATAGAATGCTCTGAAATAAGTCAGGAAATGAAAAATTTAATTATTTAAAGGAATAAAACTTTACTTTAGTTTAGAGATAAAACAAAGTGGGAGAAGAATTAAAGAAGTTAACGGTCCCCGTAAATAGCGCCCTCTTGAATCGATAGTTCGAGTTCGAAACTTCGAAAAGCTAATGGTCTCTGTGAGTAGCGCCCTCTATTGTCCATTGAATTTAAATTGTCAAATATTTGTATTATTTAATAGCGCCCTCTCTGTTGCAAAATGTGTCTATGATTGAGACTGACAGCCGACGGTTCTTCTAGATAGCGCCCTCTTGTGAATTATAGCTTATGACAATTCTGCAGGCTGTCTCTGGCGTGCATAACATTGGTTTCTTACAAAAAGATGGGCTTTGCTCAGAATTTGTTTTAATTTAAGGGAAATATGTTTTATAATGCAACATGTAAAAAGGAGGTGTGTGGACGGTAATTCTGTCCCCCGTTAAAAGTGTCCAGGGGGACAGAATTATCTAGGTAAAAGTGTCCTCCCCACTTACATGAGGATTGTATTTGTTGCAATTAAAATCCTGTATTGTTACGGTCATAATAGCTTGATAATTTGACGTTTTTATTATGAAATGAAATCTTTTGATGTCAAACATCGTGACAAATTCATTTTAATCCATTTTGTATTTCTTGAGTAGTTCATCGGAAACGAGGTTGTTCTTTTTCTTCACTTGTGCAGCATCCGTGTTGATGCGTTGCCGAGACCACTATTTATGTAGCGCGCCCTCTATTATAGTCGTCTCGATCTCCACCACCAAACTCGATTTCGGGCCAACAACTCAAGAAATACACGTTACATTAAAATGAATTTTCGTACACTCATTTGTCATGATGTTTGGCATCAAAAGATTTCATTTCATAAAAAAATGTCAATTAACCAAGCTATTATGACCGTAACAATACAGGATTTTACAATCCTAATGGAAGTCAACATGGATTTTTAACGTTTAAAACACTAGATTGTTACGATCATATTATATTTATAGCTCCATGGTTTCTCACGCCATTCACACGACTCATGCTACACATCGTAAAAACTAATTGCACGAAATTTCAATTTAATCCATTTTGTATTTCTTGAGTCGTTCATCGGAAACGAGGTTGTTCTTTTTCTTCACTTGTGCAGCATCCGTGTTGATACGTTGCCGAGACCACTATTTATGTAGCGCGCCCTCTATTATAGTCGTCTCGATCTCCACCACCAAACCCGATTGGGGGCCAACAACTCAAGAAATACACGTTACATTAAAATGAATTTTCGTACACTCATTTGTCATGATGTTTGGCATCAAAAGATTTCATTTCATAAAAAAACGTCAATTAATCAAGCTATTATGACCGTAACAATACAGGATTTTATTTGCAACAAATACAATCCTAATGGAAGTCAACATGGATTTTTAACGTTTAAAACACTAGATTGTTACGATCATATTATATTTATAGCTCCACGGTTTCTCACGCCATTCAAACGACTCATGCTACACATCGTGAAAACTAATTGCACGAAATTTCAATTTAATCCATTTTGTATTTCTTGAGTAGTTCATCGGAAACGAGGTTGTTCTTTTTCTTAACTTGTGCAGCATCCGTGTTGATGCGTTGCCGAGACCACTATTTATGTAGCGCGCCCTCTATTATAGTCGTCTCGATCTCCACCACCAAACCCGATTTGGGGCCAACAACTCAAGAAATACACGTTACATTAAAATGAATTTTCGTACACTCATTTGTCATGATGTTCGGCATCAAACGATATCATTTCATAAAAAAAACGTCAATTAATCAAGCTATTATGACCGTAACAATACAGGATTTTATTTGCAACAAATACAATCCTAATGGAAGTCAACATGGATTTTTTTAACGTTTAAAACACTAGTTTTTTACAATCATATTTGTAATAAGTGTCCCCCCGGACACATTTACCGGGTCACGAGCCGGTAAATGTGTCCGGGGGGGGGGGGGGGACACATTTACCAGGGGGACAGAATTACCAGTTACAGAGGCATCAATTGTAGACGTAATTTTTGTCTAAAAGAAACCCGGTGGCAGACTTATAAAATACGAAATTTGTTATTTGATTTATTAGAAATTGAAGAATTAAAAAGTAAGATATATAATAATGATAGATTTGTATGTTTCAAGGTAAACAGGTTTAAAATCATTTTGTCAAAAAAGTAAAGTAATTTGAACAAAACAAACAACTGTTATAAGTTGTCTCACGGGAATTTTGTTGTCAGCAACAAATTAATACATAATATCAAAATATTTCTGAAATCCCTGTTGCAAATTTCACCCCACCCCAAAAAATAAAAACATGTTACAGAGTCAGGAAGTGACCGGTCTTGTAAATAGCGCCCTCTAAAATCGACAGTTCAAGTTCGAAAAGTTAATGGGCTGCATGAGTAGCGTCCTCTATATCACTAGAAATTAAATGGTCAAATTAGTATTTTTAAAACTTTGTTATGGTTTCAAAATAGCGCCCTCTGAGTTGTGAAGTTGAGAAGGATAAAGCATGGAGGTAGGAAGCCACCAGTTCTTTTACGTAGTGTTTCCTTCAAAAATCAGATACTCAGAAAAAGTGAAGAAATTTTAGCACGATAATAAATACTAGGTTTTTTTTAATGCAATATTCACCTTAATTTGATAAACATAATTCAAGTTTACATAAATATGTTTGTTCACACTTAAGAAAATGAATCCTGCGTTGACTAGTAATTTTGGAAATGTCTTCCACTTATTTTGTAATCCTTTTTCCAGTGAGTGACTAATTATTTGGTGTATTTCACAAGCCTGTGTAAATTGTATTCATGTTGATACATAGACGTTTTGGTGATGAAGAATTATCTTTCACAATGAAAAACTATCTTAATTGTGACGTTTGAATCGAACTTAGTTGCTGTTTTTCGAGTAGAAAAAAATCCGCGTACGACGAATATACTTGGCAGACGTTTACTCGTATCCTCCATCACGGAAAGTTATTCACCTGCGTTTACAAATCACGCAGGCAAATATGTATACCTCCGCTTTATCAATGAAGGCAATAAAATGCTTTGTATTAAATGGCATGGTGCAATTTTATAAATTTCTTGTAAAGGTCATAGCAATATTTTATTGTGGTTGTTTTTTGGAAAATAAAGTGGCTTTTGGGAGATGAAATCCATTGATTTGTTGTTGCGCATTGATATAAAAGAAAAGTAGTTCCAGTCATGAGATGCTGAGATTGAAAATGGCCCTGGGGTAAAAGATAACCCATTCATTGTGCACTTTGCGCTGTGTGCTGTACAGTACTCGCACTCACGAAATACGTGCATTTGGTGTACGTCTACACAACATGTGCGGAAGTGAAACTTTGGTACGAAAAATGACGGAATTTTCGTAAGGAAACCAACTCGTAACTGTGGATTATGGACTTTATTTCACGGACAACATGAAATGCCTGGAGACCAAGGTCACTCCAGTGCTGTTGTTGGGGATTCAGGTGGTGTTTTTAGCCCAGTTTGTCGCCGGTAAGTAAGAGTTGTTGTCCATGTTGTCGGTCGAAGTCCGAGAAAGTTCGTTGTGTGGTGGAAGTGGTTTGGCGTGCATGGCGTCCCGTGTTGCCATGAATGCTGCGGGTCGCACGGGCTGTTTCCGCCTTGCTCTGTCATCTGTGGTATGCCGCGCTCGTGGGTCGGAACAAGTTGCGTTTTGTGTCACTGTGACAGGGTTTGTCCCATACCAATTCCCTCCAAAACTTTTACTTGGTGACGTACATAATTATTCTGCTTCTATCTCGCGACTAGTCATTTATAAGTACCACTACCAGCCTGTTGACTGTTGTTGTTTTAATGTTTGTCGTGTTTGTGTCGGTCAAACCATGGAGTTAGGAATGATGGTCAAACATGTGAAATATTTTGTATGTTCTCTGAGTCTAACCATAACTTATGAACATTTATTCAGGCATGGAATATGATGAAGAAGGCTTTGGATTAATATGGAATAATAAAGAAGACAAACCACTTAACCAGCAGAAGGATTACATTAATTATTATATTTTGTATTCAATTCTCATTTTTCATTTGACATGTTATAAAAAAATCTCATTTTTTTCCCGCAAAATATCTGCTCATATACGTATATACGTGTGCTCCTTCGACAAATTAATAAGATTTTGTAAATACTTATTATAAGTTTTATCTTAGTTATTAGAACTTGGTAATTTAAACAAAAATATGTTAGGGCAATTTTTTGTGTTCAAATAGGCCTATCTCATTCAAAACATGTCAAAAATAACTGACTTATAATGCAAAAATAGCGATTTAGTGAAAGAGCTATTGTTGTTTCCAGGTTTAAAGGGATAATACAACATTTGCAAACATCAAAAAATAAAACTACCAAATCACTTTGAAATACCTTGCTGGACTGTTAGTGAATGACAGTGTAAAGCATCCTGTAAAATCATGGCACCTGGTATACTGTCATTTTCAAGAAAAGTGGTATTTTTGTATCAATTTCCAACGCTGATCGGCCGATCAGCGTTGGAAACAACTGGCTTTTTTTTCAAATACTGGCCACAATCGACCATCGCACTTGTTTGCAATCGATTACAAACCTATGAACGGGTACGAGCCAGCTAGACTGGTTCCCTGACCTTACAATTCCCCAATGTATGTAAACTGCTCTGTTTCTTCTTATATGGAGTCAGGGAACCAGACTACAGGGAAATGATCGTTTTTCTTGGTTTTTATAGCATTTTCGAACCCAAAACCTCAAAAAAGTCAGTGTAACTATATTTGCTGTATATTTCGAACCCCCTAATTCCATCCATTTCTGAAAATTACAGCAAAAGCAAATGATGTATATTCCCTTTAAACATGAAAAAAATGCATGGGGAAAGCAGCTTTTACATTTTGGTTGAAATAAAATGCAGCATCCTGATGCGTGATGCCACTTTTTTTTTTTTTTTTTAAATTAACCAGAAAGAGTGTAGTATCCAGACACCACATCTTTGGTTGTGTACAAAAAGTTTATGGAGAGTAGAGTGCATTTTCAAAGTATTTTCTGACAAAATTGAAAATGTTTCTCAGTCCCAGATTCATGTCTTATGCAACATTTTTGCAATGACTGACCTTCATTGAGATAATATATTGAATGAAAAAAAGTGGCGCCAGGATGCAGCATTCTTTCCTTTTTGACAAACCAATTTGCTAATCAACTTTTAAGTGACGTGCATATTCTGTTTCTGTCTCACAAGACATTAGGCTGTCATGCCTGTCAAATAACCAGTTGTTTATGTCTCCAAAACATGTCAACATGTCACGTATTTTGTTTGTTCTTTGATTGGCCTAAGTTTGCTAACCATGCTTACCAATGAAATTTAACATGTGGATAGGTTCAGACAAACAAAATGACGAAGAAAAGCTTTTGGATAAGAAGACAAACCAGCAGAAGGATTGTTTATTTTGTGTTTCCAATCTTATTTTCCATTTGACATGTTTGAAAACATCTTAACTTGTGCTTATCAAGTCCAATTCGAACTTGGTAATTAAAACAAAAAGGACATGCAGGATGGATCTTTTTGTTCAATGTTTGAGTCAAATCTCGTTTGCATTGTTTGAAAAGAAAATAGCAGTTCAAAGAAGCTCCATCATTTTGTCCATGACAGAACTAACCATTTTTAGGTTTAAATCTGAATGTTTGTTTATATATGTAGCATGGGCAAAGCAGCTTTAGTATTTTGGTTGCAGTAGAATCCAGTATCCTGATGAGTTTGTTTTTAAACATAACCTTATCGATTGACAGATATAAAAAAAAAAGAATTATAAAATTTACGGCGAAAACAATGCGTGGCAATGTAATAATTAAATACTTACAAAATGTTCACAACTTCCCTGAAAGAGATAGTATTTTGGTTATGTTGGTAGACGTACACAGCCGCTAAAGTGGATTAGGATACTTCATTGTTTTTGAAAATTTTACTGTCTTTGTGTGAAGTTATGTTGGAGAAAGAGTGTGAATGTTTGGAAAATATTTGTGTGAAATTATTCAAATTTGGAGAGAAATGCCTAATGACAGTGGAAATTTAAATCATTGTTTACCATTGATAAAACAAGTCTCAAAATGTTTAGGAAAAGTAACTTTCCTGTTAAATTTCTGAAACCAAAAACTTAGATTTTATTTTGATTTCAATTCTATTGTAAATTTATTTACACCGGTTTTTATTGATAAAAAGGTTTTCTAAAGTAAAGTGCTAAAAAATGAAAATCTTTTTTTTGTCATGAGATCAATCTTGTCACGGACAATTTTGTACAATTTGTACTTTGATATATTTGTTGGGAAAATTCCCCAAAATCCCTTTTCGTATCCAAAGTTGAATACTGGAATTTTATACCTGTGTGTTCAATTTCATTGTATGACTGGGTTTTTAGAAAAAAATTATCTTTTTGACACTGTTTTGGAACGATTAATTGAGCAAATAAAAAATGTTCAGTTGTCAGACATGCTAGCTCTCCACACATTTGTGGTAGGACCTTCCAGGAAACCATGGCACACCTCTTCTTTAGTTTTCTGGAGGGAATCGATTTCTATCGTCTTCATTCCTTCAAACTTGTCAAAAAATATACAACCAAACCTCCTGGTAAATTGATAAAGATTTGTCAAATTGGCAGACTTCCAGTTTCTCTCCAAGTAGGCCTATTATTACTGACACGGCCAGTTGAACATATTCATGCAAGGCACTGGTTTGTGCCAAAAATATATTTCCATAGTGTCAAACCCCCATTGTCCACGCACCATAACCATTTGAAGCCAGACCCATTCAGATTGAAAGTACCATTCCCTGTTGAGAGCACCATAACCCATTGATGCCCCTCACACTGTATTGTCACCCCTAGCTGGCTCATCACTCCGGCTGAAAATCGCCTTTTGTTGGCAGACATGTTTGTCAGATTACTGGGGCTAGCTCAACCGTTAATTCGCCAGAGAACCGGGAACAGTTAGATGCAGGTTTTTACCATGCATTTGCATTGGACAAACAGACCAGTGAAATGTTTTAACACAATATGATTTAGATGGTCAAGTGTGAAAACTGTTCATGGTGGTAAGCAACTGTGTACTGGGAATGATGGGTTCATTGACATGGCTGTACCTCATTGGAGAAATTTTGATGGTCAGTTTGTCTTGATTTCTTAGAAACACGGTTATACAATACCGATTCCTTGCACAAATGCCCCCTCAATGGTTTGGTACACCATGGAGGAATAAGAACCTGGGTACACAGAGAGGGTTGGCGAAAACCACTGGGGAGGGGGGGGGGGGGAACTTAGATGCCTTTTTTGGCGCCATCTTGAAGAACATAAAACTTTTAACTGGTCAGTGTAACAATCTTTGCTGTTAACCCCCAAATTCATCCACTTTTGAAAATTACAGCAAAAGGAAATGTGAACTGTACCAGGGAAGGTCATGTCTCTGTAATTGCAGCCTACCCCATCACCAAAAAGGAGAAAATCACAAATTTTGCTCTTTTTTATGGAAATTGTCTTTGTTTACTGTACAATATAATCTCACTTACTATTCATCCTTGGAGAAACAATTCGTTACGTTTCATTATCTCTAAACAGTTTAGACTTTGAAAGGGCAGAAAAGTTAACAAACTCAGCACCAGCAGTTAAAAAAATAATATGTCCACCCCACCATACCTTGTCATCTTGTCCACAGACGCGCAGCATACCTTGTCCTAAATGTAGGGGAACGTTTCAGGGGGTAACCGGTGGTGGAGCTTGGAGGGTGGTCCGGATAAAACTAGAGCCCCGGATATCATTATCAAGGATTTGCTGGGCTGTTGGGGGCTTTTGAAACAACTCCGCTAGCTTAGGGCAAGACACAATGTTTGGAAACAGGGAATATCTGCCTGTGAAAATTGATATTATAATATGTTCGTTTTAAACGAAATCTTGCCTTTGTATACGTATGTATGACCAAAATTGCAAGTTTCTGTTCAAACTCTTATACTGAATTCCATTTCAATATTTATGATTAATTTGATCCACCATACATGTAATAAACAATGTGTGGCAAGCTCACTCATTGGGTAACAGTTCTGTTCTTCCTGTCCCTTGGTTGGATATCAACATCAAACAATTTGCATATCATTTGCATAAAGCTCCATGGTCTCATATGGTAACAAATTTTGAGCTTTGAAAAATTGCCGTTCCTATTCTTACATGCTGTGTGGGGCCTGATAGAAATGGACTGGTTTTTAGTGAGTAATGTTTTGTGAGTGTAATCTCGTAGATCTTAATTAATTGCAAAAAAAAATGTGTTATTTGATGCAGGGTCGTCGTGGTATTTAGGGTGTACCCATGACAACGCATCATCGGAGGCATCAGAGAGCTTACTTCAAGATTTGAAGGGAAACTCAGTGTTCACCCCAGCTTCTTGTGCTAGCTCTTGTCGGGAAAGAGGGTAAGAAATTCACAAAATCCACAAAATCCACAAGTCCACAAATCCACAAACCAAATTGAAAATACCCAGTATCACTTCAGTTTTTTACATACTTTCTAGTGGGGCTGCATACATCATGTAATGCTTTTTTTTTTGTTACTCGGATATTTTTATAACAATGAAAAACAGACGGTTAACAGGACTAACTTTATTTCCTGGGATAACTTTTATTTTTTTTCTCATGGAATAACATCTGAGAAATCAGAATGGACAAATTCTACCGATGGAAAATGGTCTTGTTCCCAAAAGATTTGTCAGGTATTTTGGTTGTAATGTGTGTCTGGTGTCCAGTTGTAAATTATAATATATTTTTTTTCAGTTTGGGTGGTCTTGTCAAAGACCTTTTCCTGCCCAAATAGAACAAATTGTATGTAGCCTTAGCATATTTGTAACTTTGCAAGTTCCATTTCCTTTTTTCCCCTTCAAATTCTGGCCCATTATGACTTTTGCTTTTACAGAGTTTAGGAAAAATAAGCTCGGTGGTCGAGTTAGTAAGACGTCTGCACTAGAAAGCAGGAGGTTGTGGGTGGGTGTCCCACCTGAGTGATTTTTTCCAACTTTCACTCGGGAGGTAACACACTGAGCACACAGTGTTAATGCGTCAGTGAAGGGCAAAACCTCATATTAATTTAAATGTACTAAAAATGTTATATAACTTGTTGACTCCCAACGGGTCTTTTCCAATCGCCTACAATTTTGCCAGGTACTGGGGGCTGAGGATAAAACAGACATTGTTTCTTGTAAATCTACGTAAATTTTGTTTTATAAATATCACAGGTCCCTGTATGCTGGAATTCATGAGCAAGGTGCAAACTGCACGTGTAGCAGCATAATAGGAGAAAGGATAGCAGAGAAACAATGCAATATTACGTAAGTTTTCTCTCGAAAAATTGTTGGCATAACTATCTGCCACTTAAATTATTTAAAATGGCATTGTGGTTTGCAATATTTATCGCGGATTTCTTCAAGAACAGTTTGCAATGAGATTTTGTAAAGTTCAAATTGCAAAATTTAATATTTTAATTCAATGAAAGCTTTTGCAGAGTTTTGAAAACACAAGAATTTAGAGAAAGGGAGGCTAAAGAAACTTTGAATAATCCACTTTATGGTGTCAAGAAATCAGAAGTGAATTTGGTTTTCCAAAGAAAAGGTTTAAAAAAATAACAATTTCAGATGAGGTTGGTGAAACGCCTGTCTTTCCCTTGCCTGTCTTTCCCTTGCAAAGCATGTTCACTGTCATTTACTCTTTACATCAAAAGTAAGAGAAAATGTGGAGTGATAAACTATTGATCAAAACATATCTGTGATATCTCCTTGCTAAGCTTAACTTGTCTTTTTATTTCACAATCAGATGTGGAAACGTCAGTTTGCCGTGCGGAGGTGATGGTGTGGTGAGCGTATACTCAGTGGATGGACCCTATTTATTAACTGCTGAGCTGAGCCAGACGCAGCACTTGGTGCAGGAGGGAGCCACAGTCCGCTTTGAGGCCAGAGTGGCTCTGGCTACGGATGAACTAGCAGATTTAGGTAAGGATGCTAATTTTTTTTTAGGGGAGGGGGAGGGGAGGGGGAGGGGGTAAAGTAGGATAGGGTGGGTCTGGGTGGGGATGAACTCCCTCCAGCCAACCCTAATCTCTTATGCTTATTCATTGAGTCAGCAAAATTTCCTATCAAAAGTGCCCAATTTTTTTTTAAATTTCAAAATATTTGAAAAGCAGAAACTTAAATGTTGCTTTCTTCCTACTTTAGTGCTCCTAAAATGTTTGAAAAGAAATAGGCCTACATGTATATCTGACATTTGTTGCATTATTTTTCTCCCGATTTCTGATTTTGCTTTTTTGGTAACCAGTGCCGAACACATACATGCAAAATCAAAGGGGTTGTAGAAATGTATATTTCTTCATTTTCTCCTGGCATTTGAACTCTAAATTATTTAAGAGTCTTTAGTTCTTGGTCAAGTTTCAGTTGAAATGTTCAGTGTAAGTTTAGTGCGGGTGACAGAAGTAGAGGCAGTTGTGCAAAACCACGTGGCAGATTCTGCCAGTCAGCACTAGGACATTGGCCCATATTCCCATGCCAAGGGTAACACGTGTTTCAGTCGCACATCTGTAAGTAACACATCTGTGTCGGGAGAAATCAGAAAAGACCACAGTTCATGTTTCTTTGGGACTAACAGTTGTGCAAATTTTGCCGGGGCCACAGAGACGACAAAAAAGAAAAAAGAAAAGGAAATATCATAAATCAGGGGAGATTAGCAGTAATACCCTTGCTGGTAAAGGTGGGTGGTCGGGTGATCGTCTTTGGGACGATCTTGACAAGGCGTCTGGTGTGATGCCAGCCCCAGACAAAGAACTTGGTTTCGTATTGTCTTGCCTTTTGTCAGATTATATTTTGTCCTTTTGGCAGAAGTCCAGCTTGAAGTCTGGAAAGTTTATTCTGTAAAAAGAAGGGGAAAAAAGAAGATATCTCAAATATTACTGGCAGGCATGCAACGTTTCTTGGGATCAGCTGATTTTCTCGTTTTTTACCTCTCAATTAAACAATTAACAATTTGAAAAACACTATAGAAAGTCTTGTAAAGCTAGGAAATTTTTCTTTTTTTTGGTTACGTCCCAGTTGCATGGTTTGGGGGAAGACAGTTCTTTTGTATTAATGTTTTGTTCTCTAATTTGGGGAGGTCAATATGATAACACTTAAAAAAAATTAACAAAAAAAATAACAAAAATTGACATTTTAGATATAGCAAGATAAAATAGTTTTAAAGAAAATTTTCTTGTTGCAAATCAGTTGGACGAAAGACCAGAAAAAAATTTATTGAAAAAAAAATACTGCTGGCAGTGCATTTTATATTTGCATTTGTCGACTTTTCGTGTGCTGTGTGTGACTTTTCATTTTTGAGAAACTGCCTTTGAAATATTTTGGTTTGTACCCACATCATATCCAGCAGTGAACGAATGGCAGCAAAATAATTTTTAAAAATATAGCCAAGCTCTGAAATTAAGCCAAATGTTTTTCCCCTGCTTTTAGGTCTAGAAGGCTTCAGTGCCAGCGATTTTGATGAAATCGTCTTCAGGTGGAGGGTAGACGGTGAACTGTTAGGGGAAACATCCCTGCGATATGGCAATTCAACTGCCGCTAGCAGTTTTGTGCATACATTTCACAGCGAGGGAAGGTGGCACATAGGTAAGTAGAGGTTTCTACGCTGTTTGAATCCCTTTGAACCCTGTACCGCCCAAAACAGCCCCGCGTTTGACCTCACCCCCAAAACTGCCCAAGCACTATGTGAGTTTATGGATTCTTCAAGATACAATGTAACACATTGTAATACAACTTGACACAATGTGTAACACAATGTGATTTTTCTTTTTATATTTTTTCCTAATAATATTTGCTTTAATCTAACCAGAAATCCATCAAGATCCATTCCCTCATTTTGGGGATTTTTGTAGGCAAGCCATGAGTGCCAAGTCCATCAAAATCCACCTGTAGCAGTGGTGGTCTTGTGTTGGATTTCAGCGGATTTGGTCCTGAAGCATTATGTGAAGCAGGGTCAGTGATGGATTTTGGCGGACTTGGTCCAGTACTTAATAAACGACACTAGGGAGTTAAGGTTAATTTTGTAATGCTGCTTGCCTCTGGGTGAAAAATGAAAAAAAAATGCTTTCCATGTTTTGCCTTTTGGTCTCTTAACTTCATGACCTCAAAACAATTACTGGAGCTACTCTTCAAATAACAAGTATGAAGAAACAGGAAGAACATTGCAAATGAAATTGAAATATTTAAAAAATATTTTAGTCCTCAAATTTCCTTCATGGGTTTTTGGACTGCCCAGAGACCATTTTGGTCACTTCTGTGAATGTCACCCCAACATGCTGTTCCAATTTACAGCAGAAGGACAAGTTGGATTCACAGGTGCACAATTACACAGTAACTGGAATCTCCACTCTTTACTTCCATTTTGGACTGCCGATCTCCGATCTCCGGCCACTGTTTGTGCAGGGGCAAGATTGTTATTAGTACACCCGGGTATACCTTGGGGGGAAAATCCCCCTTTGTGGGCCGGCTCCTGTTGGTGTAACAATAGCCAAAGCGCGGGGCGACCTTGCGCCATAAAGAAAGTGGAGTGAAAGGGAGGGGGATTTGTGGGATTGCTCGCGGTGCCAGCGAGCATCGGGCATTGCATACCTGTTGTGCACTGGGGGGCTTGCTGATGTAAAGGGGGCTTTGGAAAGTTTGAGGTTTGCCTTGGAGATTGCTGTTTGCTTAAGCACTTTCAAGGTGTCTTCCGAATACTTAGTCTCTTTGTGTGCTCTTGTGGGCCGTTGTGTAAGAAATGTTGGAAGCCTGTGTTGGCCTTTTGTTGTGGGATTTTTGCTGCATGCATTACTGGATACCCAGCAGTTATGATTCACTGTGTATGAACAGTTGGACACTGTGTCGTACTTGCACAACTTTAGTAATTTTTGAAATGCAGCAATGCACATGATCAGCATTAGGAAACTTCCTTTTACTTAATTTCTGTGAAGTTAGACAGGAGAAATAAGCAACTATCAAAATCGGCATACACCTAAAAACACTTCCGTGTTTGGCCAAGTATTTCCACTTTACGAGCAGAAAAAAAAAGAATTTTATAGAAACTCTCTTTCGAAAAGGTCAGCTAGAATACATTACAAAAAAACCCTAGTTTCTAGTATTTGTCACTCCAGCAATATAATACAACTTGTGACGCTTTTCTTCATTTTATACTCTGTCATTGCATTGTTTAGTTGAAAAATTTGTTAATGCGAAATCCACTACTTCACTCACATGATGAAATGCGGAACAGTTTTTTTGTAAGCTGTGTTCTTACGGTTGAATGCAATTTAGTATGTATTGCAACGGAAAACTGACATTTTTGGAATGGACAGTCATTCTTTCAAGTATCATGCCACATTTCCAAGAGAATTTTATAAAAATTCACGTTGTCGCGGCTGGTTCCAGATTCATCTGCCTGTTAATGAACGGTTAAAATTTGTCTCCACGGCAAACTATTTTTGTCCAGCGAAGAATTCACTGACCAGTGACGCCCCGTGGCTTGACGGGACAAACATGGGCCAGTTGTTCCTGGATGTAGGCGTTGTTCTTGGAGGGGGATTTGCATCTCCTCCTTCTGTTAGTTGACAGTGAAGATTCCTCTGAGGTCAAAGTCAAGGTCCTTAAAAAAAATATCAATCAGAATCTCTTCAATAAGAATCCTAAATAACGGCTCAAGAGTTATGGAAAGTAAATCCCTGGCCGCATGTACTGTGCTGGAATGCCTTTTCAAAAGTAAATGGACACAAGTGACCAATAATAGTCCACTGCATTTTTTTTAACAGTATTCTTAAAAAAAGTTATTTTCTAAAAAAGGAAGAAAACATAACATTTGCTAAATGTTATAAATCAGAAAAACTTAAGTGACCCTGCTTTATATAGAGTACTTCTTATTCATGCAGAGGATTATTAATTAATGAAGTTGTTATGCTTATTAGCAGATGAAAATGAACACTTAAATTAGTTCAAATTTGTGGTCAGAATTTATGATCTTGTTTACTGAATGCAAACTGTTGACCCTGAGAAATATTTCAGGAAAGAATTCTGTGAGCCAAAATGGTTAAATTAACTTCTTAAATTATCATTTTCTCTGGATCCTAAGATATCAACCGTTCCTGGAATTGACTCGGAAAAAGTTATAAATATGGCTTGAACTTGCATTGTTCTGTACATGGGGAAACTTTTGGCTGTGCAGTTGAAGGAAATGGTCTTGCTCTCACCGCAAATGCCTTGTTGGAAAAAAAATCCAGAAAATAAATAGCGAGAGTAACAATTTTGTGTTGAAAAGATGAGGAGTATTTATTTGTTATCCGGATGATAACTTAAGACATATTGATTGCCCGTGCGTGCTAGGATGAATACATTTTTGCAATGCCAGGCGGGACCTCCTACTGTGCAGCTCGCCGGGACTCAAATTGGTGCGGATTTACTCGAGTTTGCCCCCTGTCAGTTCTTGCTCCACCTCGCCGCGTCGCGCGCCGCGGTCAGTAAACTTCGACATCACCTGATCATTGGATGGCAACCACTCTTTGCCTTCTTCACATTGGGAAATTGTCATCATCTCTCTCTCAAAATATGGCAAAACAACTTCACAATTTTAAAAAGAAAAAAACATGACTTTCACGCAGTATGTACAAAATGGTTAATGGAGTTGGGCCCTTTTTTCACGCATTCAGTTAAAATAAATGCCACGCCATTGTGGATGTTTGTTTAAATTTTTCACTCAAAAACAGATAAGGTTTTCATTGGTCAATTCAATTCAATTCCATTTATTTTTATACACATGACGTAAAAAAACCAAAAAAAACCATTAAAATTGTTTCAGTCTGGAATAGAAATTTGATCTTGGTGTTGGCCCCAAAACCGTTTTGATCCAAATCTTTGTTCGCAAGAAACAAAGAAAACCTGAATTTTTTAATGAAAAAAGAAAACGCTGTCCTGAATTTTTACCACAGTTGATTGTTTCCCCTAGTCCCAGAAAACCAACCTAGTGTCTTCTTTACCGGGCAGTGCTATTGTATAGGATTATCCCATATCACCTGTCTATGACATAAATGCGGCCCATTCTGTAGATCAGATGTACATGTATAATGAGACTTGCAGTTAATAACCGTTCTGAAATAATTAAATAGAACTTTTTGCACCTGGGACTAGCTTAGTTACTTAGTAGGCTCGCTAGTCTTTTTGCTTTTAGGTCAAATTGTCATTCCTGGGTTACTTTTCCTCCCATATTCACAGACGTAGACGTCAGCAATGCCATCTCCGATCTCCTCCGCACCACCAGCATCGTGGTGGTGCGACCTTTACCCTCTGACCTCCAGGTCATCCTGCGCCCCACCGAGGGCGACGCCCCGTCATGCGTGCCCATGTCCAGTTCTGCAACCGCCTCCCTGCCCGCAGTCTCTGTCTTCATGGGGGAGGAGGTGGAGTTTCAGGCCTCGGTGGCCATGGGAGTCAACCTGACATTTGTCTGGACGTTTAACGGCGATGGTTTAAACCTCACGGAAGTTTCTGCAGAGGAGCCTGACTGTGAAGGAATCGCCTGCATGCAGGATATCCAGGTAGGTTTGAAAAAGATTTTTCTTTGTTTTAAATTTTGTTTTAAAGTTTTATTTTTTGCTAGGTTAGCCCCATCAGTTGTCAAAACACAGTTTCTACCAGGGCACAAAGAACTGTTCTACCTTGTGCCGTGGTAGAACAGTTTACCCTTTTTAACCGTAAAACGTCATCCCTGAACTTACAGAATTTTCCAGATATGTTTAAGATTTGTGGATTTCAAAAACCCTAAGTTCTTCATCACTGTACTTTTTCTTTTTTGAGTTATTAACATTTCTATAAAACAATTGCAATGGGCAGTTTTTAGGAATGCCTTTTTTTAGGGCAAACACATGCATGTACCATCTTGTGTTGCATCTTTGCCTGAACAATATTTTTTTTTAAATTTCCCCCAATCTCACCCTTACTACAGTTGGACTTAGGACATTTATCTTCAATTTACTGTATTTACCCCTCAAAAAAAAAAAACTTTACCGTTAAGGGCATTCTGTGTGTGACAAATGAGTGCTCTGAATTTTTTGGCCAACCTGTCCCTTCAGTCAGAACTGAACTAAATCCAGGCTAACTTTGACTGTTCTGAAGTAGTCTTAGAATCCCCAAACCGCACCCTGCTTGTGCGCTGTTTAGGCTGTAATACATGTTTCCCCCTTCCTAATTTCCCCTACTTCTTCCAAACAGAAATCCAAATGAGGAAAACATCACAAAATGTATAAATGGCAGTTGTCAATTTCCTTTTTTTCTCTTCCTGTCCCGTTGAGTTGTATGTGTGTGTTAAAAGATCAAGAAATACCAGTAGGCTCTATACCTTCATAATTTCAAACATGCAATGGAGAATCCTTCAATTAGACATGTTTTTTTTTAAATTCTTATATTGGAAGAAGCAATGTTCCATCATTTTTCATCATCCAGACATTATTCCATTCTTTTATCCACGAAATAGGCTTCGCTTTGTTTTCATTAAGCCAAGATTGTTTGAAATCCCCATCTGGTTTTCATTTTGTCCCCAGCTCTTTTTCTTTTTTTTCTTTTTAATCTTGAAAGAAAACCGGAGTGATGAAGTAGGATGTTATTCATTTGAAGCTCACTCACTTTGCGGCGCGCTTTTATCTCCAAAGTGACTCTGGCCTCTTGTTTGGGCTATGGTCCAGCCCAATGCCACTTATGTCCTGGGGTTAAAGAAAAAGGGCGTCCCGGAGCCCTTGAATGAGGTCCGAAAAGCTCCATCTGGTGGGGCAATAGGAACTGCCAGGTCTCTGTTTCAAGCCGCGGCTGATTCTTTGTTGATTTGTGTCAGAGAAACTTCAAAAAGCCTCAGGCTTTCTAGCTAATTTTTCGTTCGGACTGTGAAGTTAATTTTATCCAGATTTTTGCCCCAAATTCTCTTGGTCTCTCTTTGGTTGAAAAAGAAGGTCAATTTAATTTTCCTGTCTGTTAACTATTCACTGGACAAAAATGGGTTTGCATTTTGGCTTGGTGACAAAATTCAGCCTTGACTGAGTTTTTCAACGCTCCATGGTTGATTTTTACTTCATATATGAATTTGCAAAGCATTGTTCCCTTGGCTGTCATTCTTTTGTTGTCTCGCCTTTAGTACAATTGGTGACAAAATTGTTGGGTCCATTTGACCACTTTTCCACCTTCTCTCCTGGAATGTAACAAGATCGCATCAGTCATAAACGAGATTGCAACATCACCCCCCTAAGCCCCCCTCTACAAACTCTTAAATCACTCATTGGTGCCTGATTGGGGCCCACGTTTCGCCTTTGTTTCTGGTAGCTATTTATAGAATTGGTGTCCGAATGTTAGGCTTGGAATTTTAATGGCATTCTGTTATTAACTGGTTCCTGCATGGTTCTAAATTTGTTTTTGTCAGTTTGAAATACCTTTCAGACATTTTTTTGTTTTGCCTTTGAAAAGTGTTTTGATGTTTCTTAAGAACCCAAAGAAAGAAGGTTACATTAAAGGTGAACTATTTATACACCCTGTCTCCACTCCACCCACCCCATCCCCTCCTCCACCCCAACCCACTTTTCATCCTCCTCATCCACCCCAGATCTGACTCCAAGATGCTCTCTTCCAAACTCATTTCTGTCTCTGAAATTGTAGTAAAACTATTACAAATTGTTGTCCCTGAGGACAGACAGAATCAAAAATTTAAAAATATCCCACGTCTCATCCCACGTTTTTTTCCCTAGAAGAAACCCTTCACAAAAACAAAATTATTTAGAAATATACCTTTTATTGTACCATTCCAACTTGCAAAGCTTCAAATCACATTTATTAGAATTAGAACAAAATCTACCGGTGAAGTGTTCCAGACTTGCTTATCTCATCATTCACTTTCCTCCAGACTTTGGTTAAAATATTCAAGGTGTCAACAAGGCCATTTATCCAGACATTCTAAAGCACCACTTAAGATCACTTAAATACTTAAAAACACAGTATTGTTTCTTAAAAAAATTGTAAATGATTCTTCATTCGGTAGCACGTACATGTAGCTTCGATTTCAGCCGAATCTTTGTTGACAAAATTTCTCAGTTGACATGGTCCGACTAAAATGGTTGTCAAACTGAGGGTCAATGCCTGCTGGAAAAGGTAGGTTTAGCAATAAATCTTGTGCGTAACTTACAGTTTTTATTTAGGGCTGGACTTTGACAGCCCTGCGGTTTGTCTACTTGGCCTTATTATCACAACTCTATGCCACTTAGGAGACCGGTTTTCCTGTGATTTACTGATCAAATTTTGGTTTTGGTTGTAAATGGTGCGTGTCAGTGCTCTCGATCTCCCTCCCCCCCCCCCTTTTTTTTTTACAACTCCCTTGCCACATGTTGTGGTCACCAAACCTATATGCCTGAGTTCATGACTGCCCAAACAGTGCTTATCTGTGACCCAAATGCCATGAATCTGGGTCAAATCTTCAAGCAAGTTCTTTGAAGAATAAAAAAAATACTGCACTCAACTCTCATGTCTAGTTAAGTAGAAGTGAGAATATATTTACACCTTGGTAGTCTACTCTGCGAAGTAGGTGCATCTCTTATCTCAAGTACTTCAATAAATCTCAGCCAAAATGCCTACGGTTTTCCTCTTCGTCAGTGGTTGAACTTGGAATGTGATTCAAGACCGTCTAAAAACATCTTAAAAAGTTATTTAGGTAATCTATAAGGATGCTTATAATTTCGGCTATGTGTATGTAAGCAAAGTTGTAAAGTTGTTGCAGTTTGATATTGTAGATGGTTGTGCATTTCAAGCTTGTTTTACAATAAATTAAAAAATGACCAAATATGGTGTTCTTTTCATTCCTATATATGTTACAGGTACATACATTTACAGTGGAGGGAATGTATGATGTTGTGGTGAACGTCTCAAATGTTCTCGGCAGTGTCCGGAAGACTCTTCGTGTGGTAAGTCCACTTCAACAAACCACAATTTACATTTCAAACATTCACCTATATAAGGTTTAAGCCAATACCTGTTTAAACCAACTCTGATTGTTATCAATTTGTTTTGATATCAGGTGGTTGTGAGTCATGAGATTTCAAATCTTACGATGTCCTTGTCGTCGAACTCTGCCTTCATCAACAAGGTGAACAGTAGTCTGGGATTGCTCATTACCATGGCCACCACGGCCAGGCAGCAGGTTGTTCTGCAGGTGGACTTTGGTGACGGCTCTGTGTTCAACCACAGCATGTATGACGTCAACGACACCTTTATAACTGTCGGCGGCGAGGACAGTGCGCACCTGCACCTCACCGCCAGCTACGGCGAGGGTTGCACCCTCTTCGTCTCGCTGAGCCACCAGTACCGGCATGCCGGCGTCTTTGCCGTGGAGGCCAACATCTTCCAGAGCTGGGACAGCCAGAGCGCAGGCACAGCGAAGCTGGAATCAGCCATCATTGTCCAGGAAGAGCTGGGGCCCATCCAGATTGAGACTCAGGGGGTTTACTCCACTCAATCCCTGGCCAATTTTAGTCTCATGATGCCTGTTGAAACGGCAAACATGTCCTACCTGTGGAGCGTGACATCAAACAATGTGACTGTTGATCTGGCCTGCTATTTGGAGCCAACGTGCCTCCACAACTTCACCCAGCCAGGCCAGTACCTTCTGAAAGTCAGTGTTGTGAATCTGGTGAGCACTGCCCATGCACAAGAAGATATATCCATCCAGGAAGCAATCAGAGGCCTCTCCTTAATCGGTGGCAGCAGTGGGATCTTGCCAACAGGCGCAACAATCCCCTTCACAGCTTCCACTGAAGCAGGAAGTGATACTCAATTCACATGGCACTTCTCTGACTTACTAGGAATCACCGAACAGCGGGATTATCTCTTGGATGCTCTCCCAACCTCTCAAGCCAACCACACATTTTACACCAGCGGAGTGTACAACGTGAGCGTCACTGCCCGTAACAAAGTCAGTTCTGAGACTGTCTACCTCCTGCAAGGAGTTCAAGTGCAGGATCCTGTACTCGGGCTGAGCTTGGTCAGCACCGGCCCCACCATACTTGGTCACCCCACTCACGTGAATGTAACTCTCCTTCAGGGCACCCACGTCACATTCTCAGTCCATACGGAGTTTGGACACGTCATGCCCAACGTTCAGCATTTTGGAGGGGACAACACTTACATCCTAGAACTGGCCATCAGTAACCCAGGTGTGTTCCATGCGACCGTGGTTGCGAGTAACAACATCTCCTCGGACAATGCAACTTTGTGCGTGGTGGTACAGGAACCAGTTGGAAGGGTGTCAATCCAGGAGTTTTACCCCGGGAACGAGCGGATAGTTTTACTGGCAAGATTGGATGGTGAGTACAACTGTGATCTCAAAGCTAATTCTGTTTGCCAAGTATGCTCAGGATCGCTCGTAAATTGGTAAACTGATTGCTTAAAGATCTTGAGCCATTGTTCAAATCGCGGTTTGGTCTCTGGCCTTGGCTTCATTACTTGAAACGTTTTCTGTTGAAACTTAAAGAAATACTTCAAAGTCTGGCCTCACAACAGTTTCTGTTGCACAAAACAGGAGGTATACTGAACCGGAGTATTTGTGCTGAAGAGCCTACAATCATACAGGCGTACAACTTTTCCTCAAATCCGCTGATTTCTTCGTTGTTTACTTCTCACGAATGCCATTAAAAATTGAAAAACACTGTACAAAGTCTTGTGTGTTTTGGAATTTCCTCGTTTTTTCCCCCTAAATTCCCAATTGCATGCCTGATCATATAACTGAAGCTGAAAACAAAACCAAGATTTTGAAGAAAAAAAATCTTCGTACTCCGATACAGGAATTATTTCTGCAGAGGAATCAAATTGGTCTCATATGTTGTCTTCCCGCAATAAATTGCAGGTGAAATACCCAATCGGACAGATGTAATGTACACCTGGCAGGCTAGAGGGCAGAATCTGACCAGTGCGAGCCCCCTACTCACCTTTCCGGTCTGTTTACAGCCTGAACAGGTGGTCATCCAAGCCAGTAATCAAGGTAATTGGTTATGAACTTCCCCTTTCTTCTGAGCAAAAAAATCGAGAAAAAAAAACCACAAGGCCAGCCTGGTAAAAGCTTGTACCAGAACACACAAAATTATATTCCATTGGTTCACAATGGCTATTCACTGGAAGTCTTTCCATGCATCTGGTATACACAGTGGCCGGATTTAGCTCATTCATTGGTGTTATGGGGTTATCCTATACAATAGCACTGCCCAGCTCTATTCAACAACCGGGCTAACTCACAAGTGACTGTCACAGAATGGGTAATACAGTAGAACGCCACTATAACAAACACGATAGGGTCCATAAAAAATGTTCCTTATAGTGGTCGTCCGTTAAGGGATTGTGCATTATAATAGAATTTACTATTTCGGGAGCCAAAGGGGATGGTCGTTATAGCCAAATATTCATTATAGCGATTTTTGTTATAGCAGCATTTAATTGTAGTACTAACTATTTGTAGTTTCACTGTATCCTTATTTAAGGAATTTGAACCCAAGTTAAGAGGAAGGGAACCTCCACATGGTCAATTTTTTTTTATTTTCAATCAAAGGGTTTTGTTAAGTTGAAAAGACAAGGAGCTGAAGCTTTTGGTATTCATGGAAACTAAAAATTATTCAGGAAACTGGTAGACCTTCATCCCATTAAATTAAATGTCCAATGCTTCTATTTTTGAAGTCTCTTTTTCTTTACTTTTTCCCCTTTTCATGCATGTTTTTTCCCAGTATCCTTGGGAGGTAGAAAATAATCTGTCTGCCCAGCCGAACCTGTTGCAAAGAAGGGAGCAGCAAGGTTGAGCAGCTGTGCATCTCGCACGTAGCATTTGTTGTGATTCCCAAAAGACCGATCTGTTTAGCTCCACTCCTTGATCTTTTGACCAATCAGAGCCTTGATGGCGCAACCAAATGTCTCACAAAATGTCCGACATGCAAAATGACGTGCACGGCTGGAATATTGAGTGTGGCATTAGAGTGGCTGTGATGTCACCCGCATGCTGAACCCATAAGTCCCTGTAGCGCCCAAAACAGCCCGCCTGTTACTCCCTGTACCACCCAAAACAGCCTGAGCACTCTGTGAGTCTATGCATTCTTCAGTGAATAAATACAATGTAATACAATGTAGCACAGTGCTTAAGAGTTGATTAATCAGTCTACTGTTCCTTTAGGGAATTACAAGTAAGCTTGTTTGCTTGTTCTTATCTTTATTCCACCAAAGCAGTATGAATTTTAAGCTTCAGTTGAGTTCAATGGAGCTACCCACTGCCTTTTTTAATGTGCCCCCCATTTCAATTGCATGAACTACAAAAGGACCAAAAAAAGCAATTAAACTAATATCTGGATATTTTGTATGTGTACTTTGTGTAACTAGCTAAATTATTGAAGAAAAAGGGTAAAAAAAACAAATTAAATCTAGCATCCACTCCGGTTTGATGGAGTATTCCGTTTTGAGTGTTGTCACAACATAGACCACCACGAACCACTTAAGTGTCCAAATGTGACAATGTTGCTTTCATCTTGGCGTCGGATATCAGTCGCGTGCGAGAGACGTGTCCCCAAGACCTGCCCTTTTCACTCCCCAAACCCCCTGGCAAATCAGCCCCCTCATTTTCACTAGGAATTGATGGGGGTTTGCCCTCCCCCCTGAGGAACAGGCTGTGTCATTCCCAACTGTCTAGAAATATCCCTCTTGTTGGAGGGCCAACATGGTCTGATTCATCAATTGTGTCTGGACAGGTTGGGGACAAGAATCTCCCCCTGTGAGTAATTAAGCTCTATTCTGTAACAATGTCTGGGGTGTCAAGCTGCAGACATGGTTTGTAGGCAGAATCTGGGTCTAATTTCATGGCTGTGCAAGAGGGGTCGGGAGGGGAGGGGGTGGTTCCACCCTCCCTTCTAATCTCAGACATGCAGTAAACAATTGTGATAAAATTGGATACAATTTGAGAGACAAGTATTGCTGAGAGTATATGCAAAGTGTTAGCTTGTAATCCATAATACCCCTAACTCGCTGCCTAGGATGTGTGAATTCCTTTACAAAAGCTTTTTTTGGTATCCCGTGTCGCACTTTTGACATTTTGTGTAAGTGCTATGTCTGTTTAAACACTGTATCCTTTTCTTCCATATCCCAGTGGATGTAAGCCAAGAGGAGCGGACTGTCGATACCACCATCCCTCAGACCAAATACTCCCTGGACTGTCCCACGTTTGGTGAGGCCGGCGAACCCTTTACATTCTCACTACAGGTAAGTAAAAACAAAATGTATCTGTTACGATGAAATTAATACATTAATTTTGGGCTTTTACCCTTCGGTATGGTATACTTAGAGTGCTCTGCACTGTTATAGAAGTTGCTACAAAATGAATCCTGGTTTTATGAAATATGCATTTAACTTGCTCCCTTTGTGTGTTTTTCGCTGCCATTCTTCTTCGGATTTCTAGTAAGTATACAAACACCAGTCGTTCATGTACAGTTGTTGTGGCTTGCAAGCACAGTCGTTTCTGTTTTATTTGTTGTGATTTATGCAAAAGAACCATTTTGCCTGCAGTTTACACCATAAAATGCTTTATGCGCTTTGCAAATTATTGTATTTTTGTTGTGGAACTTGTATTAACATTTTTTGCTCACGATGAATGTGTTGTGATACATTAGATTCAAAATTGGTTTACTATTTTGTAATAGCAGGGCTTTCTATTTTTTTTCAAAGGTAAATATATTTTATCTTTATGTGAATATCTTCATTTTGATTAAAATCAGATGTAATTGAATTTATATATGCCCTGTCTCTCTGTCTTGAAACACACAACCAAAAAGGTAAACCTTGAGTAGTTTTTTTTAGCACCGCATGGTGAAATCATTCTTGTTGGTTCCCATTTGTGTCCCCCCCCCACTCCCTCCAAAAAAAAACAACAACAATCTGTCCTTTTCTCATTTTGTACACTTAACTGCCTCTTTTGAAGCTTTTTCCAAATCTATTTTATCACCGCATGAGCAGTGTAAAAGAAGCATTAAAAATCTGGTGTTAAAACTTGCGGTTGACCACATGTCGTGAAAAGTGTGCCAAAACCAATACAATCCTTTTACAACCTGAATGGTGCGTTTCCTCCCCTGACGTTTGTTAATCTCAAAGGACTTCAGTTGTCCCTCCCCCTGACTGGGCCAAAAGTCTGGGTCCACATCTGCTAGCCTACTCAACTTTCACACCACCTACACTAAAGAAGAAAAATCACCACTGTTACTACTTTTTTTACTTCTGATTGTTTCTATGGACCGGAAAAGGAAAAGATTTTTTTTAGCAACTGAAAGGTTCTGAAACTATCAGTCATTATGTCACCATGCCAATGTAAAGTTATTGCAATTGAATTGGACCCATATGTAGCACCAACTGTTGAGTTCTGCACGTAACCCCCAACCCAAGTGATTTTTTTTCATTTAAGTCCACCCCTAAAAAACTTCCAAGCCTTTTGTACAGAATGGGTAAAGAAATACATAACATTTGGGGTCTCCTTTTATTTGTACGGTGTGTGGAGCAACAGGAGCCATTGAACAAAAAAATGGATGACCTCCGAATACTGAGCTAAAACTAGGAATTCTGCCATCATTTGGTCATTGGATAATATAAACAGTTTGTTTTGTTTTGTGTATATGAACTTTTCATTTGTCTGCCACTGTTTCCACTGGTTGGTCGTTGACTCCCCAAGAAAGTATTTTAGCCACCTGTTTCCTAAATTCCCCACTCCAGTAGAAAACAACTTTTACGATCTCATCATCTCAGTCAATTGTTTTTGAAGGTTTTTTTTTTTTTGCCTCATAAAACTCTTGCAGATTGTGTTTTCCAGATAATTGTATCAACTCCAAACAAACTTAATTTGTCTGGCCAGATGACTGGGGCCAGGATGGCGAATTAATGACCCCTGGGTAACAGAACAATACAAAGAAACCCTGGAAGAGGACTCGTTCAGCTGGCATCTTGCCAATTTGTTTTCTTTCGCTTTGTTTGTTTTAGTGTGAAAGTCTTTATTGTAGTTAACATCTAAATCGCCATGAGGCCCACAGCCAAGCGAAGCCCCTCATTTTTCTCTTTTCAACAAGTTTTGGAAATGCATGGGCCTTATTCACAAGTTGGCCATTTTTGTCGAGTTCCCTGAATGTATTTCATTGATTGTTAACTGTTGAATGGGATGGCGCCATACTATTTATGCAGGCACAATGCAGCCTTATTTTACTGTCTTTTTTTAATATGGCTTTAAACATTAGGGAATGTTTAATTACAAATTTGAAATTATTTATTGAGGCAGACTGGAATTGATTATAAATTAAGTTGCTTCACTTCTCTTCGCAAGTTCAAAAAATTAAGATTTTACCTAACTTTCAATTCAATATGGCCGACTCGTGAATACAAAATGTAAGGCCTATTCTCTCGCAAATGCCTTTTCATCCTAGCAATAGCAGAGTAGTACTTGGCCATCACAATGGGCATCAGTGTTGGCCATATTATGATCCAATAAGTAGCAACAATATATATTTTTTGGCAACTGATCCCATTGAGGAAGGGAGGAACCAAGGCCCAACATAGAATGCGTTCATCCCAAAATATTGAATCTCAATTTTGAGAAAAAGTGAAGCATATCCACATACTTCTTTTAACAACAAACCCTTGTGGAAACTTCCCTTCATCAAATGCAGGGTTGCCGATAATCCTATGAGTACTGGTATGTTCATGTACTTCATGTTCAGTGCATTGAATACAACTAAACTTGTATTTTGATCAGAAGTTTCTTGGAGGATGTCATTGAACCTGGTGTGCGCTGTGAAACTTTCCGCTGCCGTAACCCAACACCAAAAATCTCTGTGGCTAGGCCACAATTGAATAACCAGTGTTGACACGCGTCCCACTGTTTTGTAAATTAGCGGCAGGCTGTGCTTGGCCAGTGGTGTACAAAGTTTGCCAGTAACAATTGAAGAAGTTTTTTTTTCTCTCTCGTCATGGGCTCACTGCTGGGCCTATTTTGCTTCCCTAGTGGGGCGGTGGCGACAGGCTCGTCAACAGGCCCATTGAACTTGCGATTATTGAATTATCTCGGAGCCATTGCATCACAAACCCTTCCTTTATCTTACAATTTCCTGAGACTATTGTTCGTTGTGTGGTAGGTTTGGCGGGCAAAATGAGGAAAATAGAGGGTTGGTTCTTTTTTTTTTCTTTTTCTTTTTATCATAAAGAAAACGAAAGCTGGCTGACCATTGATTGTCTTGGAGCAACATTTGTGGTAGAAAGAAACAACATAAATAAAGGAATGAATTGACCTGGTTTCAATTATGGAGTGAATCAATGTTGGCATTGACGAAAATGATTTTGAATAGAAATTGGGAGCTGGGATATTGAATAGAAAGGGGGTGGAGCAGGGCTATTAAGCCTTAGAAATGACCCCTGATGCGAAAGAACTCTTACTTTTAGCAAAATCTTATCTTGTTCACAGTCTGTAGTAATCTTTCAATATCAAATTGGATAATCATGTTTTTTTTTTCCCTCAAAACTTGTGATGTACATGGTAGTACAATGTATGTCATTGTCAGGCATGCAACTTTTTCTTGGATCAGCTGATATCCTCATTTTTGACTTCACACTTATGCCATTAAAAATTGAAAAAAACAAAACATTGTACAAAGTCTAGTAAAGATTGGAGTTTCCTCTTTTTTGGGTTAATTCCAAGGTCCATGCCTGAGTATGTTCTCTGTGGCAGCCTGACATTTTATGTCATTCTTTTCTTTTGTCAGCCACGCAGCAGTGAGGGAGCGTTGAACGGAAGTTCATTGGCATTACCGCATGCTGCCTGCGTCAGGCGCATTTTTTAATAGTCTCGGGTGCTTAGTCTGCAGTCTGCACAGTGGTGTTGTAAATGTCTGAGTTAAGCCTTCCCAAGAGGGAGATCAGGACTTGCCGCATGGGTTACAAATTTTATCACTGCATGCAAAAGTTCCTGCTGTTGCCGAGAGAGAACTGTGGAAAAGTCACCTACATTGACGGTCGTGGACAGTCAAGTCAAAATCAAACCTGAAGCTATCTAAAATTGCTCAGTTTCATTCTCTGTTAGAACAGATAAATTATTTGAAGGGAAAAAAAGGCAGTCAAGCGAATTCAAGGGAGTGCCCTTGAAGCATACATTTGAACCTTAATTATTCTTAACTCTTTCAGTGCCCGCGAAATTTGAAAAGTTTAACCCTAAAGTGCCCAACTTCAAGCGTTTTTGTTAATTGTTCGAAATTCTGTAAAAAAAAAAAGTAAATAAGTTTTACACACTAAATTTGTTGTTGTTGCTCTCTGGTATATCCTTGATATATTGGAAAGTCAAAAGTAGTCACAAACATAGTGATACACCCTGAAACACTGGCCTGAACACAGGGGAACTCTGCACTTTTTGCAGAAAATACGAGAATTAGTGCTGCGCCCTCTCGCAAGAACTCGAATGAAAAAATAAATACAGGTCGTACATGCATGCAAATGGTACCATTAGAAAGAGCGAGAGCGCCCCCTTTTGATAACATATTTACTCTACCTCATACATGTACGAGGTTTGGCAATTTTAAGTACGAACATTACCTCGTACATGTACGAGGTTGGCGCTTTTGTACTAACAAATATACCTTGTACATGTACGAGTTTGGCACTGAAAGAGTTAACGTGCATTTACAATTCAACTATAGTTGGTAATACCTTTTCTGTTGGTCTTGCAAAACAACAAAATTTCCTTGCTCCAGAGTTTTGCCTTCCGAATCCTATATTCAAACTTCAGATCCAGTGCAGTTCCAAGTTCAAACCTAAAGTTTACCGACCTTTCACTCACATTAAAATGGACAAAAGTCAAAGTTTCGTAATAATTCCATTATTTATCGATTGCGAATACCGGGCGGCAGACAGACCATGCCATATTCCTGTCAACCATTGAAAACTGCATACCTGCCTAATCCATGTGGAATTAGATTCACACGTAGTACCTTTTTATAACTTTTTTGTTTGTTCATTTTGTACGTGATAATATGAGACTTATGAAGAACAATGAAGCCTGGATTACAAAAACACCAAAGTCAGCCAAATTGGGATAAGTGTTGATTGTTATGCATTTTCCGTGGATTGAGAAAGTTTGTATTGAATGTACTCGTGCAGATATTGAACTGAGAAAATACCTTCTAATTTTCTGTAGTGAAGAAGGGATTATCATTTTGAATAATAAAGTATAAATGGATTTTTGTTCCTCTCTGTACTCAACATTTTTTTATACTTAGGCCAAAAAAAAAATAAAAATATTTTTGCTTCCGATTGCATGGTAGGTAGGTACAGAATTTTTTTTTTTGCCACTTTTTTTGTGTACAATCATATGGAGGCGTCTGCGTGTAGTCAATGGTAAAACTTTGAAATTGATGGTTTTGGGTGTTTTTTTCCTCATTTTTCCCATAAAAAAAATTAGGGTAGGGGCTGTCAGAACAGGGTAGGTAGTGAAACTGGAAGCAGTATTATTTTTGGTAACTGCTAATTTTTTAAAAAATAATAAGTGTTTCCCTTTATAAAAACCTAAATTAAAGTCACTCGGCCTGTTCTTTCAGTATGTTTTCTCTTTCCAAGAAGATTCAGACATTTCTTCCCCAAACTTTTTGTTACAAATTGAGAACAAAGCTGTCAGAAAAAAAATTCCAATCTGTTCACGCTTTGTGTGGCCTTCAAGCCTAGTATCCCAGGGGCATATAAAAGGTTTGTGACTCCCCAGTAAAAAAAAAAAATACCTGCTGTTTTTATATTGTTTTTCCAGACAAAGACAGTCTGTGTGGTGCAATGTGGTCTGACTATTTAAACACATATGGTATTCCCATTTCTTCTGGCATTGATGCTAATAATAATGGGACAATACTGGCACCCAGTCTATTTGTTTTAATCCACCAGACCTCCTACCTGGAGGAAAATAATTCCCAAAGGATTAAATGGGATGGGACAAAAATTTCCTTCCCATTTTGAAATTCCTTGGTTTTTTTTGCAGGGCTAATGGAACAGGGATTAAAGTTACTTATTTTGCTGAAAATCTAGAGTATGAAGTAGGACAGTCAAGTTGATTCTGCGACTTAACTTGATGTGAAACCGGGAATGTAACATTGAGAATTATTCTGGTTGAGTTGTGTTGAATTTGTATGCATCTCAGGAGCAGCGTACTAAAAATACCCTCAATTGCACCCGAATTTCAACACATGTTTAACAGCCCTGCCACCACGCACTTAAATTATTTCCCTCAAAAAATTCTGAAGTACTGAACGCACGTGTCATAAGCGCCCACTATATTAGGCATTGCTAGTTTTCGATTATTACAACATTCCTCCTAGGCCAGTGACCTAGTAATCTGTTAAGATTTCTAGCCTAGCTGCTTCAAGACCTGAGTACCGGAGCCTTTTATTACAGCACCAATCAAACGCTGATCCAATCTTAATACAAGCCTGGAATGCAATCTCTATTCCCAAATTTATAACTTCCTGTCCTAATAAAGTTGTATGGGTCTGGATTACGCCTAAAGCTATTTCCCAGATAAGTAATTTTGCAGCTTGTTGAGACTTTTTTTCCTGCCTGTGAAGGGCACTGTACACCATATCTACCCCAAATACACACTGTGACTTTGGCCTACAATATTGGAACGATTAAGAACAAATTTTCTTTCTTAATATATGGGTTACTATTCTCACACTAGTTTAATAGAAAAGTTAATTTTGTCTCTAATACAGATCTGCATTTCCAAAGGAACCCTCTTATAGAATTATTTTTAACCAGAGTCATATATTCCCAAACCCCACTTTAAAAAAAAGGAACATTAGACAAAATTTCAAACAAAAATGCCATCATCTTTAACACATTACTCTCTGTACCACCCCAAACCGCCCTGCTTGTTACTCTCTGTGTTGTCCCAAACCGCCCTGCCTGCTCTGTGCTGCCCCAAACCGCCCTGCCTGTTACTTTCTGTGCTGCCCCAAACCGCCCTGCCTATTACTCCCTGTACGCCCCAAACCACCCTTCTTGTTACTCCCTGTACCGCCCCAAAACGCCCTGCCTGTTACTCCCTGTAATGCCCCAAACCACCCTGCCTGTTTCTCCCTGTACACCCCAAAAAGCCCAAGCACTGTACAGTTTTAAAGATTCAGCAATGAATGAATACACTGTAGTACACTGTAGTACAGGTGTTAGTTGGTTAACTAGTGTGTTATTGTTTTTAACTTGCAGTTATCAGGGGATGGCGATTTGGCCCCAGTCCAAGTCTTGATTGACCACGGTGACAGCGCCCCCAACGTAACCCACACGGCCGTCCCTGGGTTACCTGTCGTCTGGAACCACACCTTCCCCCACCTAGGGGTCTATCCCCTGCACCTATGGTACCACCGCGAGGGAGAAGACGTCTTTGGTGAAACGGTTATGGTTGTGCAGAAAAGGATTGATGGCATTCAGATGATTGGTCCCGAGCTGAGCAAGTTCTTTGGGTAAAATATCATGGTTTTTCCCACATTACTGAAAATCTAGATCACATTCAGGTGTTTTACCTAGTATTCCTTTTTTTCAAAGGCATATAGAATCATTTTCTTTCCATGCATTTTATCCATTTCCAATAACAGCACTGCTCAAAATCCAAAGAAATATTTTCAAAACCTAAACTGTTGAAGTTCCAGCTCAGTAGATTTTACACTTTTCGAGAAAACAGAAACCCATGCACAACTTTTTGATCACAAAACATGATTTTGTCTATATCACTCTTTTATTTCCAAAAATCAGTCGACAGAATCATTACATGGGGTGTTTAGTACCAGTTTGATGTTTAATCCCAGTAAGCCTTTTGATAATAATTTGATAGGTTACTCTAGGGATAAATGCAAATGATCCCATTTGCCTTTATTGCTATGCTTGCAAGAAATGATATGTATATAATATAGACACAGTCTTTTATCCCAAGCCTAATTTTAAGGGTTAATTTTGAAGAACTGTTTGCACTTGTTTACAGACCCGTAACAACACAAACATGGGAAGTTACGCCGACCTCGGGTACGGACATTCTCTATACCTGGACAGTCGTGCCGATCATAACCGACTATTCCCACGGAACCGAGACAAGTGCGGAGGTCAACATGGCGACCGTCATGCTGGCTGGTTCTCACGGAAAGGTAATTATGCTCGATTAATAATTCAAAGCTTCTTCCTAAGTTGTTTTCTGTGGCTGCTACGTTTAAATTTAAATACATTGACCTTGAAGCATTTTGGACAGTCTGACCCAACGTCTCCACAATTTTGTCACAGGTGTCCATGCCGTTCCACGCCCCCGGTTGCTACAACCTCACCCTCCACGCCAGCAACCTCATCTCCTCCGCCACGCACCACTCCCAAACAACCCTCCAGCAGCCCATTGTCCAAGCCACCGTCCTCGTGGACCCGGCACTCATCGGCACGCCGTCCACCTACCAGCTGGTCGTCCGAGGTGGGCCTCCCTTCCACTTCCAAATCGACTTTGGAATGGATGGCGACCTCCTCTCCACCACGTCCGAAGAGTTGGCATCTCTGGGCTACGAGGTCATCGACTACCTCCTAGATCCACCAGCTTGCATCTACACCTTCAACCAGACCTACCCGGGCCTGGGCTGGTACGACAGCTCCTTCCGCGTCAGAAATCTGGTCTCGGAGGAAACGGCGACGGCCACCGCCAAAGTGGAAGAGTGGATTACGGGACTGACTCTCACCTCTCAGAGTGACTCTCTGGTTACCATCGGTCGGTCGGTGGTCCTAGAGGCAAAGGTGGAAACCGGAAATGACGTAGTGTTCACCTGGGACTTTCAGGACCCTCGAAGTGATCCTACCCTTCTATAGTGAGTGTTAAATAACAAGTTTTAATTTTTTTTTTAAATTTCTTGAGTAGTTATTGAAGTCCAGATCTGAAATTGATATGATAATTTTTCATGCTATCCAGCTAAAAACCACAATTACCAGAAACTTATACAGTTCAGAGCACTTTTCAGGTGTGGGAATACATCAGCCATGCTCAGTGAGACTTCTCCAACCTCAGTCAGTCTTATCTGTGATTCACAACGAAATTATGTTACCTCTTTAGCTAGTTGATGCTTCACGCAAATGCAAATGCAAAGATGCATTGGAGTAGAAGTTTGTTCCACTACAACATATTCACAGCACAAAAACGCATCAGAAAACAGCCCTTGCCTTTTGTCAGCAAAGTCTAGAAAAGGCAAGATTGAACTCCTTCAATTTGTACCTTTTATTTCAAAGCTGCTTCAATGCAAGCATAGCCACCCACAGGTTCAGCCAGCCCGGCACCTACCAAGTTTCTGTCAGCGCCGGAAACTCCCTCCAACCCGTTCCCCTGCGAGTCACCTACCAGACCCCTTTCTTAGTCCAGGAGGCCCCCTTTGCCCTGGAGTTGAACCCCCCGGCGGGCCACCCCCAAGGTGCGGCCCTCAACCATCAAGGCGGTCTCTGGGCCACGGAGGTGCTGAGCTTCCGGGCCCAGTGCTGGGGGTCACACCTGGTGTTCTACTTTGACTACGGGGACGGAACCGTGGAGACCGTCGTGGGGATGTTGGATGATTATGGATCCTATCACGCTTCCGGGAGCCACCAATATTTTGCAGGTCTGATTTCAGTTCACTTATTTGTTACTGAGTATGACGACGCTTAGCATTGGATTGTTCATTAATTTGAAAGCTATTGGTTTCAATTATTTTGCACCACAAATATTTATCGACAATGTTAAATGCTCAGTTTTACCAAGTAAAACGAAGCACATTACTTGCCCTTTTTGCATTAAAAAAAATGTTGTGTTTTTGATACGAGTCAATAATCGACTTATTTGTTGATCCAATACAGAGGGTAACTACACAGTCAAGGTCACTGCCGGGAACCAGTTAAGCAACGAGACCCGCCACCTACCCCGGCCGTACTACGTACAGGTTCCCCCGACCAGCCTCCGGTGCGAGAGCCCCTACAGTGCCCATGCCTTTGGCAACGTCTCGCGCCTGACGGTCCGGGTCGAGACCGGAACCCATCTGTTCTACAACTGGTCCATGGGGGACCAGACCGACTACATTGACGTGGGTGAGTATGTTTTATTTTGTCTAGTCCACAGTGTATTTTGTGTTCTATGTAAGGCAGGAGTAAAGACTGATATAAGCTCAGGGTTTCACAGTTATGGAAAATCTGGAATTTTAACATTATCATGGAAAGTCATGAAAAAGTCATAGAATTTTGTTGTTAAACAGGGAGTCATGGAAGTTGATTTCCGAGGAGAAAGTCATGGGAAATGTATAGAATCCTACACAACCTTTACGTGATGATGTGTAATATTTGGCTGTTGCAGTCTTCCAGTTTTCAATCTAGCGTACTGTACTTTTTCTTTATGCTCTATACTTGTTTGTGTGCAGTTCTGATGCTTATGAGGTGGTATGTGGTCGTGTGTAAAAATGCAAGGTTGAATAGGAGTGGTATCCCTTGACTCAGTGTGATGAGCCGGTGTATGGTAAAAAAGTTTCCAAAGAGGCCAAAACAGGATCGGAAGTGGTCATTGAAAGCCCTAATTTTGTCCTGGAAAAGTTAAAGTGATTTCATTGTAAGCTTTCTGTAGGAATCCTATTTCGGCTGAGTTTCAAATGGTCCACTGTTTGAGCCCGGAAAATACTGACGATTTGAGGGTTACTGTTCTTTCCCATTATTGACCATGCAACTAGGCCCATCTGTGAGCCACCTCTACCGCTCCCCGGGAAGCTACACGGTCACCGTCGTCGCCTTCAACAAGGTCCAGAAGGCCCAGGCCACCTGCCGCATCTCGGTTGAGGTCCAGGTCCAAGGCGTCCAGCTCCTGATGGATCAACGGCTGCACCAGACCTACACCCTCATCACCCTAGAGGCCAGGACCGTCACGGACAGCGCACTGTGGTACCACTGGGACATGGGCGACCAGAGGGACGTGCAGATCACCTCGGTCAACACGCTGACCTCCTTGTACACGTTTCATGGCAGGTAGGTAGCCTAAGCAACTCGTATTCTTACATGCAGGAAAAGAACTGGTGGTTAATAAGGTCCAAATCCCTCCAAAAAGGGGGTGGATGGGAGGGAGTGGAGGGGGGAAGGGCGGGGGGGGGGGGGAAGAAGGGAGTAACTGTGTTACACGCATAGTAAATGCTCACACAAAAAAAACAGCACTATGGAGAGTAGTGAAGCGTGTCCGAACCTGCCTGCTTGCCCTGAGCTTAACCACACAAAATAACCATGTAGGGATTTGAAGTGTTATCCATGTTCCCCCCAAAATCACCTCAATGGAATTTGAAGTGTGGGTGCTAAACTTGGAGGGTTGTGAAGTGCTGAAGACTAGGACGTTTAAAGGACAAAAGCTACTATGAATTCAACTGTACTACATTTTATTAAAATCTATTTAATTACCAGATAAATCTATTAAACTGTACTGAGTGCTGGAAATAAAACATGAGTCGGTACAAGGACTGAATGATGGTTATGGGCGATACAGGGACCAATTTCAATCTCTTCCCACTCACCAGGTACTACGTGACCGTCCTGGCCGCCAATCACGTCAGCAACGCCACCTCCCTCCCCGTGGAGCTGACCCTCCAGACCGCCATCCAGCAGGTCAGCATCCACGCCCAGAGCGCGGCCCTGGTCAACCAATCCGTCCACTTCGAGGCCTGGTTCAAGGGCAGTGACACGAACTTCGTCTGGGACTTTGGCGACGGCACAGAGAAAATTTACACCACCGCGGAGAGCGTCTATCACAAGTACAACAGGTGGGACCTTCTGTTCATATTAGTCCTAAAAACCCTCCTGTTGAGTTCCTTATCAGTAAAAGAAAGACAAGTTAATGAAAGGAATGTTTGTTTAAACAATCAACAACACGGAAAGATTACAGAAAAAGAAGAAAATTATGAATGACCATTTTCTGATTCGCCTCAGGACTGGAGAATTTTTCCTGCATCTGGAAGTGTCCAATCTGGTCAGCAATGCTACCGCCGTGTCCAAGATCTTCATCCTGACCAGAATGTGTCATCCTCCCGTGCTGGACATTGTTGGATCTGATCCCAGAACTGTAAGTAGTCAAAACAAGGGGAAAAAAGGGGGTCGTCCGCTTACCTCGGCAGTTTATTGGACCTCATTTCATCCTATTAGGCCTGCAATTTTTCCTCAGTCAGTTGATTTTCACTTCACACTCATGCTTTTTAAAAATGTAAAAAAAAATCCTTGTATAAAGTTTTGTAAAGTTTGGAATTTCCTCATTTTTGGGGAGTTACTTCCCAGTTGCATGCCTGTTTGGTCACAGTACTTGTGATGGATCATAAATCATCACAAGTCAATCCCAGTTTTCTCAGAAGCCATCACTTGTTCATCACAATTTCATCACAAGCCATCTCAATTAAGTCCAAAGTTAATTCACAAGCTGTACAACAGTCACATGTTTCTTGTGACTGGACTTGTGAACTGACTTGTGATTTACCTGTGACCAGACTTCAACCTTACCCCTACTACTCTATCACCCCAGGTGTACAGGACCCACTTGGGAGTGATACTAAACTGTCTCAGAAAAAAACCAACCTAATTAAACTTCTCCTCCCCTACACACCTCACAAACACCCCCTTAAATCACTCATTCCCTTCTCCAACTTCATTTTAAACCAAAAAAAAACAAAAACAGGTCAAGCATTCTGAAGACATCCGCGTGGAAGCAGAGGTGGCAATCGACTGCGACATCACCAACCTGGCCCTGTACTCCTGGTCCATCACATGCTCCCAAAATGGCACGGAGGTGTCACTCCTGCAGGACCGGGCCTCGCTCAACCAGAGAACCCTGTACATCCCGCGATGGGACCTGCCTTACGGATCCTACACGTTCACACTTGACGTAAGTTAAATTCGAACTGTAAATTACTGTTTTATGTAAAGCTTTTTCAAATGTGTTTGTTTGCCAAATTGTGGCCAATCCTTCCTAGGTGAATGTCCAGTGTTTGCAAGCTTTCAAACTGCAAAGATAAAAATGTAGGTTAAGTAAACGTTACTGGATTTTACCATTAAAAAAACCAATATTGCCTCCATTTGTGACAATTTTTCTGTCACTAAGTTTATCTGAAAAACATTCTCACAAGTTATACGTCAATATGGGTCATTCTGTAAATTTGGGGTCCACTTTTTTTTCCTGTCCCTGTTACATCTGACATCTGCATAGCAAACTACTAACCCAACAAGTAAACAATTCTTTGAAGTCAATCGTAATGATACTTGATGGTTAATTACAAAGTACCAACGTAGTAGGGGCAAGAAAAACTCACTTTTTGGACCCTAAATGTATAGAATGGCTCGTATACAAATTATACAATCTTACCCTTTTATTGTTTTTTTTTTAAACAGTGATAGACCCTTTCCCAGAAGCACACATTTCTGTTACACCCTTCACATATATAATATCCAGTTAAAATCCACGCCCTGTCTGCTCCACTGTTTCCGTTGTTTTTCATTTTGAGGCCAAATTCATAGAAATTTGCTTGGCATAGAAAATAATTGCTTTAGCAAAAACAGGTTTACCGGCCAAAATGCACTGCCATTTACGTTGCCCGTAGCTGGTACTCGGCTGATTTTTGCTTAAGAACATGAATTTGCTTACCAAATTTGTTGTTGTCTTACAGGTGGTCATGAACGGGACCATAGTCTACGCCCAAGACAGCATCCAGCTGGATGTTGTAAGGAGCCCCCTGATGAGCATCATAGAGGGGGGCACGAGGCGCTACTTCGGCCCCGACATGGTTGCGACTCTCAACGGCAGCTTTTCTTACGACCCGGATGACCGCAACAGCAACAACGATCTCAGGTAGACCCAATGGGATTTTTGAGACAGCATTTGGAAAGAACGTTATCTGAAAATTAGGACGGTTTTCCCCTTATTTCTGTATGTTGATGACACGTAGAATATTTGAAATTCCAAAAGGAGATTGCAGAAGACTTGAAGAATGCTGAGAAGCAATTATAATGAACAAGTGATGTAAATTCTGAGCAGTCGAGAAAAAGCTAGAAATAACTTTTTAATTATTTAAAGACACTGTCTCTTGACTATAAATACCTCTCATGGTTTATTCCTGAGATTGTGCATTTGAATCATGTTGTTTATCTCATATTCACAAGGCCACTAACTCATTCTCCAAAAATATACCTCCACTTCTGCGCAGCGGAACACAAGTTACCAGACATGGCTTATGTACTGCATAGGCACATGCAAAACAAATTTTTAAAACCTAAAACCGCAGTAAAAGTTAAACACATGGTATTTGAAAATCCACGATACCTTCATTAAAAAAAAATCTTCAACTTCAAATTTCTTGTCTTCCATTCGCCATTAAATAACAATCAAGGTACAACTGGACCTGTCACCCACTGGGCCTAACCACCGCGTCCTGCTTCAACGCGACTGCCCTCTCCGTGGCCAACCAGACCTCTATCCTCCCATCCTCCAATGAGTCCCTGGTCTTCCCGACCTCCTGGCTGCTTCCCAACGACTCCAGGTCTTTCGTCTTCACCCTCCGTGTCAGCAAGGAGGGGCGGGCTGACGCTGAGGTCACGCAAGTCCTGACCCTCGTGCAGGAGGTGGTCGGGGCTGAAGGCAGGCAAATGCAGTAAGTTTTCCCAAACCCTGATGATGCGACAAAACCAACACCAAGATTTTTACATGATTTTGAAGCTTTCAGAATTAAATACACCCGATTCCCTGAAGTATTTTACTTTGGGTTTAATGTCCACATTTACTTAAGTACAAGAATTTTATGTTTTATTCTGGCAGCTCTCTAGCAAAATTTTGCAAAAAAGTGAAAAAAATGCATTTGTGTTTTCTAGTATTGGATTTTAATCAATAAAGTGCAGCCTTGACAGGGAACAGCAAAGGAAAATTACTGTAAATTTAATTTGTCACAAGCCCGTAATTTATAGATTGCAATAGGAAACCTGCCATAGGAAATCTGCCAGTGTTTGCATACCCAGGTATTTATCAGCATTACAGACCTCTTCGTGTTGCTACTTCTCCAAAAACTGCTTTCAAATGATCGCCACAGCTTTCATGCGCTCAAATATTCTCTTGTCGCCAGGGTGTCCATCGATTGCCTGAAGTGCGATGACGGCATCATCAATGCCAATGAGCAGCTCACCCTGGAAGCTGTGTGCCCGGAGTGCGACGAGAACACCACCTACACCTGGGAGCTGTACGTGGTCCTGGATGGCATCACGTCCAGCAGCTTTTATGATTTAACCTCAGGTAGGCGAATGAAGTTCTTTCAATGGATGACTTAAAACAAATCGTGTACCATCAGAAATCAGTCGCAAGTCCAAAAACAGTTCATCCAGTCTTGAGACATCTTTCCATATGTGCCTTTTTTTTTGTTACGCATCTCACGTAAGCATTGTGTGTCTATCAAAATCACTCCTTGGACGATCACAACGGACACACAATGTATACATACATGAAGCACACGTGTGCAACATTAGAAGATTAATTTTTCGTAACCTTGAAAATAACATGCATATGCAATGCACGTAACGGTTATAAAAAACGCACATATGGGAAGGTGGCTTGAAGCGGTAAGCTGTTCATGTGAACTGTAATAAAGACATCCCTTTTTCATTGTGCATGCTTTGTTGCCTGTGACTTCACTTGCGATTTTACTTGTGGCTGATTTGTCATGGATTAGAGACAACTCCCCCAAAAGTAAAACAAGTAATTTGTTTACTTCTGGATTTCAAATATTTAGCTGTGATTGCTTTGTGGTTATTTAAACAACTCAGCAAAAACCTCTCACAAGAACCAAAAAGGCAAGCAAGTGATGCCGCCCACTTCTGGATTCAGATTTTAAAGTGTTTTATTTCTCTCTCTGCCCGAACAGGTCTTCGGTGTGTTCCTGGAGACGGATCCTATGGCCAGTACCTGGTGGCCAATGAGAGTTCCCCGTCGTCGCCATCGTCACCATCATCCAATCCGGAGGAAGACAGCAACATTATCAACCAAGGTGAGTAACCAATCATCACGCAAACTTCTAGCACCTCTGATTCAATCACAAATGGATTTTAATATTAGATTTTCCAAAAACTATAGGAGATATTACCTAGTGAGAATTTTCGGTATGAGTGTTAATAAAGTATAGTGAAGTGCTTGCTCGCTCCATTTAATTTTCTCGTTAAAAGATTTTGTTCAGCTTTTGAGGTGGTGTTATCGCTTTTTTTTTTAAGGTATCCAAACCATTGGAACATCCACTCCTCAAAACGGTGTCAGCAATGCTATCAACACAGGACTGCTTCCATCAGATGGTGTAGAGGAAGGCAGTGCCCCCGACCCGTCTGGAGGGGATTCCGGAGGAACTGCTTCAACGGCCGCAACAGTCACCACCGGTTCTGATCTCGGTTTTGGCAGTCTTACTGAAGAGACGGGATTAAGCTTCATAGAGGAAGTCAGTGCTGATGAAGAAGTACCAGCGACCCAGGAAACCTCAGGGACTCCTGCAGCAATCACAACGCATGCTGTGATTTGGGGGAACTCTTCTGTTGGACCAACAGGTGCTGACCATCTGAATGGAAACAGCTCAGAACCAGCAGGTGGAAGTCTTAACGAAGCCGTCGGTAGCCTTGGAGAAGCTGTCGGTAGTTTTCAGGAAGCTGGCAGCAGTTTTGAAGAGGCTGTTGGAAGTGTAGATGAAACCGGTGGTAGCCTTGAGGAAGCTGGTGGGAGTTTCCAGGAAGCTGTGGGTAGCCTTGCTGAAGCCAGCGACAGCCTTCAGGAGGCTGGTGGGAGTTTCGAGGAAGGAGCTGGCAGCTTTGTGGAAGTTGGAGGTAGTATTGAGGATTCCAATGGAACCCTTGCACCAGTCGAAGGAGGGCTCACAACAGCCAGTGGAAGCCTTGCTGAAGCTGGTGGAAGCCTTGACGAAGCAGGCGGAAGCCTTGATGAAGCAGGCGGAAGCCTTGTTGAAGGTGGTGGAAGCCTTACCGAAGGTGGAGGGAGCCTGGCAGAAGCTGGTGGCAGCTTTGTAGAAGCTGATGGAAGCCTTGCTGAAGGCGGCGGAAGCCTCACAGAAGGTGCTGGAAGCTTTCAGGGGGATATTGGTACTACAGTAGAAACGGAGGGAAGTTTGATGGAAAGCAACGGAAGTCTTGCTGAGGCTGGCGGAAGCCTTGCAGAAGCAGGGGGAAGCTTTGGGACGGGAGGAAGCATACTTGAAACTGGAAGCCTTACAGAAGGGGATGGTAGCCTCACTGAAGCAGGTGGAAGCTTTGACGAAGCAGGAGGAAGCCTTGGGGAAGCTGCTGGGAGCAGTTTAGCAGAAGAACTACCTGGATCTGCTGGCTCCAATAATGGCACAGTAGCTCCCACAGCAGAAGGATCCCAAATGGGAGGTTCTCTAGCAGAAGGTACCAGTGATAACCAACAAGCTAGCATTCCTGGCCAGGATTATCCAGAGGCTGTGGACTCAATTGTTGAGGACACTGTACCTGTCACCGGCCAGGGTAATCAAACTGTCAGCCAACCAGGGGATACAGATGACTTCCCAGATGACGATTACTATGACGGAAATTATCCTGAAGAATACCTAGGTAAGTAAAATATATACCTAAATAAAAACAGATATTTGTTGTAAAATTCTTCTTTTTTTTTTTTTACAAAAATAATTTTGTAACAGTATAAACACTATATAACCATCACAATATTTTTCTGTAACTGTTTGAAATGTCAAGTTTGTCCAAGTCATCACTGACATCTTGTTATTTGCTACATTTCAGCACTATTTTACTTCTAACTTGTAAGTGAAACATTTCATTTTGTCGTCTTTGTATAGGTTACAGTGACCCACCAGAACAGCATCCTCCACGTAAGTTGACTTCCTGCTTTGTTTGCCATTGTCTTAGAAAAATTTACACCTTACTTCACACATTTTGAGATCACCTGGCAGGTGTTAGACCTGTTATGATTGAGAATACCCCTTTAAGAGAATTTTTGAGGACACACCTTGTGAAGTGACTGCATGGAGAGGAAAGCAGATTGTAGAAGATTAGACCACATCTGGTTCTAAGTGGAACCACTCCTGTTTTGAATTAATCACTTCTCTTGACACATCCCCGACCTTTTCCAAATTTCTACTAGTTCTATCATCTAGCGTCATCTGCTAGGACCTTAGGAACTACTAATAACTTCTCCCAACCATTCATATTTCATCGGCTCCCCTCTCTCCTACCAGCACTGCCTGACCCCAACACGGGCGACGACACAAACGGCGGTGATCCAGTGGTCAATCCGGACGTGGAGCCGACCGTCAAGGAGCACATCGTGTCCAAGTCGCTCCAGCAGCGGGTGCTGAGGCCCGAGGACACCACCACGGGACTGGGCAGCCGGGCCCTGACCATCAAGCCGGGGTTGCTGGACGAAAACAGGACCTATGCCCTGGTTGTGTCTACCCATAAGAAAGGTAAGGGCAGGCCCGTCACCAAAGGGGGGCCTGGTAGGGGCGGGCCCCCCTTGGCGAGCATTAGTCTCCCCCCCCCCCCCCCCCCTAGTTGGCACTATGGCCCTTCCTGATGCTCAGAGCTTGCGACGGACCTGGGTAAGGGACAAGGTAGTGGCTGTAGAATATGTAATCACTAAACGATACAGGTTTACTAGGTCCGGGGAGTGGGAAGCACAGTATCTGAACCCCTAGCATCAACTTTCCAGAATTTTCCGTAATTTATCAATTACTCAGTAATGGCCATAGAACACTGACTGAAAGTCAAGTTAACACTTGATCTTCTTCCCAGAGCCTGTTTTTTCCTGGAGTTATTAATTTCACTCGGGTGCTGGATAACTCCTCCCGTTTGCTACTTTCTCTCCACAGAAAATGGTGTCATGAGAATCGGAGAGGCCCAGCAGTATGTCTCAGTCAACAGAGGCCCAAGGGCAGGGCTGTGCTCCATAACGCCTGACGAGGGCAACGAGATGGACACTGTCTTCACTATCAACTGCCTGGGCTGGCAGGACGAAGTAAGAATTGACCGAAGGGTGGCATTTTGGTCACCTTAGAAAAGTCAATTTTGACATTAGGTTTTCCCTGCACTGACACGATTTTCAAAAATGTTGTGTACCCGGTGCTTTTAGAGGGTTTGATAGTCACAAGTCTGCTTAGGTAGGACTTTAACTACAACTCTCACATACTGCTTCAGATTTCTCAACCACTTTACCCTGGCAAACTAAACAATAGAGCCTGCCAGTTATGCTTTGAGAATCATTGTGTATGGATGTCTCCTTTTCTTTTTTGCCATTGAAGTAATTTACTGGTGCCTATGCAAAGCAACGGGATCGTGAATCGTAAGCCACTGACTACGGGACAATCATATTATGCACATGGCTAAATTTGTTACGTGCTTTTGAGTATGATCTAACGCATTGTCAACTGACTGGTTCACTGAGTTAAATAATATTCTTAGCTGAGACTTTCAGTGAAGCTTCACTAGGTGAGCCTTGTTTTGTTTTCATTTTTCATCAAGTATTACCCATTGCTAAGGTTATCAATATGAGGAAATTCACACAAAAAATTTCCAAAATTTCCCAGGATTCTCCGATTCAGTACGAGGTCAGTTACAGCTTGAATGAGACGGAGGATCTGACAATCCTGTACTTAGGCATGAAGCACGCCGTCAAGTTTCAGCTCCCGGCAGGCTATATAGACAACGACCATCTGGGTGAGTTGATGATCTGAAACACCCATAGGCTTCTCTTGCTCTTTTTCGGTCGTCTGCCCTCCGCTCAAAAAAGCTGTTATTTTGGGTTGCTTTTGCTCGCAAACAGATCAACCCTGCAAGTAGACTGGTTCCTACATTATTGAATCTAAAGGGGGGGGGGGCTGAAACCAGCCTGTCCTGTGAGAACAATTAAAACATGTTTATGGTAATTATTCCATAACTGCACTTGGGCTTTATACAGAGTTTTACAGATGTGCAGTCAATAATTTAATTTGCGTTAAACATTTGACGTCCAAACTTTTTGGATAACTCTGGCAAAAATTGAATTGTAATAATTTTAAAAATTCTGTCCGAAATAAAAACCAAATTTAAATTTGAAACAATGATTTCAATGAAAAATAATCTGACTAATTTCTTTTCTTCAAACTTTTAAATCATGATTTTTAACAACCCTGTTTCGAGCATCCATCTCTCTCTTACACTTTGACTACAGAATTTTATAACATAGATGGAATTAAACAATGCAATTCAATGTTGTGTTTAAAGGGCATGCTGTATAGTACCTGTAAATATTTACAATCTAACCGCTCAGTACCTTTCCACAAAATTCAAGTGTACGTCAAAGTGGCTATAGTGGATGGTCAAGGTGGGAAGACATCCGTGTGCTCCATCACCATCCAAGTACTACCCAAGATGTTCAGCTCCGGGGAGAGCGTTGAGGAATTCTTGTAAGTCATGGAAATTTCTTTCTATTTATGTTTGTGAAGTCCTAAAAATCTTTGTATCCCCTAAGCAAGTACTGTCTTCTATGGCCTTGTCCGTTCATCAGTCTTTTCACTGTATCTTTTTTTCTTTGCACATTGTGTTCACCGGGGCCAATGTCATGAAAGGAGGGAAAGTGGCACATGTTTCACTGAGCGCATATTGAAATTGCCTTGAATCAAATGACATTTATTGCGTCTGCCTGGGGCCAATTTCACGGGCTGCTAAGCATAAAAATTTGCTTAGCACAAAAAAGTCTGGCTTATAGAAAGCAGGTTACCAGCCAAAACTCCACGTGATTTTCATGCTAAGCAAACAACAGCTGAATACCAATCACAAGCAATTATGCATCACATGGAGTTTTGGCTGGTAATCTGTTTTTATAAGCAAGACTTTTTTGTGCTAAGGAACTATTTGTGCTTAGCAGTGCCTAAAATTGGCCCCTGGTCTGGAACTGTTTTAGCTTGACACGTACATTCACTGTTCAGCAACACCAAGAAATTTGGAATCTGCTCAGTCCTTGTGCCAATTTTGTGGAACTTAGGCCATGTCTGAATTACTTGGCTTACGGCTTGAAATCAAAACACAAGTATATTGAAAGTGGCTGCAGCCGCTACCATAGACACGTGTGTCATTTCAAGCCAAAGCCAAGTAGATAGGACACGGCCTTAGAAGCATACAAATCGGCTAAGCACAGTAAATATTAGCTTAGCAAAAAACAGTTTATCAGCCAAATTGTTATAGGATTTATATTACTTGTGGTTGGAAGACAGCTTTCACATTTGCCAAACACTATTTTCTGCTTTTCAGCTCAGTGACATTGGACCCGGCGGTCTTTCTAAATGCTCACATTTTACTTTATGGTGCAGTGAAAAATGCTTATTTCCTTGGTTGCAGGATCTTTTAATTTTTTCTCTCGTCACAAAATCTCCCCTAGTTTGCACAAGGGTTCAATTGATAAGTAGTCTGGCCAATCAGAGTTCTTGTTAGATAGCCCTCATGTCAGCATTGTGACAGCCACACCAAGCATGCTTCTGACAATGGCTTTGATTGGACACGTTTTTTTAAAGGCCTAGGCCTTGCACAGATAGTCCCCTTTTTAGCTTGAGGATTCCAACGCAAATCGTTTCCAACTGAATTCACAAACAATTTCAACACAAAGATATATATTTCATAACATGTTTCATAATAAACCAAGGCTTTCTGCCAAAACATACATGTACAAAACATTTTTTAAAGAAAAATATGTGTAATTACAAAAAATTCAAACATGTTTCAAACACTTAAATTGAAGACAAATTTTCATACCATGTTTTGAATGCATAACATTTTCTCGTGTTTTGGCAAAATTGTGGTAAAGTGTGAGGTGAGAACAGTACTGCATTTTTTCTTCTTGTTTTTCTTCAAAACTTGGTTTAGGTTCTGGTATTGTATGTTCTTGGCATTTTTGGATTGTCGATAATCGGTGATTTGTGGAAGTTGGTCGACTTGGCAATACCCTCTTTTGTCTTGGTGGATATCTGGCTTTGGAAACTGTGGATTTGTTGACGGTTGTTGAAAGACTGTTGCTGGATTGAATTATTTCTGGGTATACAGTGTTGTCTGACTGATGTTTACTATCAGTTATTGAACAGGATTTTTTTTTTTAGGTTACTGTGAGCGAGTTGTGTGAGTGAGAGTTGGATGATTGCAGAATTTTGCCACCAAACGGTTTAAAAAAATGTTTGCATTTGAACATGGCCTGGTTGATCAACCAAATAAAACAACAAAAACAAAAACACCAAAATGAATTTCAAACAAACTTCATACTCCTCAATACAATTATGATAAACAAAATGGGACTAAATGTATATTGAATTATTTGAATACATGCTGAAGTTGTCATGTTTTGCTCTTTTAAGAGATATAAACGTAAGAGTACATAAACACAGTATTTCACCAAGTCAACTGAAAAAAAAAAGAAATTTTAAATTTTGATTGCATTTTCACACATACAACCTCTCTAAAAAAAGTATAGAATTTACAAGTTCACCAACAGTGTACATCATGCATTGCTCTGTTAAACCCATTTCTATTTTTAATAAGGTAACTACGATTGAAAAGTACACGCAGGCAAAAATCTAATATGCGACCCTCCAGATCCAGCACATAAACAGTCTGAACTCACACGACCACATTTTTAGATACGCCTATAATACATAGAACATTGCTGAAAACTGGGGGCTCAAATACCTATAACACCCTCAGATTTTGTCTGATTCCCATATTCTATACATCGTTGGAAAGCTTATTCAATGTCCTTTCCAATGAGCGTAAAATCCAAGTTTTCAAAAATATGTCCAAGTGACTGGTCTTATGCTTAAGGGTCTCATGAAAGCTTCACCTAAATGTACATTATGGTGGCTCCTTTCTCCGTCCAGACGGTACTTTTCATCACACTGATAATGCATTTCCAGGACATCTTTTTCGGATTTCGGTATTTCGTTAATATTCACGCACCCTTTCACGCTTTCCTTCACTCCCGCAGTCGCCTCCTCGAGCTTAGACTCTTAAAGAACGACGTCATATCCCGATACAACCCAAGTAGTGGTGGCTGAAGACTTTCTCACTTCCTTCTTCAAAGACAGACCATCATGAAATACCTATTTGAAAAGAAAAAGTACCTGAGAAGATATATCAACATATTTTTGACAGCCCCCCCTAAAAAATTCACTGACATGCAAGTTTTTTTGTGGAGTTTCCATTCCCCCCCTCCCCCGGCCCCTCCCCAAGTAATCACCCCTGAACTGCTGGTTCAAGTGAAAATTTGAAATTTGCATTGCTTTCTGATCTCTGAATTTGCCATTTTTTTATATTCAATGAAAGATGAGGCCTGCTGGACCAGTTGGTTGGCTGTTAATTATGAATTAACCCACCCCCCCCCCCAATTTTGGCACTTTAGCAAAAGTGGTCGATGATAAAAATACTCCTCAAGTTTTTTCATGATGGTCTGGACTTTCATCACTTGAAAAAAAAGTATTATTTTCTTCTATCTTCAAAAGGGGTTAGAGAAAAAAAAAGCTGTACGAAACAAGAAACATAATAAAAACAGTTTCAGTAAAGTTGTTTTTATTATTGAAGAAAAGAACTTCAGGTCAAAAAAAAAAAAAATTAAAAAATAAGAAAAGCTTGAAAATTTTCTCTTATCCCACATGCATTGCAGCTTCATATTTTGTAATTGTTGTATAAAGATTTGTTGAAATTATATGTATATTACTAACTTAAATATGTTTTTATTCCTTCCCATTAATGAGTTTCCTCTTCTGATCTTTCCTGCTTTTTTATGTTACCTTTTACAAAAGTCGTCATTTTTTACAACTACGTTATAATTGTTTGTATATAAGGCAGTTACACACGTATCTTTTGTTTTAACTTCTTGTTCATTGATTAAGATTTTGTTTACAGAGTTTTGGAGGCGAAAGTTTTTTAATCCGATCATTATTTGGAAAGTTTGCTAGTTTTCGGTAAAGAAAATATCAATAATCATGTACACAAATTTTTGAGGAGACGTATAACCACATCTATTTATCTAAGATAAGTAAAGATCGTTTAAGACTAGTTTTCTAGAAAATTTGAAACCATTTTTCAAATGACGGCAAATTTTAGAAGGATTTGATGATCTGATGATGTCGCAACTTGAAAATCGTCGCAAGGAAATTTGACTTTGATCTTAAAATCTTCAAACCATATTCCAAAAATTTGAATTATATTTTAATCATAAGGGCATTTGTAAATAAAAGAACTTTTCTATACCTTGCCATGTAAATTTAAGAACTTAACTTCTGCTTGTCACTTATATAGTCTACCACTTTTTATTGATATATTACAGGGTAAAAAAGAAAGAAAGAAAGCATATCTGAATGACATGATACGTTGTTTATTAAAGTATACTCTCAGTTTTTGAGGCAAAGTCACATATTTTATAGAGTTGATAGAAAACATGATTAAAAGTACTAGGGGAGACATCAAATGAAACAAGTTAATTTTACAGAGATCTGCCTGTCTGCCAAAACAAATCTTTGTTTTGTAGAAAGATGTGTTGAGACAAATTGACCCCCGATACATATAGTATATGTGCACCAGGCCAGCACTAATTTAAAACATTTATTACCGGTGGTCGGTTTTATTGAACACATCAAAATTCTCTATTCTGAAAGAATTTCTAGGTCTCGGATAGTTTCTTCCAATCCCACACAAGATTATTGATAAATTTAAGAAACTGAACTTTTGAGGCTTTTAATACTTTTTATTCTTCAAAAAATATCTTTCCTAATTTTTTTTTTTTTTTACTATCATGTGTTCTGAAGAGATTTTTTTAAAGTGTAAAAACTAACGTCAAAGTTCTGTGAAGCTGATTTGTTGTGTTGGTATGTTGAGTGTGTGGTGAGATTGAAGAGAAAATTACTCTGCCACAAAAAAAAAACAAGTTTTAAAATTCACAAACGATGGCACTTGTTTGTTAGCCCAAAAAAATCCATACTTGAAACACTTCAGCTTTACCGTTCTTTTAATTTCTTTTTTTTCAGAGAGACTTGACAAGTTAACCAGTAGTTGTGTATTTATATCATTTTGTAGTTGTCTTAACTTCCATGGTAACTTTGGTAAAATTGTTGGATGAAATAAATAAAAATGTAGGTACAACCTGACCCTGGCGGACTCCAACCTCCTGACGATGTATGTGCAGCAGGGGGACCAGCACAACCTGAATGGTTTCATCAACATGGTGGCCTGCATTCTGAACCGCCAGCCAGCGCTCGGCCCCGGCAGCTCCGACTACGTAAGGGTGAGACGCAGAGAAAAAAACCCACATCTGTAGGAGAGCAAAACCGAATACTGAAATATATTTAAAAAAAATTATGGATCTCTGCTGTCATTTGTATCTTCAAATGAATGTCTGTGGCTGTGTGTTGAAGGGAGAGAGCTTTTACAACTCTTTGCAGTTTTCAAATTTGTTCAGTCCCTGCATGTCCATCACAAGTCCCTGCAAGTCCATCACAAATCCCTGCAAGTCCATCACAAGTCCCTGCAAGTTCCTGCAAGTCCATCACAAGTCTTCCAGTCCCAATTCAACTCACAAGCTATTCAAATGTGCTTTGACAAAGGCATTCATTTGTTATTGTTCATCCCCTGTTGCTTGTGACTGGACTTGTGAACGGATTTGTGACTGGGCTTGTGACTGGACTTGTGACTGGACTTGTGATGGACTTGTGATGGACTTGTGATGGACTTGTGACTGGACTTGTGATGGACTTGTGACTGACTTGTGATGGACTTGTGATGGACTTGTGACTGGACTTGTGACTGGACTTGTGACTGGAATTGTGATGGACTTGTGACTGACTTGTGATGGACTTGTGATGGACTTGTGACTGGACTTGCGAATTGACTTGTGACTGGACTTGTTATGGACTCGACTATATCCCTGCTATGAATTAATTCCGTTTCTTTTAGAAAAGTACAATTTCCTGGCCAGCCTTCTCTGTCTTACCGGGGGAACCTAGAACTATATACATTTTATGACTTTACCCTCTTTACAACACAAGTCCTTACAAACTTAAACCAGTTTTAAGTTGCAATTTTGTACCTCCACATTTGAAATAATGAAAGCAGGGTTGCAGTTGAGTGTTTTTTTCTTGTCCCCAATTGCAGCTGCAAAAAAAAGTTTAATTCCAAGCAAGACCAAAAATGTCCAGGAATGAGTTAAGATTTTATGCTCCCTCTCCTCCAAATTCCAAATATGCCCAGGTCGTGTGTCTCCCCCTTTTTTTTTTAAAGAAAATTAACTCTTCTGTATGATGTGGTTGGGTTGTGTGCATGAAAACTTTGAAAGCAGGATCACTTTGGAAACTATTCCCTTTCAATTTGTTTTATTTTTTTTACGTTTGATAATTAAAAGGTCACTTTCCAACCAAAAGAAAATATAAAATATATGTTTTGGTCCAGAAATTCACCTCCCTATAAATTCTGTACCAGCCTGCAGCCAGGTTTACCCTTGAATATATACAAGTTCACCGTTTGATAACTCCAGTTTCAAGATGGATTTGAGACAATTTGTTTTTCAAAACTTGACACATCTGTCCCCTTCCTCATGCTCCACAGTTGCTGTCGCTGCGCAGGCAGATCCGGTACGCCCTGGTCTCGGCTGTCCTGGAACTGCCAATGAGAGATCAGTTTGAGGTGCAGCAGAGCAGCATGGCCACCGCAGCCAGCAGCTACGTGCCACTTGAGGTATCCAAGATAGAATGAAAATATACTAAAGAATTCAAGTACAGATTTGATGTGTTTGAGTGGCAGGGTTCCCAGCCATTCTGGGAATCAGCGAAAAACAGTACTTTTCCATTTTTCCAGTCGGGGAAAACTTAGGGAAGGTCGGGAAAACACAAAAAATAAGGGAAAACCAAGTGACCCAGAAGAGAAAGGTTTTGCCCGTTTCACATCTTGCATCATGTGTCCAGGTTGTGTCCATTGATTTACAAGCTGCGGCAGCTTTTTAGACTTTTTGCAGAGTGAATTTTACACACCTCTCCAGACAATAGACCATTATCATGTTGCGGCCATCTTGATTTTGTCCCATTCATATCAACGTAACCAAAGCGAGGCTGGAGGGGAAAATAGTCTGGTTCCTTTTTTGCACAAAACAATTATCATTCAGTACTGTTATTGGATACAGGGAACATGACTGAAATGGTGACAGCATGATGAAGGTCTATAGTAATTGGCTGTGCTACATCACCGCTTGACTTTCCAGCAACCTCATTAAAATGAAAATATTTCTCGGGGAATTTTGGCAATTCAGGAAATAGCAGAGAAAAACTGGGGACATTTTATTTTCATGGAGTACTGGGAACTGTGATTGGGGAGGTCCTCCAATTTGCCCTGCACTCGCTCTGTGGGCAAATTCTCACAATGTGTGTTTTGTCCTTGACATCTCCCAGCTCCAAGTGGATACCGTCATCCTCGCCGCCTACTCCGTCAACTCTAGCATGGCCAGCGCCGTGGCCAGCGCTCGGCTCCTCAGCCAGCTGGATGTGGACATCCTGGTGGCGCTGACCAGTACCACGTCCAGCGTGGTCAGCGCTCTGGCCATGAACCATACTCAGGCCATAGGGGTCGGTCAACGCAAGGTGGCCGTCCGGAGCTCGCTGGGCGCTGTCATGGAGCTGTTACAGGTAGGTGTTGGTTAGTTGTTTTGTCTAGGGTTGGAGCAGGGTGGGGTGGTGTGGGGGGGGGGGGACTACAGTGGGGATGTCTCTGGGTTGGCTATGTCAAAGTTTTTCCTAAAAAACTCTAAGGTGGTGCGGATGGGGGAAGGGGGGATGTGTTCACTTGGGCAAGTCACAGTTTTTCCTAAGGCAACTTTTTAAAAAATCCCTCAAAAAAAAATAAAAATAAAAAGCCACAAAAACAAACAGACGGACAATACAGACAAAACAAAAAGCAACACAATTTTTAGGGAAGGATTCTCGATCTCATAAGCCGATGGCACACTTTGTGGCAATTCAGTTGTAGTGAGGGAATATTGGAAACTTGGTAGTCAAATGTACCAGAAAATATGCATAGCAAAAGAAGGCAAAACGAGATTTCATTAGCTTATATGCCAACTCTCCCTAATGGTGCATTTATTGGGGGATAAACAATGAAGTGATCCTAGTCAAATAGACGTCAAGTTTATTACAGCATCGCACGGGTTAGTTCATCCAAAATCTTGTCCCTGTATTCATTAGTTGTACGAGATGTTCCATTGCCTTATTGGAAAAGATACAGGACAACATTGTATGGGTTAGTGGGAGTAAAAGGCAGGGGAAATTGGTGGATCGGTTATTTTTGTCGTATCCAACAGACGTACCTCCAACTCCAAAAACCGGACGAGGAACCCGTCCTCATCCAGACGAGCTCCGTGGACCTGCTCGGCGCCCGGCAGACCTCACTGGCGACCGTGGACCTGACGGTGGGCACCAATGCCTTCCTCCTACCCAACGGCATGGAGCAGGTGCTTCACGCTCAGAACGGGGGCGGAGTGATCGGGACGTACATGTGCCACGACATGGCCGTGCCCTGCTGGGATGTGGACATGGTCACCTTCAAGGATAACCCTTACCTGTGGGGAGAAGGGGCCTACAAAGTAAGTCCAAAGTTGATTTATAGGTACCCCCTCACCGTCACCTCTGTGGCCAGGGTTCTACTCCCACCAGGCTCAAAAATGGATTAAAATTTTCAGTCCTTGTCTAATTCCATTGGATTTTCCAAATTTTATTCAGTTTTAACAACATTTATTTGCAATTTTTCAAAATTTACCAGTCGAAAACACATACAGTAGAGTGCTTTATTGAATTACAAATAAATTACTTTTTGACACAAAATAAAACAAAGGTACATTAGAGACGTACTCTGTAGCGCTCAACTTTCATTTGTAGGTACTTGTGATCACAGGAATCTCTTCTCAAGAAATATATAACAAACTTTGATATCTAGAAGTAACGGACCTTGTTTTTATTTCTCAAAAAAGGTGACAACGGATGTTTCCTCCCTCACTCTACACTCGTGCACCGGCCAAGAGCTGAAAGTGGAAAATCTGACCGCCGGCAAAGAAGTCGTCTTTGAAGTGGCCCACACTTGCGATTCTCTGGGGGTAAATAGCAGTGCTATTTAGATTTATGTTCATTGCAAAAAACAGTCAACCCTAGCACTGCCATGTGCTGTTTTTAATCATCTTGTGCTAATTAATAGAGAGTCAAAGCTTATCAAATTGGCTGAGAGCACCCCCTTTTGATTAGGAAATGTAATTCCTTGACCTCGCCACAAGTCATCCCTATAAACAGACTCGAGTCAACTGACAAGTTGAAACTGCGAAAAGGGCATTCCTTTTGTCTTTGTTCACTACCTGTTGCTTTGTGACTTGACTTGTGATTGCCTTGAGATTGCCTTGTGATTGCCTTGTGATTGACTTGTGATTGACTTGTGGTTGACTTGGGATTGACTTGTGATGACTTGTGATTGACTTGGGATTGACTTGTGATGACTTGTGATTGACTTGTGATTGACTTGTGATTGACTTGTGATTGACTTGTGATTGACTTGTGGTTGACTTGTGATTGACTTGTGATTGACTTGTGACTGACTTGGGATTGACTTGGGATTGACTTGGGATTGACTTGGGATTGACTTGTGATTGACTTGTGACTGATTTATGATTGACTTGTGATTTGACTTATAAATAACAGGTGAAAGACTTGTGATTGGCTTGAAATTGACCTATGATTGGCTTATGATTGTTGATTTGACTTATGATCGACCTGTGATTTTACTTACAATTGACTTATGATTGATTTGTGATTTGACTTGTGATTGACACACGATTGACTTGCGAGGACTATACCAGTTGAATAAATTCCAACCTCACTAAAACTTACCTGGAATGAAAGTTGTGGTACACATTTTGAGATGAAAATATTTGATCGTTTTATTGTTACATCTGAGTAACATCGAACCAAGTAATAACTGAAGCTTTCCAAACCTACAAAGTCGCTCAAGTTCTTCACTTAAAACTTTAGAGTAGTATTACAGTCAGCAAAAGTAGATTGATTTATAGAGATAAGTTAATTATTAGAAGGAAAAAAAATCTGGTTTTTCTGAATGACAGGATTCTCTGATGTGCAACCTGACCATTGATAAGGCCAACATGAACGTGCATGAGTTCGTCGTCTTGCAGGAGAACATCGGCCAGACGTTTCAGATCATGGCCCGGCTGGCCCCGGAGACCAGACGCACGTTTCCTGTCAAGCTCATCATGAGGTCTGTGGTCAAGCCCCTGTATCTATTCAGATTGGTTCAGGGATGTAGTTGAGTCTATCACCAGTCCTCCAGTCTCAATTGACTCGGTCTGCCCAGTATCTTCAGTTGTGAATTGAGGATTGCGCAAATACGAATGGCTGAGCTGTTAAAAAATCCGGATTTTTTTCTTCAAGAGAGGGTGAAAGTGTTACTTAAACAGACACAGAGACAAAAGTCTGAAAGAGTACAGAACGGGTTTTTGTAATATATTTCAGGAATTTGGGGATTCTTTTTCAAGTAATATGTGAGTACTTTAATAACATCAGCCAAATGGAAGAAGTTGTTAAAGGAAATATATATATACAACATGTGCAAACATCAAAAAACAAAACTACCAAATTATTATGAAATCCTGACTGGACTGTTAGTGAATGACAGTCTAAAGCATCCTGTATAATAATGGCACCCGGTGGGCTGTCATTTTCAAGAAAAGAGGTATTTTTGTATCAATTTCCAACGCTGGTCGACCGACCAGCATTGGAAAAAAATGGCTTTTTTTCAAATACTGCCCCCAATGTACCATATTTAGTTAGTCCGCATTGTGTTTGGAGTATATTTTCATCTCTCGATGAATGTAAAAAAGTTTCAAATTATCGACAAATTTGCTTTTTCTTCTCATTCCTTCCCTTGTGCTTCTCCTTTCGCACGTCTTTTCCTCTCCCTTTTCCTGTGCTTTTCCTTTTTCCTACTTCTTGCCTTTTCCTCTTTTTCCTGTTTTTTTCCCGTACAGGTATGGTGCCCAGCCTACACCCACTGCTTACGACAGTTCCTGGATGTATGAAAACGAAGACGAAGACCTGGTCATATTCCTGCCTCCAAATACTTTCAATGGTAACACATCTCCAGCTTGTAAATGGACTCTTTGCACCCCCAAAATCTTCCTGCCTCTTTATTCCCTGTACCGCCCAAAACCACCAAAGCACTCAAGGGTGTTGTGGATTCATTAAAAAGGGGCCGAACCTGTGTTCACAGGAACAGAGTGCCTATCTGCCTTTCAAAGCAATTGGGCCAGACTCGAGTCCATGTAATGCTGCTGTTGGGGGATCACCACACCTCCTCCACAGCGAGTCTGTTACCTTTCCAGCATTGAATAGTGCCGGTGTGGTATGAAAATCCGACTCCTATGAAAATCGGACCCCTTTTCCCTATTGGTTAATCCGTCACATGTGACAGGTCACTCTCCCATATTGATCTTAAAAATAGCATATTATCGTACTTGGGCATGCGCAATACTACCAATGAGTCCATATTTCATGGAGTCTGATGTTCACGCTACACCGGTACCCATTTAACACCTGGGTTAAGAGGATTCATTAGGGAATAAATACAATGTAATACAATGTAGTACAATGTAATACAATGTAATACAATGTAATACAATGTAGTACAATGTAATAAAAATGTATTACATTGTAGTACAGGTGCTAATTTGAATTGATCCCTTCGCAGCTACTGGTACCTACTACATAGCCCTCATCAATGCCGAGTACGGCGAGAGCAGCTATGGACAGGATGAGGTCAGCCAGCGGCAGTACCTGATCCGACTCTGGTGGGGAGAGTGCCTGTACTGGAACACGGAAAACGGTGAGGATTCCATTTTCTGTAATGGGAAAGGAATCAAAGGCCACGTTCAAATTACTGGTTAAGGCTGGCATTAATACACATGGTCTATGGGAAATGGCTACTGATGTGGCCATTGGCGCATGTGTAAAATGCAAGCTGTAGTAATTTGGACACCTACATTGTAATTATGGCTTGGTTTTAGCATACGTGACCTGCCATAGCATAATGAGGACTACTCCCTCCCCCCCCCCCCAGCTTTGACTTTTTGAGTTATATACACCATGTTTAAGAGCAACTCGTTGGTTATCAATGATACCAATTTTATTTCTGTTGCTCAATTTATTCTAGAGATATGCCTTCAAAAATCATCGATTTCTCCACTTTTGGGGGTAACGTAATTTTTTTTCACAACAAAAATACACAGTGTGAATCTTGGATACCTTGGCTTCTCCAAATTGCAAAAAAAAAAAAAAAAAAAAATATTTTGAATTGATTTTTGACACATATGTACATACGACTTTAGGTGCCATTTTCCCGAAACAAGGTTCTTGGGGGCATTCCTCATTTTGCCACAGTAGGTCACAAGTAGGGAGTTGATTTGGTCCCATCTGGACTTCCCATAACCACCACAGCACTCTGTGTTTTTGTAGACTCGTCAGTGACTAAACACAATGTAGGAGACACATATGTGCTTATCGGTTTAATAAAGAGATCAGCTTTCATAGGAGCCCATATTTCATATGACACTGTCTTTGTTCCTTCAGAAGCCTGGGTGGGAGATGGCTGCTCGGTGATGCACTCCTCCACCTACGAGCTGACCCGCTGTCGGTGCAACCACCTGACCACCTTCGGGGTCACTTTCCTACCCATCTCCATCATCTTGGATATCGTCAGCTTGGCAGTTTTCGACACGTGAGTTGTTCTGTATGCTTTCATCTGTTTTCCAGTAAACCACAAAAAGGAAACTTTCTTTTGAAAATTTGTAGGTAAATGGTCTTATCCTCTGAGTGATCCTCATTTGCTAGTTTCCAGCTTTGCAGCACTGCTAATGTTCATTAGATGGAATTTTGTTTTTTTTGCTAATGTTGCTAGCATCGTGACTTTGGGCCTGATCCCTGGCTACCTGGCATATACAGGTTGATGGCTTCTGTCTAGGCCCCCCCTTTCAACAAAGACTGAGAAAACGGGCAACTGCCAACGTAGGGTAACTTAACCCCAATGCGATCACAGCATAAAACTAATCTTGACACCTACCACCCCTTTCTATGCAAGGGGGAGGGACTGGTATTCTTCTTAAGCGCTCAGGATTATCTGATGAATCCCTGACACTAATCCCCTCTTGATCCTAATCCCCAGGCCCAACACTAATCCCATCACCTACTCCTTCACGGCCGGCATTCTCAGCATCTACATCCTCCTGTACATCTACTGCTACCTGGCTGACAAGCACGATGAACGCAAGCTGGGGCTCATCTACCTAGCGGACAACCAGCCCGCCGACCAGCAATAGTAAGTATAGAAATTCTGTCCAGAAACTCTTAATATTGTACTTTTAACACTGACAAGTTTTATATAAGTAAACTTTTTGCCATATTTAATTTCTGATGAATATCGGATTTTTATAATAAAGTGACGAGCGTTTCGAAGTAAAAGGTGCCGAGAACAGTGTTTACATGACAACAGTGATAAAACTATGTGAAGGTTGGCAGGCCGACAAGTTATCATTTTGCTGTGATTCATATCCATTGATGCCCAAGTCAAACATTTGTTGTGAACAAGTTTGCATCAGTTTGTATTAAAATAGAATCTCCTGTTCTCTCTTGACAGAGTTATGAGAGGGATAAGGAAAACAAATCCATCAATTAGAAATCAGATTCCACAGAACTGTAAACATCAATGGATTTTTGGTTTGAATCTTCCAAAAGTCAACATAACATCACCAGAATTTTGTAAACATTTTGCATCAGTTCACATAGTAACTGGAATCTGCCGTTCTCTCTTGAAAAGTTACGAGATCACGGTTGAGACGGGCATGCGGGCCGGAGCAGGCACCACGGCCAGGGTAAGCATGGTGCTGCACGGGGTGGAAGGCCACTCAGAGACCAAGGAGCTCATCTGCAAGGGCCGACCCATCTTTGAGAAGAACTCCCGGGACAGATTCATTGTTAGGTGAGGGGAAATGCTCGAACTTCATCTGTACTCTGTTGTCTTTGGATGGGTAGGCTTCACTGGGTTTGATTAAGCTTAATTGGGTTGGGCTGGGTCAGGACGATATGGGCTTGGGTGAAGTGGGTTGGGTTGGGCTAGGTTAAGCTGGGCTAGGATAAACTAGGCTGGGTTGTGCAGGGCTGGGGTGGGCTGGGCTGAGCTAAGGTCAAGTTGGCTGGATTTGGCTGTGCTGAAATGGGTTGGTCTGTGACTTGGTGAGCTGGGTTGGACTGGCTTAAGTTGATCTCGGTGGGTTTCATTTGGAGAGCTATGAACTTGGACAGGGAGAGCCGAGTTCGGCTGGGCTGGGCTGGGCTGGCTTTCTCTTAGTAGACTGTGTTTTGCTAGGCTTTGCTAACACCTCCCTGAATCTTAATTCTTACAAACTTTACTCCACAAGTGAACAACTCAGAACAAAATTTGGCATTTGATATTTGCTTCCGTGTTGCCTCACCTTCCACACAAATGATCCCTTTTCTCTGTTACCATACTTAATAAGCCAAATATTCCAAACTGTCATTCTTATTCACCCTCTCCAGTGTTCCCGAGTCCCTGGGCAGCATCCGTCGCGTCCACGTCTGGCACAACAACGCCGGCCACTCCCCTAGCTGGTTCCTGAGCCGCGTGGCCGTCCGCGACCTCATCACCGGCCACAAGTGGTACTTCATCTGCGAGCGCTGGTTTGCCGTGGAGGAAGACGACGGCAAGATTGAGAGGGATCTTGAGGTCCTGGATAAGGGAGTCGGCTTCCAGAAGGTTGGCAACCTGAATTTTTAAAAAAATTTAACCCTAATAAAAAAAAATTGAATTTTGTATAGTTGTATTGCAACCTTATTTTCTGTTCTTGCAGGCTTTTTTCGCCAAGTTGTTCCAGTACTTTGCCGACTACTACCTCTGGAGTTCCATCTTCACCCGCCCGCCATACAGCGTCTTCACCCGGGTCCAGCGCCTGACGTGCTCTCTGTCCATCTCCATGGGATTCCTCTGCATCAACACCATCTGGTACCAGCACCTGGTCAAAGAGGTAGGGAGTGGAAAATTGGACGGAAGGGGTAGGGGCGGGGTAGGGATGGGGTGGGGTATGGTGAGGATGGGGTAGGGGTGAGGTGAAGATGGGGTAGGGGTTGGTGAGGATTGGGGTAGGGGAGGGGTGAGTAGGGGTTAGGGGTAGGGTTTGGGTGGGGGGGTCAGTGTGGGGTTGAGTTGGGGATGGGGTGGGGTGGGGCATGGGAGGTGCTCAGGGTTTCCCATAGACCATTATCATGTTGCGGCCATCTTGATTTTTTTCCCATTCAAATCAGTGTAAACAAAGCGAGGCTGGAAGGACAAAAATAGTCTGGTTCCTTTGTGCACAAAAAACGTTATCATTCAGTACTGTTATTGGATACAGGGAACATGACTGGAATGGTGGCAGCATGATAAAGGTCTATTGAGTTCAAATTTAGGCCAATCCAGGCACGCTATCAATTCTATCATGAAGGCCCCCTTCAGTGGTAAGACCATTGTGCTAGCTATTGTTTCGATCATCTACCACCAGCCAGTTGCTTTGCACAAAAGCATGCGCAATGGTTCTCCATTGAAAGGGGCCTCGTGCATGTACAGCTGTGATCACGTGTCCAGATTCATCTATAGCAGAGTAGCAAGGTGGAGGAATTTGTAAACAAGTAACTTCACGCCTTAGCAGTTTGTACTATCTCCACTATATAAAAGTCCAATTCCAATATGTGTTTGGTTTTAACAGGAAGTTGATCTGGGTCTGATAGACGTGTCGGCAGAAAACATGTTGGTTGGAATCGTGACAGCCATTTTGGCCATCCCCGTCAACTTCCCTGTTATAATGGTCTTCAGGAGAACTAGGGTGAGTAGGAGCATGGAAAATTTACGACAACATTTTGTAGAGGATACAGATTACATTTTGTTATTAAGGGGAAATTGTACATTCAGAGAGATAAAATTTTGGGTCAGTTGTCTTTTTTTAAGTTCAAGTTCAACTTACGGAGTAGGATCCAGAAATCAGATGGACGGGAGGTGGGCTGATTTCTTAAAAAAAGGTTTTATCAAGGTTTTCAGGTAAACAAAGAAGCCAGAAGTATCCGTATGTACCAAGTCTGCTATGAAATTGCGAATTGTTTGACAAATTGGGGGACTAATCAATTAGATCAGGTCAGTGGTTGGGGGGGGGGGGGGTGTTGTGGGTAAGGGGATGGGGGAGAAGAAGGGGGGGGGGGGCTTCAGCGATTCAGCGTCTTCTGGATCTGCTAATGACCGATGCACTATTATTTATTTTCGAGCATTGCTAAAACTGTCTCCACCAGTTTTAATGACAAGAGACTTGAGTTTTTTCTACAGAATCAAACAGTTTTTAAAGCTAATTTGATCCAAATTCACTGTTTTTCTTGTCTTGATCTCATCAGCCACGACGTGATGAAATTGAAGAGGAAAAGAACTTCCGGAGCGTCAAGGCGACAATCGAGCTTCCAGAATCTGGTATGCCACAATCCCACTTCAGGTGTAATCATTGTAGTGTTTTTTCAGGGACTTTACTGGCCTTCCACATAATAGACCATTATCATGTTGCGGCCATTTTGATTTTTTTCCATTCAAATCAACGTAACCAAAGCGAGGCTGAAAGGAAAAATAGTCTGGTTCCTTTTTGCACTCAAAACATTAGCATTCAGTGTTACTAGTTACAGGGAACATGACTGAAATGGTGGCAGCATGATAAAGGTCTATAGCCCAAATCATTAAGCCTCGCCCACTGATGATTTTGACCAATCAAAGCTGTAATTGCCCACCAGCCAATTAAATGTAAAAAACAAAAGTCAGAAGTTTTTGCACTGTCTGGATAATGCAGTGTGGTGTTGCGTAATCGCAAGCTTACTCAGGTGGGTCTCGAACCCACGACCTCCTACCCGAGTAAGCTTGTAATTTTTTGGTATTTTTACCAGCTGCACCAGTGGAGACCATACTGAACCAGGGCAGTCTGGATTCCGGCGTGGGGGAACAGAGCGACGTCACCCTGGATGACCTCCCGGGATGGGTGCAAGAGAAATGGAGACAGAGGCTCAAGGTAGGCACAAAAAAAATGAAATCACAAAATCCTCTTGGGCTGTAAAGGTTTCAGGTGGTAACTTTCCCTCTTAGCTAAAGTTTCTTTTTTTAAAAAGTAATCTGTATATATTTATATTTTATCAAGAATTAAAAACCTCTTGGAAATAATGTTGCAACCTGACGCTACTTCAGCGGTTGTGTACAAAGTCTATGGAGAGTCAAGAAAAATTGGAAATGTTTCTTAGTCCCAAATTCATGTCTTATCATTTTTGCTATGACTGACCTTCATTGAGATGATATATGAAGAAAAAAGCAGCGTCAGGTTGCAACATACTTTCCCACCTCTTTTGACCTGAAAGATTTTGTAAACACAACACATATGAACATTTCCAAATACAGAATTCCTGTAATAGTGCATTACAGAAAAAAAGCCGAAATCTATAAGTAGTCATTTGAAAAATTTTGGATCCCCAGGGCTCATCTAGCCGCAGCGACCAGACCCGCAGCAGCTACGACTCCATCAGCTTCACCAGCAGCAGCAGCCTGGCCTTCGACGACCCGCCAACCTCCTCCAGCCTCAGCAACGCCACCAAGCCCTCTGACAGCGGCGTCAGCTCGCCGGACAGCCGCAGCCTGCTGTCCAGTTACCTTCCCACGGCGGCCGCAGGCTGGCAGGCCGACCACAAGCGCCTGGCCAACCCCAAGATCTGGCTGCCCAACTGGTGCGGCAAGCTGGCCTGGGCCATCTGCGGCTTCATCACCGTCTTCTCGGCGGTGGTCACCATCTATTACGGATACAGGTTGGTGGACACTTTTGGGTTCTGTGCTTGTACCACTTTTGAAGCCGGTGGACTGGGCATACTGCATGCATATATTAGTTCTGCATATAGCAGGAAGTACGCAGACCTTTTATTTATTATAATAATTTTTGTCAATTTCCATCACCTCAGGTTCAGTGATGTGAAGTCGGTGTACTGGATGCAGTCCGTCTACTTCTCCTTCCTGCAGTGCATCTTTGTCACTCAGCCGGCCGTGGTAAGGAAGACTTTTTTTGAATGCATTGCACTCTATAAAGCCATGTATTTTATGGTTATTTGTTGGTGGCTGGGGCTACTCTGACTGATCCATTAAACCCTGCACCATAACGTTTGACCAGTCATGGTGGTTAATGTCCGACAAGCACGCACAACAGTCCGACATTAGGGCACGCGCGTATGACGCGTGTGGCTGGAACGTGCAGTGTTATATTGGAGAGGCGAACATGGTGTTGCCTCACATGCGCAGTGGGCTGTTTCTTCTGGATCGGTCTATTCCAAAGAGAACTGTCATGAGCTTTAAAGACAACAAGACCAATTCTGACATTTATGAACCCTGTTCTGCAGCCAACTTTCTTGTCTTTCCATTCTCAAGTCCTTTTAAAGAGACTAGTAGAAAGAAAAGGAGGACAGTTGGTGACTTTCATTACTTAATAGTCACTGCCATAGCATTCTATGTCTTCTGGGAACCAGACCAAGATGTCTGCTACAGCACAAAAGAAGAAGGATGCACTTCTCCATTTATCGAACTAGAGCTAGCAACAACATGTGTCTAAGGGAAGTGGCTTCAACCGCTTCCATAGGCTCATGTGTAATTGCAAGCCGTAGCCACGTACATAGCCTTATTTTGGCAAACTCTCTCTCCTAGATGCTGATGTTCACCATCCTCAAGTCGGTCCGGCACAGGAACAACATCCACATTTTTGATCACTATGATGACAACATCGACCTGATCGACAAGAAGAGCTTGGAGAGGGCACGCCTCGAAGTCTACGAAACCGACATGAACAAGGTTCGTATCAAACAAAGGCAATCCAGATGTCTGTCTTAAGACAAGATCGCGAACCATTCAAATGAACTGTGATTGTTCATCCCCTGTTTCTTATGACTGGACATGTGTATGGACTTGTGATTTACTTGTGGCTTACTTGTGACTGGACTTGTGATTTACTTGTGATTTACTTGTGATTTACTTGTGACTGGACTTGTGCAGACTTGTGATTTACTTGTGACTGGACTTGTAACTGGACTTGTGATTTTCTTGTGACTGGACTTGTGATTTACTTGTGACTGGACTTGTGCAGACTTGTGACTTACTTGTGACTCGACTTGTAACTGGACTTGTGATTTACTTGTGACTGGACTTGTGATGGATTACATCACTGACTTGACCAGAGTTGGTTGATGGTAGAAGTAAGGGGATGTAACTCCGACTTTTGTTTATGAAAAGTATGTGCATATAGGCCCCATATTCTGGATCTCCAGCCTCAGAGACACAAGCCCAACTTTCAGAAACTTACACCAGCCCCTAAACTTTGACCAAAAAAAAACCCTGGCCAAAATCCAACACCATCTGGATATATTCAGGATTTAAAAGCCAATCAACTGTTTCTTAATATGGGATTTAGTGTACCAATTTTCATTGATTTCATCTGTATGAGCAAAAATAACCTTGACATCTTTTGTAAAGTATCTTGCAGTTGTAAAATTTCCTTGTTATTAATCTCCATTCTTTTGGTCTGAAATAGGCCATAGCGGCAAGGCAGCGATCCCGCTACTTGAGGTTCGCCCGCCCTCCCCAGCCAAAGGAACTTCAGAAAGCCAAGGAGAAGATGCTGAAAGAGAAGAACATGTGGGCCATCCTCAAGTAAGTCACTAAACGGGAATCGAACCTCCCCCTGAACACGTTGCATTATTGTTAGGTCTAGCAAACTTACCGGCTTCCTTCGGAATATTCAGGTGGATATTCGATCCTCCCATTTCAGTGGAAATTATAACACAAGCAGGATACCTAATCTTGATAAAACCACACGAATGTAGCTTAGGAACGGGGTCCTGATTGGGACCGTTTGAGAACCGAGCTGGGCCCACCCAGTAAGCTGCTGCCCGCTCCACACACTGTGGCCGCCCGGTTGGTCAAGCCTGATGCTGGGTTGACCGCTGGAGTGGCTCTCTGGGTCACAACAATAGATGCTATCAACAGATTAGTGGTTATTGTTAAATGATTACTGTGCCCAACTCAGTTGTGGGTGGTTTTGGAAGACTCCTGGCTATCGTCATATTTTATCATCATTCTCTTAATCCCGGCCCGCCTGCTTTAGAGGGGAGCCCCACTCCCTTGCTCAAAGTGGGCACGGCTTGGCCCAGACCGTCTTGGAACCGGGCGGTACTGGACCTCATTCCTTACTGTACAAGGACATGCAGTCCAATTTGTTTGTGTGATCTATCTCTGCAGGGACGTGATAATGTATTCCACGCTGTTTGCCTGCCTCATGTGGATGGCGTACGGCCGGGAGGTGGCCTACCATCTCCCAGTCAACCAGGGCGTCCGACAGACCTACTTACAGTGAGTCTTAATCTTAATTCCCAACTTCTCTTTCCCCATTTGGTCCCTTGTACGTTTTTTAATCCGCCACTTAAAGTAGAATTACTGGTCAAGTGATCAACATTTTTTTGTTCCTTGTAATGTTACAGAACCCCGCATCCCTTTACTGAGGTCTCATCCGTTGATGATCTCTGGTCTTGGATGCATGGGGATCTACTGGACAGACTGTATTGGGATGAGTGGTACAACAAGGACACGGTCGTTGAAGAAAAGGTAAGGGATTTCCTCAGCCTGATGTCAGTCAAACTTAGGGCCCCCCCCCCCATTTTAAAATTTATTTAGACACTGAGTCTGTACTCACCTGTAACAATGATTTATTTTTCATGACTCAGAACTCGATCATGAACGGGGAGAGCATCCTCCTCGGCAAGGCCAGCCTGCGCCAGGTGCGGGTTCGACACCACTCTTGCCCCGTGGCCAGACCGGCCCAGTCGCTGTTCCCCGACTGTAAGGCCAGCTATGGCCCCAGTGCAGAATCCACGGTGCCTTACGGTCCGGAGGATGCCTGGGCCCACTACAGCAAAGGGGAGCTGAGACGCTACTCCAAGTGGGGCTACTTCGGGTCATACGAGGGGGACGGGTACGTGGTCAGCCTCAACAGCAGCAGGTAAGGTGATAGCTACAATCCCGGCCAAAACTCGCTGGGCCCCCACCCTCGGTCCACGGCCAACGTTGTCTCTCATTGCGCGGCTTAAAAACTAACCACTAACATGACGAAGTTTCAACTTGGTGAATGCTGTATAATTATCATATATTGATAACTTAAACCATTTCAAATGTTCTCACTTTCTTCATTCTGTTTTTCAGGGAGGGGACTCGGAACCAGCTGGCGTTTCTACAGAATAATTCCTGGATCGATGATCAGACCAGGGCGGTCATTGTGGAGTTCACTATATACAACGCACCCACAAACCTCTACACGTAAGTCCATGTTTTGTCATTTTCTTAAGCATCTTCTTTTATTGTCATTTTCTTGCATGCTATTGAAGGGATGTTAACTCTAGATATATAATAATGATGACATACCTCATTACTTGTCCTTTGGCACAGGCCTTGGTGCAGGACGTTTGTGATGAAAAAGTATGAATCATGATGCATGCATAGAACAACTTAATATGAACATAACCAAGAAATTTTATGACTATAGATTAAAGGGTGTTGGAATTATTAATTAATTAATTATTCATATGTTGGTTCTTGGTTCTTGGTTGGTTCATCTCCTAAATACTCCGGGTGGGAGTTTATACAGGAGACCAGAAACACCGGGGCAAACCCCTTCTCTTAGCGATAAGTGTCACTGGGTTCTTTTACGTGCATTGGATTATACAACACACGGGACCTACGGCTTTATGTCCCATCCGAAGGACGAAGCAATAATGGTTAAGTGCCTTGCTCAAGGGCACAAGTGTCCACCCGGCGGGCTCGAACCCACGCCACTGTTGCCCCTGAAACACCAGAGCATGATTCCGGTGTTTTTAACCGCTAGGCCATGACACTCCACATATGCACCAATGGTAATTCTGCTATGTGTACCCAAGGGCGGATCCAGAACACAATTTTTTGGGGGGCCAAAAAAATTTTTGGTCCCCCAAAAAAGTGGGTCGAAAAAATTACGGCGTGGGGTTCAGGGCCCGCTTAAGGGCCCCGAAAATTTGTTGGATTCTAGATGCCCTGTGGTGCGATCTGAGGCAATTTCTGACCACTTTAACCAATGTTTTTTTGAGGAAAAGATGGTGGTGTACTCATTGCCTGCCTTTATTGCGATGTCACATTAAAAAAAAAAAAAAATTGGTTTCGTTTTTTTTTGGGGGGGGGGGGGCCATGGCCCCCTTTGGCCCCCCCTGGATCCGCCCTTGTGTGTACCCTACATGTACATACGGGAAAAAAAAAATCATTTTTCACACTGTGCAGCGTCAAAAATCTTTTGCTGTGCAGTAACCCATGGTCGGAATTTTATGTTTTGGTATTAAAGATGCGCAAGACTTCAGGCTTAAAGTCAGAAAAGCTCGGGTCGGGAAAACATTTTTTTGTAAGGGTATCGCAGAAAAAGTTGGGGGTTCACCCCCCCCCCCCTTTCCCCGGTCCTTTTTCGGCTAAAGCCCAGCATGCTGAATAGTGTCTATTGAGGCAAAAAAAAGAACAATAAGTATTGTAACTATTCGAAAAATAGTATTTACATAAAATGTGCATTCAGCAACATGTTGGGATGATCCATCTGGTATGGTGGGTGTGTATTGTAAAAACTGAGAATAAAAAACTTACAAAACATTTCATTCCTCAAATCCAATTAAAAAATCCATTTCATTGTAAATTTTGGGGGAAAAAGTCAAACAATGAATTTCCTTGTTTTTCAATTTCAGAGGCTACAAATATGTTAAGCAAATGATTGAACAAATTGATATTGTCTTGGTTAGTAGTAATTTGAAGTTGTATCAATTTGTATCAAATGTAGCATTAAGGGCTTGTGTAAAAAAAAATCCTTCTTCAGAAGTTAAGTGAATTTTAGGTTATGATCAGTACTTTAGACGCTGTTCGTACATCTTGGAGTAGTAAGGCATGCTGAGGTTGATACAGCGCTGCAGATCTGCTGAGAGGGACGCAACGTCTGAAACTTTACTTACAGTCTCTGGTTTCAGGAAGCACGTGCTTTCCCGGAAGTTGTGGAAAAAGGCCATGTTTTCTATGATGTGCTTGAGCCGCGAATCGACAAGCCAGTCCTTGACACACTCTGTGCCTTGCTGCCACGACAGAAGAGAATCGGTGTAGGGTATCCCCAGATGCTCGCAAAGAGACAATAGTACCTGAGCTGGGTTGCAGACAAGGTCATCTGAATCCACAACGATGGGGTCCGGGTCCAAGTTGCCGTCTTTGACAAACTGCCACAAGTCAAAGATCTCCTTGTAGGTTAGACCGGGAGGCACAAGCAGAGGGGGTAGCTGATCCAATTCGAAATCCTCCAGTTCCACTTTCACGCCCCTCTCTAGCTCAAGGAAATCTCGATCGAGCTTCTTCCAGGACGGGAACATCTTGGTCGGGTGCCTGATCAAGAACACGTGTCGGTATCCCCTTGGGATGTCCTTGTACCTGCCACGGAGCCAGGGAGCTATCTCCTTCGCCACAATCACCGCCTTGCCCGGGTAGTCGGCTTCCAGTTGCCGCCTTGCCCAGTCGTAGCTGCAGATTGAACCTGGGAACCCTGACCCAGGACCTTTGATAAGCCCATCCCCGCCCACCTTGACAGCTGTACTAACTGGTTCCTCGATGAGGATATTTGTATTGGGGTCAAATCTCTCGGGCCCATTGTAGAAGGCAGTGGTGTAAATCTCAAAGATCACCTGGGAATCCGGAAGGTTGCTTAAGCTCTTCAAGAGAGCAGAGGAGCAAGTCCTAAGAGTGGCCCACACCATGACTCTAACAGGATTGTCCACATCTGACATTGCACGGCAACACAGGAGCTGAAAAGGAAATTATTATTATTATTATTGTTTATTTTTGGTAATGAAATCAAGGAATCCTCAAAAATGCCCAAGGCATCATGTAGGTTGTAAGCCTGAAGAAACTTGTGGAGAGTAGACAATGAGAAGAAATTACAGTGTTAAATGTGGGAGGAAAATACCCAGAAGAATATTCTAGGGAAAACCCACAGAATAAAATAAACCTGAAATCCCTATTCTCATGTAGACAAGGGCAGGAATCAAACCGTTGGACGCTAGCACTATTCTGTGCTAAGAGTGCTACAAGCAGAACAACTATGTGCTAACCTAGTAAGCACAGATTCTGTAGTTATACGCATAAAAGTAACAATGTACAAATAAGAATAAGTATTAAAAAAATTCTCAAACACAAAATTCATACCTCTAGGCCCCTTTTGTAGAATATCATATGCAGTCGCATTAAAGTTGAATTGAAAGAGTCACATGAAAATTAGGCCAAGTAAAAAAAAAACCTTTTTGATCAACCCTAATGTCCTCTATTCATGTGACCCAAATAGTTGGCCTTATCCACTTCATGCTTAAACCCTTCTATCTAGAAAAAGAGTATTTCCTTTATAAAGAAACAGAAGTGCTAGCTACATAAGTGAACACTGCAATTTTCTAACGTACTCACCGACCAAAAATCTGCCACAATTTCTGTCAGAATTCACTCAACTGGAAGCAAACTCTGTGTACATTGTATGTACAGTTCGAGCAAACTAAGTCTTTTGAGCGCCAACAAAATAATCTTTTCTACAGCTTTTCACAGGTCATATCTTACACAATAGTAGCAAGCCCTGCTGGATTAAGTGATAACCTTGTAAGGCTCAGTTGGCTGTTGGTAGGTTCCATTATTTTGTAAACATTTGGTGGGGGTGGTGAAGGCCACATTCTATACTATTTTCATAAAAATACCTGTACCTAGGAAGGGATCCCCCTGAAAGACTTCAGTAATGGTATGTTCTTGTCAGGTTAAGTACAAGGGCAGTCTTGGGATCAAATGGTACCAATCGAACAGGGTTATCAGTTGAGATTCTGTGGGAGGGTTTACAAAGTAAATGGGTTAAAATATTCCAATAAGCTCTCTTCATTCTTTTTTTTTTAACTGGGATAGTGAATAAAGAATTAAAAAAACTGCTTCAGGATTTAAAGCCAACTATTTTATTTGTCAAGAGGAAAACGAACCAAACAACATAACTTTCCTGTATGAAACATTCTCATGAACAAAAAATTGAGCAAATCTGTAATGTAATCCTGTGATAATAAAACATCAATAACATTGTATGGGGTCGAGATCCGGAAACAGTATCGAACTATTTAATTTTTTTTTACTGACCTCATAAAACTTGTGGAGTCGCATTTCATGGTCAATGGGGTGACTTGAACCAGTACCTTTTTTTATTTGGCCTTACATGTATGACCTTGGACCTCTTCTCAGTTCTATATTTAGCGTGGACTCCACTGTACCCATATAGTCCAACAATTTGCATACAGAATGAAGTGTAAGGCCTAACACAATATGCGTAAATTCATTCCTTAGGTTTTGCCTGCCAAAGTGAAACCAGCAGAGAGCACTTAATTAATTTTCTTCAACACAGGATGTTTTCAAAATTTTGCAGTCTTCTTCTTTAGTTCCTGTGTCCATTGGAAAATGATTCGGAAATGTTTGCGTGAGTGGAATGCCATCCAAATACTTCTGCTGTGTTTGTTTTGAGTTGTACATGTCTTTAATGCCCAGTACCGTTAAATAAAATACAAACAATGAATGTTTATGAGTTAAAATTAATGTTAAAAATAAGGGAATATTCCATTGCTTTCATCGCAAAGTACGAGAGTCAGACTGGAGTTAATTTTATTACATTATCAGTCTCGAAATGCAAGTTTATCAATTGTATCAAATGTAGCATTATAAGGCTTCCTCAGAAGTTAAGATAATGTTAGGTTATGATCAGTACTTGAAACGCTGTTCGTACATCGTGGAGTAGTAAGGCATGCTGGAGTGGATACAGCGTTGCAGATCTGCGGAGAAGGACGCAACATCTGGAACTTTACTTACAGTTGCTGGTTTCATGAAGCATGTGCTTTCCCGGAAGTTGTGGAAAATGGCCATGTTTTCTATGATGTATTTGAGCCGAGAATCGACAAGCCAGTCCTCGACACACTCTGTGCCTTGCTGCCATGACAGAAGGGAGTCGGTGTAGGGTATCCCCAGATGCTTGCAAAGAGACGATAGTACCTGCGCGGGGTTGCAGACGAGGTCATCTGAATCCACAACAATAGGGTCCGGGTCCAAGTTGCCGTCTTTGACAAACTGCCACAAGTCAAAGATCTCCTTGTAGTCCAGACCAGGAGACACGAACTTTGGGGGCAACTGATCCAGCTCGAAATCCTCCATACCCACTTTGACACCCCTCTCTTCCTCTAGAAACTCCCGGTTCAGCTTCTTCCAGGACGGGAACATCTTGGTCGGGTGCCTGATCAAGAACACGTGTCGGTATCCCCTCGGGATGTCTTTGTACCTGCCACAGAGCCAGGGAGCTATCTCCTTCGCCACAATCACCGTCTTGCCCGGGTAGTCAGCTTCCAGTTGTCGCCTTGCCCAGTCGTAGCTGCAGATTGAACCTGGGAACCCTGACCCAGGACCTTTGATCAGGCCATCCTCGCCCACCTTGATGGCAGCGTTGACTGGCTCCTCGACGAGGACATTTGTGTCAAATCTCTCGGGCCCATCGTAGTAGGCTGTGGAGTAAATCTCAAAGATCACCTGGGAGTCAGGAAGGTTGCTTAAACTCTTCATGAGCACAGAAGAACAGGTCCTGTGAGTGGCCCACACCATGACCCTAACTGGGTTGTCCATATCTGACATTGCACGGCAACACAGGAGCTGAAAAGTAAATTATTGTTATTATTATTTATTTTCTGGTAATGAAACCAAAGATTCTTAGATAAAATATTGCTAGGCACTATAGCTCACAAGCCTGGAGTGACCTGTAGAGTGAAGACAAATGAGAAGAAATTACAGTTTTAGAGGCAGGAGGAAAACACACAGAAGAATATTCTGGGAAAAAAACCAGAATCAAATAAAAACTGAAATTCCAATCCTCATGTGGACCAGGGCAGGAATCGAACCTGGACCCTAGCAGTTGAAGGCGAGGAGAGAAACCACTGTGCCAACCTGAACCCTCCCCCGGTCCGATAAGCATTGACAACCTAACAACTCAAGGCAAGCGCAGAAGATCTGGTCCCAGACAAGGGCGGATCCAGAACACAATTTTTTAGGGGGCCCAAAAAAATTTTGGTCCCCCAAAAACTGGGTCAAAAAAATAACGGCGTGGGGTTCGGGGCCTGCTTAAGGGCCCCGAAATTTTTTGGGATTCTAGATGCTCTGTGGTGCGATCTGAGGCAATTTCTGACCACTTTAACCAATGTGTTTTTGAGGAAAAGATGGTGGTGTACTCATTGCCTGCCTTTATTTCGATGTCACATAAAAAAAAAAAAAATTGGTTTCGTTTTGGGGGGGGGCCCCTTTGGCCCCCCCCCCCCTGGATCTGCCCTTGGTCCCAGACTGCACAAAATCCTTCTCAATTGAAAAAATCCTTCTTTTTTTAAAAAAAGTTCTGGGCCAAAAGTGAGCATGGTGAGACTGAAGCAAGTCTCATTCTTGAAAGAAAGTCAGTCAGCCGGGGAGTCGGGGAATCTGTGGTTACGGATATACACATAAAAATAACAGTACACAAATAAAAATAAATTTTAAAAATTTCCCCAAACATCAGAACTTCACAGCTCTATAGTACAATGTCATATGCAGCTGTATTAAAGTTGAACTGAAAGAGTTCTCATGGAGTACCAAAGTGTGACGTCATTTAGAACCAGAAAGTGTAGTGCTAACGAATGGAGTACGCGCGCATGCTGGTTCACGGGCTGAATCACACTCTAATGTCTTTCACACACATTTTGTACGCGTGACGTATTCACTTCGGTTCTCCATAGAATTAGTCCAAATTAAAAAAAAAAAAACCTTGTACCAACCCCAGCTTGCCCTATTCATGGGACCCGAACTGAAGGTATTTTTGTCCATATCTGCTAAGATCATGCTTAAACACTTAAAAACTGAATGTTTCCATTATAGATCAGCTATCCACATAAGTGTACCTGCAAATTTCTACCATACTCACCGATCTAAAAATCTGCCGTCCAACAAAACAAGAATATCGATCACAGTTAAACTGGAAGCAAACTGTGTGTAGGTGCAGTACAGCAGAAGAATGTCGAAACTGCAAACAAATCAACTTTTCTACCACTTTTTCAAAGGTCATGTGGGACAAAGCGTGGCAGGATCAGGCGCGAATTGAACCTTGTGGGGCTTAGTTAGTTTTTGGGATGTTCCATTATTTTGCAAACATTTGGGGGGGGGGGAGGGTGGCAGTGGTGAAGGCCACATTATACACTATTTTCGAGAAAATAATTGTACCTTGGAATTGATCCCCCTGAAAGACTTCAGTAATGGTACGTTCATAGAAGTCATGGACGTTATCAGGTCAGGTTGGGTACAAGGCCAGGGTAGTCATGGGATCAAATGGTACCGGTCAGACAGGGTTTTAAGTATATAAAAGTTCAGTCGAGATTTTGTGGCAGCTAGGTTTTGAAATTGTGGCTTTAAAATATTCAAATAAGGCCCCCCCAAAAAAGTCTCCGGTTTCTGGTATGGAGCTTGCCCAAACAGTGGTGCGGCGACGCGGCTTTTTTTTTTTTTACCTGATATTTTGGCTTCAAATGTCGGCTGATGACTGCAAATAGTGCCCGACTAAACTTAGTGCAAATATATGGGAATTCCAGAGAGACCACATAAAGCTTATTCTCGACCATAACCCCATCTAAAAACACGTTAAAATTGTGCAGCAGCAGGATTCCAGTCAAACCAGTGAGTTTGGCGGTTTTGAGACATCATCTTTCATTGAAAAAAAAACTTTTTCATTTTGCTGACGCGCATGGCTACGGCGACGCGCGCGCATACCAGAAACCGGAGACTTTTTTGGGGGGGCCTAAGATGTCTTTTTTTTTGTACTGGGAAAGTGAATAGAGATTTTAAAAAAAAACTGTTTCAGGTTGTAAAGCCAATTTTTTTTTTATTTGTTCATAGGATCAAACAAAACAAAAACAGAACAACTTTCCTGTGTGAACTTGTAGTTCGCAATCAACAAAAATTAAGCAAATTTGCAATGTAATCCTGTGATAATAAAGCATCGATACAATTGTAAATTGTATCTGTAACTTAGTTTTTTCCTCACCTCATAAAATTTGTGGAGTTGCATTTCATGGGAGCATAGGGTTAGGTGACATGAACCAAAGTTTGTTTTAATTTGGCCTTACTTGGACTTCTGCTAGTTCTATATAATTTAGTGTGGACTCCACTGTACCTTAGAGAAAGGATTCTATTCTGACTTGTACTGAGATAGTCCAAAAGGGTGATGTGTACGGTATACAAGCAGAAACAGACACGCTGGTCACTTGAGAATATAAATCCTAGGGGTCTGTGTCAATATGATTGTGAAATGTTTCATGTCACACAAAAAATAACCGACCATTTTGGGGGCTTGAAGGTTGTAGTAAAAGCAGGTCGGAATATGTTCATGTACAGTTCAGTGGACAGCAGAGCGAATTATGAAGTTAGAAAAAAAACGACTGTGAAAATTTAGGTTCGTATGGTATTTGCATACGGAATAAAGTGTAAATCCTGACACAAAGGACATAAATTAATTTTTAAGCTTTTCCTGCTTAAGTGATTGTGAAACCACAGCAGAGAGCATGCACTTTATTATTTTTTGTTCAACCCAGGATGTTTTCCAAATTGGGCAGTCTTCTTCTTTAGTTTCTGTATCCATTGGGAAATGATTTGCAAATGTTTGCGTGAGTGGAATGCCATTTAAATATTTGTTCTGTGTTTGTTTTGAATTGTACGTGTTTTTAATACCCAGTACGAATGACATAAAATACAAACAATGAATGTTTATAAGTGCAATGGTAAAAATAATGGAATGTTCCATCACTTTCATTGCACTGTACGAGAGTCCAAGTGAAGTTAATTTTATAACATCAGTCTCGAAAATACAGAATACAAAATACAGAATAATAAATGGACGTATTATTGAAGCTTAACTTATATTATTCTCAAATACGATTGCAAGTAAACTTTTGAGGAGAAAACAATAAAATTGTTCATAAATGGGTTATGAAAAAAATCCCTCCTCAGAAGTTTAAATAATTGGAGGTTATGATCAGTACTTTAGACGCTGTTCGTACATCGTGGCGTAGTAAGGCATGCTGAAGTTGATACATCGCTGCAGATCTGGGGAGAGGGATGCAACATTTGAAACTTTACCTACAGTCTCTGGTTTCAGGAAGCACGTGCTTTCTCGAAAGTTTTGGAAATGGGCCATGGTTTCTAGGACCTGTTTGACAAGTGAGCCGGCAAGCCAGTCCTTGACACACTCTGTGCCTTGCTGCCATGACAGAAGGGAGTCGGTGTAGGGTATCCCCAGATGCTCGCAAAGAGACGATAGTACCCGAGCTGGGTTGCAGACAAGGTCATCCGAATCCACGATAACAGGGTCTGGGTCCAAGTTGCTGTCTCGGACATACTGCCACAAGTCAAAGATCTCCTTGTAGGTTAGACCTGGAGGCAGGACATCAGGGGTCAGCTGATCCAGATCGAAATCCTCCATGTCCACTTTGACACCCCTCTGTAGCTCTAGAAACTCCCGGTTGAGCTTCTTCCAGGACGGGAACATCTCGGTCGGGTGCCTGATCAAGAACACGTGTCGGTATCCCCTCGGGATGTCCTTGTACCTGCCACGGAGCCAGGGAGCTAACTCCTTTGCCACAATCACCGCCTTTCCCGGGTAGTCAGCTTCCAGTTGTCGTCTTGCCCAGTCGTAGCTGCAAAGTGAACTTGGGAACCCTGACCTGTGACCTTTGAATAGCCCATCCTCGCTCGCCTCCTCACCTGCGCTCACTTGTTCCTCAAAGCGGACATCAACTCTCTCTGGCCCATTGTAGTAGGCCGTGGTGTAGATCTCGAAGATCGCCTGGGAGTCCGGAAGGTTACTTAAGCTCTTCAAAAGAATAGAGGAGCGGGTCCTGGGAGTGGCCCACACAATCACCCTGACAGGATTTTCCATATCAGACATTGCACTGGCAACACAGGCGCTGAAAAGTACATGATTAATACCATTATTATAAGTCAGCTGAAATAGCTCTGGTTTTCCTTAAAAAATTTGTTTCCTTTTTCAGACTTTTCTCCATAGGGTTTATACACGTTGTTTTTTCTACCCATATTTTCTAAGAATTTTGAAATGTGTATGCTGCATTGGTGAAATATGGACTTAAGGTTGAAAAATTTAAAAAGCTATAAAAAATCACACGATGATGTCATCATGACTTCACCTCAAGTTTTACGTATCACACAACCTTGTATATCTACATACCTATACAACCCAATCAGACATATATGGTAGTTCCCTAAATATATGGTCTTAAAGTAAGCACCTTTATAAAGTGACGCCTCATGACCCATGATGATGTCATCATGATGTCACTCTTCGGTACACAAGTTCACCATAGGGTCTTTACAATTTGACTGTTGTAGTTCAAAAGTGTCTTTCTCAAAACACATATACAAAGCGTATGGGATTTGGGATACAAAAAAAGGGGGAAGTAACAAAAAAATAGAACAAAAACAAAGGTTGTTCCTCAACTGTGGAAAAGCCAAAATATATACATGTATGGTATATCAGAAAAAAACAATGCTTTTCTGTAAGTTTGCAGAAAAGCCCTCCCCCCCAAAAAAAACCAATTTCTTAACACAGGTTTAGAAACAAAAGGCTTTTCCGCATTGATGGGGAGCAGCCAAAACATAAGAATAAAACAAAAAGCAACAAGAATTTCCCGAAAATCCATACCTCTTTAATGGAATATCATGTATGCAGTAGTATTAAAGTTGAATTAAAAGAGTTATGTGAAAATTAGGCCAAATAAAAAAAACCTTCCAACCACCGATGGGTTCCTCTTTTCATATGTGTATCGAACCCAAGGTAATTTTGTAGTTGGCCTTATATGCAAAGGTCATGCTTAGAACCTTCTTATACAACAATTTACAAACTATATTTGCATTAAGAAGGAACAGATGTGCTTGCTAGCCACATATGTACCTGCTTTTTTCTACTGTACTCACCGTTCTAAAAAATCTGCCGTAAAAAATAGTATGGTCACAGCTCTTTCAAACTCGCTTAACTGGAAGCATATTATGCGTACGTGCAAATAGTGTGTGTGTTTGAGTGCTAACAAAAACTATTCACTTCAACATTTGCAAGGTCATATTTTAAATAATGTAACAAAGCCCTGCTGTCAGTGAGGCTCAGTGGGCCAAGGACGAATCCCCCCCCCCCCCCAACAAAAAAATCCATTTTGTCTCAACATAAAGGCAGGCAATGTGAACACTTCCATCTTTTCCTCCAAAAAAATTGGGTAAACGTGGTCAGAAACTTGCCTCAGATCGCACCACAGAGCATCTTAAATTCAAAAAAAAAATTCGGGACCCTTAAACGTAAGGGCCCCGAACCCCACGCCAACATTTGTTTGGACCCACTTTTTGGGGGACCAAAATCACTCCATAAAATTTGTCACGCTTTGTTTACGTAATCTGAAATTTTGGTTTAATTCCATTGGAAAACATAAGAGTTGCTTAGGCTCAAAAGTAGGACATGTTCTTGGAAGTTGAGCATCTTTCTGAGGTCACGTTTTGTACAAGGGTAGAGAACTCTTTAAATATTGATTTTGGCATCAAATGCTACAGGTTTTTAAGTATAAACGTCAGTTGAGATTATGTGGGAAGTTTTATAATGTAAATGGTTTAAAATATTCAAAAAAGATCTCTTTTTTAAACTGGGAAATTGAATGAGAAATATGAAACTGCTTCAGAAAGTAAAGCCAGCTTTTTGATTTGTCTAGATAAAAGATTAGCTTTCATGTATGAAATTTAATTCCCTTGAAAAAGATTGAGCAAATCTGAAATATCCTGTGATAATCCTCAGATAATAAAACATTGAGAAAATGGTATGGGGTCAATGATTCTGACTTTATTACGATCAGGGAAATGGTATCGTACAATTGAACTTATTTTTTTCCTCGCCTAATAAACATTGTGGAATCACATTAGACAAATTGACATTCCTCAATTCATATGAAATAACAAGTGGTCTGCATGTGTACTCAGCACTGCTGCACTTAATACTGACTGCAGTTTTCAAACTTCTGTAAATTGCAAATATATTTGACCTCATTTGACCTTTGACCTAAAATATATTCCACATGATCTTTGGTACTCAGTGACCCTCAGTGACTCAAGTTTCATGGAAGTTTGGTGAATACTTTGGCAGTGAGAGTAATTTGGAAAACCTTAACACAAGCTTTAACATATGGTCGTACAGACATACGGACGTACAGAATTGGGACCGGTAAGTGTCTCAAAAACTGTGTTTGGGCAACACAAAAACCGCTTTCATTGAAAGTCGTGGAAAAATCAAACCATTTTTGTACTTTGGATTTGGAAGTTTGGATTTCAGAGGCTATAACTATGTTAAATTGATTTATTCCTTGGATAAAAAGTTTATCAATTGTAGCATTATGGCTTATGCAAACTTCCTCAGAAGTTAAGTTAATTTAGGTTATGATCAGTACTTTAAGCGCTGTTCGTACATCGTGGAGTAGTAAGGCATGCTGAAGTTGATACAGCGCTGCAGATCTGCTGAGAGGGACGCGACATCTGGAACTTTACTTACAGTCTCTGGTTTCAGGAAGCACGTGCTTTCCCGGAAGTTGTGAAAAATCGCCATGTTTTCTATGATCTGTTTCATTTTTGAACCAACAAGCCAGTCCTCGACACACTCTGTGCCTTGCTGCCATGAAAGAAGGGAGTCGGTGTAGGGTATCCTCAGATGCTCGCAAAGAGACGATAGTACCCGAGCGGGGTTGCAGACAAGGTCGTCTGAATCCACAATAATGGGGTCAGCGTCCAAGTTGCCGTCTTTGACAAACTGCCACAATTCAAAGATTTCCTTGTAGTTCAGACCAGGAGGCACACGCATCGGGGACAGCCGATCCAAGGCGAAATCCTCCATACCCACCTGGATTCCCCTCTCTTCCTCTAGAAACTCTCGGTTCAGCTTCTTCCAGGACGGGAACATCTTGGTCGGGTGCCTGATCAAGAACACGTGTCGGTATCCCCTCGGGATGTCTTTGTACCTGCCACGGAGCCAGGGAGCTATCTCCTTTGCCACGATCACCGTCTTGCCTGGGTAGTCAGCTTCCAGTTGCCGCCTTGCCCAGTCGTAGCTGCAGATTGAACTTGGGAACCCTGACCCAGGACCTTTGATTAGCCCATCCTCGCCCACCTTGATGGCTGCGTTGACTGGCTCCTCGACGAGGACATCTGGGTCAAATCTCTCAGGCCCATTGTAGTAGGCTGTGGTGTAAATCTCAAAGATCACCTGGGAGTCAGGAAAGTTGCTTAAGCTCTTCAAGAGAACAGAGGAGCAGGTCCTGGGAGTGGCCCACACAAGGACCCGAACAGGGTTGTCCATATCTGACATTGCGCTGCAACACAGGAGCTGAAAGATAAATTACTCTGATTATTATTTTCTGGTAATGTAACCAAAGATTCCTGGAAAGAAAATCCCCAGGCAATATATAGCTCACAAGCCTGAAGAAACCTGTAGAGTGAAGACAATAGGAAGCAATTACAGCTTTTTTTGAGGTGAGAGGAAAACACCCAGAAGAGTATTCTGGGGAAAACCCACGGAATCAAATGAAAACTGAAATCTCAATCCTCATGTAGACCAGGGCAGGAATCGAACCTGAACCCTATCAGTGGAAGGCGAGGAAAGAAAGCACTGCACCAACTTAAACAAAGAATGCCATACTTGTGAGGCTGCACCATTATGTACTCATCTCCTGGTCATGATTACAAATCTAATAAGAAAACATTCTCGAACATCAAAATTTCATACCTGTGTAGTAGAATATCTTATGCAGTTGTATTAAAGTTCGATTGAAAGAGTAGCATAAAAATTGTGTCCTTAGCCTTTTCTATATTTCGCTTGGACCCTGGTCCCTTGTAGTTCAGATGATAAGCTTAAGTCATAGGAGTTTGTGTCAATATGTGGTTATAAAGGTTTACCAGTCACGACCAAACTAAAAAAAAACAATTTGATGGTTTAAAGGTATTAATAGAAACAGATAAGGATTGTCGAGAATCTGATTGTGTCTTTTATGATAGTTCAGGAGACAGAAGAGTGAAAATGTCAGTGGACAGTAAGGTTTAAAGGAAACATGCAGTGGAAATTCAGCTCGCCTTGTTTTCATGCACATTACTATATGTGTTGCAACAATACATACAAGATCTTAATACTTATTTTCATTGGAAGTGACAAGAAAGTGGTAATTTTTCAATTATTAGCAAATCCTTTCATCAATACATGTAAGAGGGCCCTATTTTGCTTTTGTCACACAAGGTACTCCTTGTTAAGATTGCATATGAATAGTACAACAATTAGTCCTTCAAAATTACCCCCCCCCCCCAAAAAAAAAAGTTTTGAAGAAATATTGGTCACTACTATGTCCAAACAAGCTGTTTAACATGATAAACAAGTAAAAAGTGGAACTCTAAGAAAATGAAGAAAACTTTGATATATATTTGTACACAAAGCTACTGTTCTGCCCTGAATGACATCACACTTTGGCTCTTAAATATGGACATTTTCATTAGCATAGAAACTTAACTGTTGAAATTTCTCCCTTTTACTGTTACAAAGGAGGTGGAAAGTCATAGTTTACATGGCAAGAAAGCTGTTTTAAATGTATTTAAAGTCATAAAAATCCTATTGCATGTTCCCTTTAAATAAGAACAGCCAGACAGGCTCGTAGGTTGATCTGAATGGATTTGCATACGGAATGAAGCGTAAAGCTCGACACAAAATGCATCATGTTTTTATTCATTCTTTAGTTGTTGACTGTTGAGCCAGCAGAGAGCACTTTTTTTTTTTTCAACCCAGCATATTTTCCAATTTCCTCAGTCATTTTTAGTTTGTATATTCAAAACTTGAATTTGGTCTCTTTTCCAGTTCTGTGGCATTCCTTGCTGAGCTGCCGGGCACCGGTGCCGTCCATCCCTTCCCAAAGATCGAGTCGGTTTTGCTGTATCGCTACGAGACTGTCTACGACTACTTGATCATGTGCTGCGAGGTGAGACTCTATTATATTAAGAAACTTACTTTCTTGGTTTGAAAACGTCTTGTGTGCACAAGTATTCACTACCTCTTTTTAAAGCCAGAGTCCATCATTTGCAATGACCCTAAAACCTGTCTCGTCCAAAAAATCAATTTATTGTGTGTTTTGACTGTTTGGAACAACAAAGAAAATGACACAGAATACTTGTTTCAACAACTGTCACCAACTGTAGCACACAATATTTTGATTAACAACCCTGGTTAGGCAAACAATATATTTATAAAATCTACTTTTTTAAAAGACGGGCCTTCAAAAGGACTTTGTTGCATATTGTTAACGTTTAAACTAAGTTTTCATCGCTGGTGATGTTTGAAGATAATTGTGACGACGATTGTTGAAATCGCATTTTTGGACGAGACAGGTTTTAGGGTCATGGTGTTTAAATGGTGATATTTTTTGAACGGATTGACAAATTTCAGTAATTGTTCCATCCAAAAGTAGCTTATGATATTGGCTTTCCAGTCATTATTATTTTTGGTGCTACATATTTTTTTAAATATAAAATATAATTTTTGGGGTTTGGGTTTCGCTTTTTTTGACTCACCTTGTAGAAGAAAAGCATTGAAAAATTGGAAGACATTGAGAAATTGGAAGACATAGGGCTGGATAGCTCAGTTGGTATTCAGTGACAGTGAGGGGTTCGAATCTCACTTTAGTCCATTTTGCCCTTGTTCAATTAAAGGGGAACACATTTTTTTGCAACTTTCTACTCCTCTGAAATGTATGGAAACTATTTGACATCCCTTTTGGGTTAATTTGATTAAAAGGGCATTCCTTCAGACATTAAAATTTCCAATGCTTTTCTGGACAGATGAGGGCGCTGTTGCTATGATGTCATTTCAGAAAGACACCTTACTTTGTGGGTTTTCTTTTAAATTTGTGAACCTAAAAAATTTGCTCATTGAAAACATCTGTGAGAAAAATTTGCTCATTGGGTTACTGCCATGTACTGACATAACAACAAATCACCAAAGAAGAGAAAATCTACAGCAGCAAAATATCAAAAATTCTGGCAACTTTTGGTTCAGAAATAGCTGTAACATGGAGGTTTCTGCCTGAAATGACATCACACTTTTGCTCATGAGCATTGAAATTGCATTAACATAAAAACCAAAAAGGCACCAAAATACCCAAAAAAATGACAAAATGAAAATTTAAATTTGGGTTTAAATGGGAAACAAAAGGTGCATTTTCAACGATTGCATTAAAAAAAAAATTATGAAAATATCGTTTGAAATGTTGAATTCTTTTCAATCTTGTAATGGGTTTTGCCCAGTACTGGAACTATTTCAAACATACTGTATGTGATGGCTGAGGGCTGGCGAGAGAAAAAAAAACTCACAAGCTTACTCTTGGTGGGACTCGAACCCACAACCTCTTGCTTACTAGTGCAGACGCCTTACCACTCGACCACAGAGCTTGCCAGGGTCAGCTGGCCGTTTTTATCTGACTTCAGTCTTGTGATTGATTTCTTTCTTTCCGTTTTTCATTCCCTAGCTACTCTTTCTGCTCCTGGTGGCAGTATCCTGCAAGAGAGAGGTCCAAAAACTGGTCAAGATTAGAGCCGCTTTCTTCAAGAGCACTTGGTCATGGATGGAGGCAAGTTTTTTGTTTGATTTAACGGCGCACAGTCTCATGAAGCAGTCGTAATTGAGTCAGTCACAAGTCGGGCCACATTTGGCTGGGGAATGGATTTACTTGTGATGATTTGTGCATACTTGTGCAGACTTGTGCATACTTGTGCAGACTTGTGATGTCTTGTGATGATTTGCGATGACTTGTGATGACTTGTGATGATTTGTGATGTCTTGTGACTGCCTGTAATGAATTGTGGTGACTTTGATAACTTGTGATGTCTTGTGATGTCTTGTGATGACTTATGATATCTTGTGATGGTCTGTGATATATTGAGGTGATTTTTGATGAATTGTGATAACTTGTGATATCTATGAGAACTCACTAATAAGTTATTTTTACCTGAATCTGGAATGTCACTCTGAAATGGACGTTACAATGTTTACATTTGATCTCTTTTTTCTCTCCGTAGATGGGCATGATAATCTTATCCCTGACCTACTTTGCCATGTACGTCTGCCGTTTCATGTATGTCAACAGTGCCACCCAGCACCTGCGAGAGACCTACTTGGAGGAGTTTGTCGACTTTTCCCTCCTGGCCTACTGGGATCAGGTTAGTCATCTTGAGGAATACCTTAATATCCTCCAGCTCTCAGCCCCAACCCTAAGCACTGAAGTAAGCGTGTCTGTTGCTGTGCTTATGCTTACGGTCTCCGTGAAATGGCAGAGGCTCTGTTAGCAGAAAGTCGTGTGCTTAGCTGCGCCGTAAAATTGGGCCCAGAACATGAGTGCAGTAGATCCCAACAGGGATCCTGAAAGTGGTCCCAAATGGACTCCATTGCATTGGGTACTGCAGTCCATCCATTCAGTTTATCCTGTTAATTTTTCGGCTCCAGATACTGAAGGACTTGCTGGCCAGCTTGATCTTCCTGTCCTCGGTCAAGTTCCTGCGTGTGCTCCGCTTCAACCAGACGGTGGCGTTGTTTGGGGCGGTCATCGACGAAGCCATCAAAGAAATCCTGACATTCGCGGTAAGATTTCAGCTCAACTGTGGTGCAAGTTCAATGAAGGACTGTGGATAACCAGAGTTCGACTGACTATCATTGAACGCCCATAGCAGAACTATTTTTAGAGGTTTCGTTGATTCTCTCCTGTGGCACGAGGGTTTTTTTCTGGTTTTCCTCCCTCTGCAAACACTTTTGACCTCTGGCTATGCTCCGTGGTAAGACATGGGTCGTATGATGTCTGCCTAAGGTACCGTTACATGCCTTCAATTCCACCACATTGCAGCTGCGTCCTTCACAATTCAGCTTCTGCTGCGAGTAAAGATGACTGGCCCTCCGAATGTATTTATTTATGCTGGAAAGTGGCTACACCTAGTTGCAGAAAGAACACGAACTGTCCAGACTGAGCCATGAAATGTTAGAGAGTATTTCTTTGCCTTTACAGCTGTACCTGTTGGTCCTGGAGATGGCCTTTGCCTGCCTGGGGGTCCTCCTCTTCTCCACCCACTTCTACCCCCTGAAGCACCTGTACATATCCTCCACCCTCCTGAACTCCATGGTCATGGGCCGGCCGCTGGACTACGGCGATCTGGCCGCTGAGTTTCCGATCCTGTGGTATCTGTTTTACTTCGCGTACGTGTTCAGCATGATCATCTTCATGGCCGGATTGGTGAGTGTATTGGACTTGATTCCATTCTTCAAACTGGTTGTCAATTTTTAAATTTTTTTGTGCTTGGTTCTGGGGTTCCTGTTTAAATGTTTTGCCAATTCAGCAGTGTTTTCATTGCATAATGCACCTTGAGCAAGTTCAGTACAAGTGCTGACTTTGAGAAATCCACAAAAATATTTTGCAGTTGAAGAGAACTTCAGTGTCCAATTCAAGTTGAATTGGCGATCGTGTATCTACGGGCCCGGTTCCCACAAGGGAACAAAATCCACTTTCAAATTATTTAACCAACCAAACTAGTTGGCGACATTAAGAATATATTGGTATGTCATAGTCTATAGATAAAGGGCAGGGTTTTGAATTTTGAGGGGAAATTTGGGGGTAAACTGACGATGACAGCGACAAAACGCAACACGGAAATAAAGATGGCGATCACCGCAGGATGTACCGTGAGCACGCAAGTCGCGCTGCACAGCACCAACAGGCCCGTAAACCGCGTAGGAAAATCGTAATTTCTATCCCAAGAAATTGTTCAAAAATTACCAAAAAGATGTCATTACATTGAGAGAAGTCTGCTTTAGATTGACAATATCATTTTTTAGGAATAAAAATAATTCTTAAATCTAATTTGATCGAAACAAAACAGGGGCCCTACACTACACGATCGCCGTTGAATTCAGTTTATACACAAGACCAACTTAAAGAGTCTCCGATTCAGATAAAAAAAACACAAATGAAAGGGTAAGTGTTTTGTAAGACCTTAGTTTAATCCTGATTCTGAAATCTTGAAGCTCTTTGGGTTTCTTTAGATCGTTAGATCTTGAAGTGGGAACTAATTTTGAAATATTTTCATCTCAATCCATCAGATCAAGGCCATTCTATGCCACAGCTATCGGCAGGTCAAGCAGCGTCAGGTACCGGCCGTCGGAGGCATGGAGGTCCTCCATTTCTTTTGGAACAAGTTCCTGATCCGCGTCGGCCTGAAGGAAGCACCCGAAGAGGACAAGCCCATGACGCTACCCACAGTAAGCGATCGCTCAGTACGGTTGCCTGTTGCTTGTACAAGCTTTGTTTGTAAAGTAACTTCAGGAGTAAAAATTAGGGTCGGGATTAAAATCCAGATTTTCTAAAATTCGGTTTGAATTCCACTACTCAGAATATTCATGCAGTATTCGTGAAATTACATGCACAACACACAGTATTTAAATTCATATCTACCCTGTGCAAAATTCCATCATTTTTTTTTTCCACAGGAGTTCACCATGGCTGAGATCGAGTACCAAGTGGACGAGCTACTCTTCCGCATGAGTGCCATCACCCACCAGCACGGCCTGCCCGAGAAAACCTACGGTTACTTCGAAGACTCGGACGGAACTCATAACATGATGGAGGACGGAATGTCCAGCACATGCTCGGAGGTACCTTAAAGCCGTTAGCACCTTTACTACATTGTATAACATCGTATAACATTGTATAACATTGTATCTATTTCCCAATGCATGCATAAAACCCATACAGTGCTTGGGCGGGTTTGGGCAGTACAGGGAGTGTCAGGCAGGCCGGTTTGGGGTTGTGCAGGGTGTTATGTGTCTAGTCAGTGATAAGTAAAATCCGCTATTGGAAACTCCATGGGTGGCTTGTGTGTAAAGCGCTCGTCTCTCACCAAGGTGACCACGGTTTGAATCCTGGCCGCGGATCACATGTGAGTAGAGTTGTGCGTTGGTTCTCTCCTGTGCCACGAGGGTTTTTCTCCGGGCCCTCCAGTTTTCCTCCCTCCGTAAAAATCAAACACTTTCGATTTCAGGCTTTGCTCCGTGGTCATATATGGGTCGATGTGGCCGGCAGCCATAGGTGCCTTTACGTGCCAGCGGCCCGACCACGTTGTAGCCGCGTTCTTCGCAATTCAGCATACCAGCTGCGAGTAAGGATGATTAGCCTCCCAAATTATTATATTAAACCACCTAGTGTGAATTATTTGATCCATCAAAAAGTCATTGGTTGTGGTATTAAATGCTTTACTGGATTCGAGCCAGCAAGCCAGCCCAGTATGGTGGTTGAGTTGTTAAGATGTCAGCGCTTGTAATCAGGAGGTGATGGGTTCAAGTCCCACCAAAGCAAGGTTGTAAGTTTATTCTAAGAAAGCACGCAGTTGCATTAAAAGTTAGTCACTCTATGTGTAAGTCGAAATCTTAATAATCTTATTAGTGGTGACTTCGGCCGCATCGGAAATCTTTTATCTAGACTTAGTGTCAGGGTCTTCGCCCATAACAACTACGTGGAACAAGCCGACCCAGACCTAGCCTTAGTGCTGCAAGCCTGATAAGGACATGGCTTATGGCTTATTTATGTCGGCGATTCGTATGATGAGCATGGAGTCCTAGTCACAAACTCTGGTCATGTGGACATTAATCTTTTTATTCATTTGTCTTTGGTTTTTTTAGCTCAATTTCGTTGACAGCACTCATCTTGAAGACGGAGCTCAGAAGATGGAGGCCCAGTTGTACGGCCACAATCCAGAACTAGCAGATGGTAACTGCTTTGCAGACGAGGATAGGGAGAAACAACTTAGGTAGATTTGGAATTGAGTTAGAAATAAACAGCCCTCTACAACTTCAATCATTCATTGTCATTTGGTTACCAGTGCCAAAGATTTTTACAAAAATTTAGGCTGTTAAAAAAAAAAAAAAAGAGTTGTGAGTTGTAAGGAAAGATGTTTTGCAGGGATTTCAAGTTTTTGTCTCTAATCGTTCCCACTGTCACAGTGTTGTAAATCGTCATTCAGTTCTTATTCCAGAAATTACAAATGATGATATGAACAATGTGGGGCTGATATAGTGCTTTAAACCAAAGGTTCCAAAGTGGTTCACAATTATTACCCCTGTTTATCAAGCCACGAACCATTTTTCTGCAGCAGCTTGAGATCAGCGAAATCTGGTCTCTACCCTCACTGGTACCTGTTCATACTTCTGGGTGGAGAGAGGCAGTTGTAGTAAAGTGTCTTGCCCAAGGACACAAGCACCATGTTCCCTGTCAAGGGTTCGAACCCATGTAGCACCGCACAAGTCGGACACTGTAACCATTGGACCACAGCGGTCCACATCTACAAATTTGCTACAATAACATATTTCATTTTATACAACACCTGAATCATCTGATTGGTGGATCGTTGATCACATGTCATTGAATTATTCGTCCCAACGCACGGTGCGTTGACAGATGAAATGTTCCATTCCACTCGGCTTCGCCTCGTGAAATGGAACACTTCATCTGTCACCTCATGAAATTATTTTTTCCATTGCACTCACAAACATTCATTATTTGTATAACAACACTCTCAATTGATAAATAAAATTGACCTGTTTAGATGACGTTTTTTTAAGTTTTTGTTTCCCAAGTTAATAAGCTGTGATGTTGTCTTCAACATGTGACTCTTTCCACGCAGGTCTGGGTTGGATATGGAGATCTACAAGCAGCTGCGGCATCGCCGCCTGCAGCACGACCTGCACGACAGCGGGCACGACACCCAGTCCACCTCCGAGCACATGGAGTTCGGCAGCGACGTCGCCTCCATGGACCAACCCTTGCCGTCGACGCCCAAACCACTGAACGTCCGCGACGCCCAGGGCCGGCCCACTTTCCCCAAGCCTTTACAGAATCTGGGTAAGCATGTCAATTCACCTCAAGGACCAAAGTGAACTGTGTTAGTTAAACTGCAGTTGAAAACAATCCAGCATTTTTATGTTCAACTACGTGATTTTTTTTTTTGGTTGAATTGTTCCGACAGGCATATTAGAAACAGTTCCAGCACCTGTCCGGCCACCATCAGCAATTTTTACCAATCGCAAACAAGCGTGGGGACAATCAAGCTCAGCTGAAGCCAAATCAGACAGTCAGGGATGTGTCATGACTCAGAGACCACCTAGGGTGGCCACACCCCAGGACAGATGCCCAGACAGACCCCCAAGTACGAGTGATGTGACCAGAAGGCCGTACACTGCGGGGGTGGTTGATAAAAGGTCAAGACCGGAGCACCGGCTCAAGCCAACCTCGGCGTCTTTTGCAAGGCGTGACCGGCAACTGGTCTCCAGTTCCGAGGTTTTAGACACGCAGAGCAGCTCGTCATCGTCGAGCTTCGTCCACCGAACTGACTCAATGTCCTCTCACGCGAGCGACTTGGGGATGTCACAGGTCAACGCTGCGCTCGGGGCGTCCCACAGAATTCGAGACGGGATTGCAATCCCCCTGGAACCGGTAATCAATCTGGATCAGCTGGTCCGGGACTACCCAGAGGGGGAAAGGCCGACTGTTGAAAGAGCCTTCAGCGTGGAGAGCTTCCCCTTGCCCAATGCGCTGGACGGTCTGTCCTCCAGCTCCGACGAGAACACGAAAGACACAAAGTCGGCCAAGCGCAAACACAAGGGCAGCAGGGAGTCCGAGGCCAGACACCGGCTGCGGAAAACGCGGTCACGTGGGAAGGGCAAAGGGCGGAGACGATTTGACGAGGCAATATATGTCAACGATGCCTTCAGCTCCGACAGCGGGGGCGACATACCAGTTATTCAGATGGGACCAACCATGCATCATGAAAGAAGATAAATAATTAGCCCTAACCCTGCTGAATCCAACAGGATCCAACTATGTCACATACCCGATGGAGCCTGTTGGATTGAGCAGTTAACCCCTTGTGTACATTCCTCATGCAAAATGTTGGATTCAGCAGGCAACTGAACCGCATTATAACGCCATGTTGGACTCTGTTGGATTCAGCAGACAACTGAAAATGAGGCACAGTGGATTGAACAGGAAAGTCCGGTTGGACTCTGTTGGATTTAGCAGGGTAGTCCTGAGGAAGTACTAGGGGGTTGGGGTTAATCAATAAGACTTAACGCCCCCTTACTGCCCAAAACCAGGGGTTATCAAACCAAACTGTATATAAGCTGTGCATCTTGTATTTCAAATTATATTAAAAAGCACATGAAAATCCAAGAATGTCTTCTTTTTTTTTACAAACTAACGTGTGCTTACTCAATTCCATCCAAGTAAAACAAATCCAGTGCTTTCAAAGTATGCACACAAAAACATGTGCCTACTTCATTCATTTGTTACATCAAAGTAAAAAACAAAAATCATCCAATATTTGAGTACCGAGTTGCCATCCAATTGTACAGTTCTGAAAGTCTTCTGTTATTTAAACCATTTTACGTTATTTAAATTTGAAACTCAATGTTCCCTCCATGTATTAAATTTTGAGAGTTGTCATTTTTTCCCGATGGAATCACTATTTTGTAATCAACCATAAAGCAGCAAAATTTAATACTCATTTACAAAATCTTCAACTATTATGTTATTCCAAAAATTAACATAAAATCATTGTAAAAATATTTCTGGATTTTATGATTTTTCAACCAAGAGCCCCGTCCACGTAAATTGAATATTAAATGAATATTTATGTTGGTTTTTATTCAGTCCAAATTTAGTTGTCACTGTTGATTTTACCTCCTTTTTATAAATCTAGGGCATAATTTTTTTTCAGTATTGCGTCCTTAAATAAATTTGCTCGCTCAAATCAGGAAAATACTTTGATCAACTAAAGATGTACTTTGCAAACGAACTATTTTAAAGCTAAACTAGCACACTTTTCTCCGTTCTCAAGGTGTACTTGTAGAACTTGTGTACAAATATGTTAACAGTATTATTTTTTATAAAGGTCATGTAAATGAAATGCATTTTTGCATTATCAAGAATATATTTTTACATTGTACATTTTGTACATGTATATATTGTTTAACTCTGTAACTTATTCTTTTTTTAAAAGAACGAATAAAGCTCTGCCCATAACAAACAAACTGGTTACAATTCTTTATTTTTCATAAATTTATCAAATTGAATTTGAATTTGCGTTGCAAGTCTCTTTTTTTACAGCATGGCAGTTTATGGATATTTTATTTAAATAAATGCATATATTATGCGCATTCAAATGAATCTAGCTTAAAATAAACTTCTTATGTCAGACAAGCAAAAAGGAATTATTCTCAAAAACATTTTTTTTTAAACCCTCGAAGAGGCAACCTGCACTCTTTCTGAAAAAGTTCCGAGTAGAAAAAAATAGTACTACGAGAGGTGGAATGAAATATTATTTAATGGCTCCAATGCTTCATCACCCAATAGTGACCTTGTTACGAATATGCATGGCCTTGAATTGGCTCCGCCCATAAAACTAAGACACACCCCTCCTGGGCGTGGCTTAGTTTGATTCCACTTTTTGTGATTGAATTATTACTCTGTATTTCTTCCAGTAAAAAATAAAAAATTGTGTAGTACCTGTCACCCTGACAGTTGCAGATTTACGTAGACGCGAGTATCTCGGAAATACTCTTGATGATCTTGCCAGAGTTTTCTTCCTGTTGGAGGTAAAAATGGCCCCCCGGTAGGTAAGTGGCATCAAATGAACCCGACGTGACTGTTTTCCAACCTGAAAAAAAAGATGAAAAATTGAATTATATCTCGGACCAATATTTTAGAGTTGTTGTCAAATTTCACAATTCAATATTTCAAGTTGGGTCACCAGTAATTGGATTAACAACACTGACTTTTGCCATAGGTTTTTTTCAATGTCATGTTTTGTAAAGTACGGACTTGAATAAACACTTCAAGAACTAATTTTCAACACAAAAGAAAATGTTAACGTTAACATTACAGTTCAAAAGTTGAAACGACATTTTTAGATTAATATACTTGGGGTTTTCAAATTAAGTGCGCCTACAAACATAGCCACAAATCTGAAATTATTGTCTCGTAAAACCAACTTTTCGTCTCTTTGAAAGAGTTGTACAAATTTCACCTGTTCGGCGTGGACTTGCTTTTGAATTGGGAAAAGTACATGTACCAAATATTCAAACATTTTTACAGGTGGCTTGAATAAGCCATTTGCAAAAAAAACTATACTCGGCGAGTTAAATGTGAACAACATCTGGTACACTGACTTACTCATAATGCTTGGCACATTTTAACCTTGAATTCTCCAGACTAATGACACTGTTGCTACATCACATGATAAGGGGCAAGCTCTTGCATAGTTACGTAATGTTCACAATGGGTGAGAATGGCACAAAGACACCAGACCATGCCGGAGCTGGGGGTTGCTAGCGTAAGGCTTGCCCCAAATCACGTGATATAGCAACAGTCTCTTTGGTCTGGAGAATTCAAAGTTAAAATGTGCCAAGCATGCGAACGAGTCAGGGTACCAGATGTTCCTCGAATTTAATTCTCAAATGGCTTATTGTTATCCTTCATTGCTCTTCTGTAAAAACATGCTTTCTCGCAGTGCTAAAATACTTTCTGTATACACCATTTCAATGAGAAGTTTTATATATGATGTGCTTCGTGCAGAGAGATGAATATTTGATTGAAACTCACACTCAATGTCGTGATTTCTGCTCGTGTCCTCGGCACCTTCAAAGAAATTGATAGGACAACTGAGGATCGGCTCTGGTGGGGCTTCTTTGCTGTAAACGGGAAAAACAGAATTTAAATTGTCTTGCAAAAGACTCAACAACACTGTTGAAAAAAATCAATCGAAAGTTGCTCTCTGTTTTGAAAACGAAAACGTTTTACCAAATCACCCGCACTTTCTTAAAGACCACCTTCTAAACATGCTTTCATCTTTAAAGGGAATATACATCATTTGCTTTTGCTGTAATTTTCAGAAATGGATGGAATTGGGGGGTTGGAAATATAAAGCAAATATAGTTACACTGACTTTTTGGAGGTTTTGGGTTCGAAAATGCTATAAAAACCAAGAAAAACGATCATTTTCCTGTAGTCTGGTTCCCTGACTCCATATAAGAAGAAACAGAGCAGTTTACATACAATGGGGAATTGTAAGGTCAGGGAACCAGTCTAGCTGGCTCGTACCCGTTCATAGGTTTGTAATCGATTGCAAACAAGTGCAATGGTCAATTGGGGCCAGTATTTGAAAAAAAGCCAGTTGTTTCCAACGCTGATCGGCCGATCAGCGTTGGAAATTGATACAAAAATACCACTTTTCGTGAAAATGACAGTATACCAGGTGCCATAATTTTACAGGATGCTTTAGACTGTTATTTACCAACATCCTATTAAGGTATTTCGCAAAAACTTGGTAGTTTTATTTTTCGATGTTTGCAAATGTTGTATATTCCCTTTAACAAATCCAAAAATAGTCTGCATCGATAGTTTACCCGTAGTGTAGCAGCATCATCAGGTCCGCCTTGATGCACGGAATGTACATTTTCAGCAGCTGAGGCCGGGCCATGACTTCCTTGGGTGTCCCTCCCAACTTTTCAAGTCTCGCCAAGAACTCGTCGTCCGTGAGTTGGTCCACGGGCTTTTCGGAGACCATCTCTTGGCGGACGGTGGACTAGTAACAGAAATGTGAAAAAAGTGGACTGAAATGATTTGTGATTTACAAAAGTGTATTTGTAATTGACTTGTGACTGACTTGTGATTGGCTTGTGATTGGCTTGTGGTCGGCTTGTGATTTGCTTGTGATCCATATGTGATACACTTGTGATTCACTCGATTGAATTGTAATTAACTTGTGATTGACTTGTGACTGACTTGTGATTGACTTGTGATTGACTTGTGATTGACTGGTGATTGACTGGTGATTTACTTGTGATTGATTTGTGATTGACTTGTGATTGACTTGTGACGTCTTATTACTGAAGTCCCCCACCAGTCTTTGAAGCATGCCCCTCCCCCTCTCCCCGAACCGTTCATGAACCACCAGGCACACACATAAGCATAACAGACGAGACAACAAGACACAGAGAGAAACTTGCCATCTTTAAAACTACTCACATAAGGTGCAGTTGCTCCAGAGAGAAACAAGTGCGTTGGTTCCATGTTGTGATGTGTTTTGAGGTAGCACGCCAACTCAAACGAAATAATGGCACCCAAGCTGTGAAAAAATGGCAGAACAGAAAACAAATATTATCATTGCAAACTATCACATGTTAAACCAAATGAAACAAAAAATATTTACAATTTCTATTAAAAGGTTGATCCTGGTGAGAAATATGTGTCCAGGAATTCAATTTATTGGTTAATGGCGCTTCATAATTTTTTTTTATAAAAAGAAAACTTTAAAATGTTCTATTCCTAAAATGATTTATAAGCGTGATGTGCAAGGGTAATATAAAAATATTTTCTTCTGAAAATTCTAAAAAAAATTATATGATGAGTTAATTTTTAATATAATGTATAATATTTTGAAAAACAAAAAGAAATCTATCAATTTTATTTTATTTTTTTACCTGTGTCCAAAGAAGGCAAAAGGCTTTTCTTGCAGGGTTGGCAGTAAAGCTTCACAGAGGTCCGCGATCAGCAACTCCAAATCGGAGTAGGGTTTTTCTTTGAAGCGGAACTCACGACCCGGAAGGCAGACGGGATTCACTATTCAGCCAAAAAGGAAACAGAAAATTTGATAGGTTCAACAATTGAAGGAGAAGAACCAGTTTGGAAGTGACCATGCTGGCTTTCATACTGAAGCAACTGTCGGCCATCTTTGTTCCCCTGTTCCTGCCCCTGGAACACATTCATATACAGGAAACCGGCGACCAGAATCAGAAGCTTTTAGTTTTACTGAAGCTTATAACGATAGCAGTTGAAAATCACATTAAACTTAATACGACTGCCGTAAATATAGCCACCGCTTTTTGTTTTTACTTGGCCTAACTTTTTTTTCAATTTAGTTTGAGTATTTTTAAAAGGCAGTGTCAGAGACAAACTTTGCAAAAAATCAAAAAATGATCTTTGTCCTTACCCTCTATGCTTCCAGGGAAGTGTTTAGCCCAGCTTGAGTACAATCCCGTCCCACCTCCACCCCAGGGGAAGCAGAACAAGCGACAGCTGGGCACCACGGTCTGTTGGCCTCTGCGACGGCTCACCCATTTGTCCATGGTGCGCTGGCAACTACTGTGTTAATCACTTCAGACGACTTGTGTTGTTCACGGCTGGCAATGAAAATCAAATTTCTTTGTTCATTGGGGGAGAAATATAACTTTTAAATTAAAGTACACCCATGAATGTGGCGTCAGTATATAACAAGATGCCTCGTTCACGGGTCTAAAAGTAAAGCAGCCATTATTTGACCTAGCTGCCCTAAATCTTAATTACCTACCCTGAAATTGAAAGAAAAAGGCTTACGTGCATCAGTTGTATTTAAATAGGCCTACATGAGTGAGGATGATGTCCCAATTTTTTCCGAGCATTTTCATGATTTTTGGCACATTTTGGAAGATTTCTAGAAAAAAATCCAACTAGTAAAAAAACACCCAAAGACGTAACAATATGAATATGGTTTCAGTGAGACTGAGTCGGTCGTGTCACTGTTATAAATAATATCGGTGATACCGGTGAGTGACCGGTAACCATGGTGACAAAAATTATACAATTGAGTCCCCCTAACCAACCATGCCAACTGGCGCTTGAACGTCCCAAATATCAAAAAAGAAGTACTAGCGCCCCAGTTAGTGGGACTACAATTTACTCTGAAAAAGTCTGAGTAGCAGCGCTGTGACTAGCTTGAGTAACTCCAGCTGACATGCTCCATATTCATTGAAAATTGAGCATGTCAGCTGGAGTTACTCAAGCTACACTGTGACTAGCCATCCATGACCATGGACTCAACTGATCGCATCGGCATTTATTTACTTCGAAACACGTCAAATCTGCGACGATAAAACTTAAAACTTACTCACTTTCGTTCCCCGTTTACTTCTGAGACGTATCTCGCTGTTTGTTGATTTGGCTAGCCCTGCAAACGTTTGTGGTCTTTCATTCACAGAACAAAAATTCCTGATTCTTCAAGTTCAGATTTACGTATCCGGGTTTGCACCGTACGTACGCCGACGTGCAGCATGCATGCGCATATCCCCCGCATATACATTTTTGTACATGCAACTAGCAGACGACTTCTTCATCAGCTTTTTTGCATGATAACCTTTGACACAATCACGCGATATTTTCCTCGTTCCCGGTTTTCCGGTGCGTATTTTTTTTTTCGCTCGTAGTCGTATCCACTATTCTCATATTTTTGGCAATAAAGAGTGAAGGAAATGTCACTTTCGCATTCAGCAAGAGGGTAAAAAAGGAATAACTGTCCGTCCATTTGCAATATCTTGCCATTTTTTCTCCAACTTTTTTTTTAGCGAAGGCTCGATCAACTGCGTACGTCATCGAAGGGGATTTCCCTCCCTGCGCGCATGCGCACTACAGAAACGGCCTTGCCGCGGGTTGGAGCTGCAGGAATTTTTGTGAGTCTCTGAATTTCAATTTGCTAAAACTCATCTTTTTACCCATTTTTGTTTCAATTTGCAACTTGTTTGGTGTGTGCAAAGTAATATAGGATAACTTGGTTACTGTTGTATTTTGTTTATTTGCCTGCCGACTGCGAAAAACCTGAAACTTGTTTGTGTTTTTATCACACTGTCGACTATAAACCGTTCATGCCGTTTGCGGCGGAACGTTCGTGTGCTGTTAATGTTATATGTTATGACGTCATCTAGTACAAACTGGTTCGGTCTGGTTCTCTCCAGTCCACCCTCCACTTACTAAGTTGTGGCGGCCATATTTTTGCAAACCCTTCCATTTCTTGGAAAGAAATGCTTATTTCCGAATTTTAGGTTTACGCCTTTGTCCGGGTTTGCAGTTTATTTTTAGCAGCAGTCATGGCCAGTGACATGTAGCGTGAATATTTGACTCCATGAAATGTGGACTCATTACATTGGTAGTACTGCGCACGCTAGCCCCAAATGTGGCCTATTTACTGGACTGCCTCCGTAAACATAGGCCACACATCCACATGTACAAAAATCGTGTCGACGGAGCCAAATTTTGATTTTCACATTTAGGCTTAGTTTGTAGGGTTTTTTTGCTTTAGAAGCATACTCACCCTCTTTATAGGCTAATCAGAAAGTGCTGCCTTTTTCAGATGTCTAATTTTTGTGAAATTTCATGTTGAAATTTTGATACGCAAACGTGTAAAAATTTCAACATGAAATTTCACAAAAATTAGACATCTGAAAAAGGCAGCACTTTCTGATTAGCCTATAAAGAGGGTGAGTATGCTTCTAAAGCAAAAAAAACCTACAAACTAAGCCTTAATGTGAAAATCAAAATTTGGCTCCGTCGACACGATTTTTGCACATGTGGATGTGTGGCCTATGTTTACGGAGGCAGTCCAGTAAATAGGCCACATTTATGGGGCTATGCGCACGCGTGAGTACGATATTATGCTATTTTTAGGATCGTTTCGGTAGAGTGACCTGTCACGTGCGAGGGATCAACCAATAATGGGGAAATAGGGGTCCGATTTTCATAGGAGTCGGATTTTCATGTGACACCGGCAAGAAAAAATGTTGACTTTAAATTAAACTACTTGTTTTCTATAGTTTTTTGTCATGTTTTCAAACTTTTGGGATTTTTTTTTACCCGGCCATGTCGGCCTTAGTTACATAGCAGTGTAGATCATATTGACCATGAATGTTTTGGGAACTTAAACATTCTGTTTCCGCACTTGCAGTGCCAGTGTTACTTCATATTTAGGAGACAGGAATCAGACCTAATTGGTTACAGATTTTAGTAGCCCGACTGCATCTGGCCGTACAGTACTAGCGCAAGCTCTGTAGTACGGCCAGACGCCCAATGCTCCCCTAAACGCTGAATTCTGATGTAGCGATTTTGCTACCGATTTTGATTGAGATTATCTTGAGCAAGATTATGAATATGCATTGCTCACTTCATAACCTTGTGTTTCACGGTGTTTGTATGGCCAGCCGCCCCGCGCACCTGACAAACGTCATGAACTAAATGCATATTCATAATCTTGCCCAAGTGCGCCCGCATAATGCATACATTACAATGCGGGGTTCTGTGTCTATGAGGCTCCGCTCACGCAGAGCATCATAGTTCTAGGAGTAGTAAAATCCTGAGTCAGACTTCGCGGCAAAATGCAACTACATGTATGGAAACCATGCAGTTCACAATAACATTACGTGTATTCCTGTTATCCTGATTTCCTGGTCCATTTGTCATTTGTTGAGTAAGTTTGTTGAAGATCATTTTGATGGCAGGCTGAGAGCTTTGCATTCTTGGAACTGTGCCCAGGCATTTGTTTATTTTGTTGGGACCATGACTCAGTTTTGGTTGTTAATAATTCTTTGTCCTTGTATTATACTTATAGAGAACTGTGCCATTGCGGTTGAACAAAATGGTACTCTCCAAACAATGCTGGTGTGTTACTGTCACTATGTTACACATACATTTAGTGAACAAAATTGGTACAAAGTTGGTACGGTTATCTTGTTTACACATTGATTACCGCAGGGTTTTTTTCCCATGTAAAAGTTAAAGACCATAAAGATGACACTTTGATTTAAAAAAAAAAATAATCTTGAGTCTCAATTCTCCACAGCCTTCTCTGGAGCATATTGCTCAATTTTTTTTAAAACAAATCTCAGCACTGAGGATTTTTCCAGAACGGGTGTTTTTTACATTTTGTTTAAACAATTCTAAGGGACACCGCTTGGCATTTCACAATGTTTTGGAGTCACAATCACAAGTTGCCGCTGAGGTTTGTTTCGTTATACAGCGAACAATAAAGTAAGCACAAACAGGAGATTTATTTTAACAACAATCTGGCGCTTTTTTGATATTTTCCTTATTCCTCAATATCGAAAATTTTGATAAAAATTTGTTATGATTAAAAAATTGCTATCAGCAATATTATTATGAAAAGAATATTGAATGATCAAATAATATCGATATATTGATGGTGCTTGTATAACCCGAAGATATCAGGAATTATGACAAGTAAATTTCATATTTTGTAGCCTGGGTTACAGCGTAGTTTTGTTAAGTTACGACTTTATTTAGTTGTTTGGCATGTCCAGATCCCTTGTTTTTTGTCCATGGGGAAAAGTCAAGTGACTGAAATAGCCTACTAAAAACTGGTCCAGTCACCTGGGGAAAAACCTAAGGAAACAAACAAAACGTTTAGCCATGGCAACCTATTTGGTTTGCATTGTTCACTTGTTATACAGAAGTAGGTGGTTTTGTCAGAGATTTGCCATGTCATTGCTGTGCTAAACTGTGAAAGACTTCAGAGTCACCAATATCATCTGTTGAGGCAGATTATGCGGATGAAAGAACTTAACAAAAAGCTTTAAATCTCAATGAAGTCTGTTACTAATAATTCATGACCTCCCTTTGTGGGAAGTTTCCGGTACTCGCGATAGTCATGAATATGCATCGTTTTGTCTGGTTTATATATGGCTGGTGGGAAAAACCCAAGTTTAAAGTGTACAGGTTTTGTGCTTTATGCCCCATGAATATAGGCAGAGTTTATATGATGCAAGAAAATTTGATTGTCACCAATGTATTAATTGATGCCCTCCCTTTGCGGAGATTTTCCTGGACTTGTGAGAGCTCATGAATATGCATGGTCTGTTGTCTGCGCTATATTATAGCTGGTGGAAAACCCAAGTTTACAGTAGTGTACAGGAAGCTATGGTTTGCATAATTTATATACAATGTAATTATAGGTGGAGTTCATAAAACAGTCAATGATGTAATATTTGAAACTTTGCATGACAGTAGGGTAAACTAATAGTGAGAGTTCACGGTAACACCATCTTTCAGATTTTCTTACGAGAAGATGTATGGTTCTGAAAATTAAGAGCAGGGTTCTGAAAAGAGTTTCACACCAGCTTTCTCTTTTCACAACCAGTCATCTCAAGATTTTCTCAACCGAGAGGTTCTTTTCAAAGTCACACATCTTCTCAAAAGAGATTCTGCCACATGGTGTTACCGCAAAGTCTCACTAGTTTGTCAATGATGGGAAGTTTCCTGGACTTGTGATAGTTCATGGATATGCATATCAAGGCGGAGTTTATATGATGCAAACCAATGTTGGCGCTGAGCCAGGTCATCCTAGTCTGCCATTGGTCAATACGTTGGTACATTGTAGTTGGTACATTGTAGGTACTAGTGCAGGGCCAGTCGAAAATGTGCGTGTTCGGAAGGGGCAGTTGAGAACTGCAGCTCGTGCAAACAACGCACATTATTCAATGGTGTGAAAGCACACTCGCAAGTTAAACTCACAAAATGTCGTCACCCCCCCCCCCCCCCCCCCGGCACATACAGTGCAGTGATGGTTGCTCAGTTGAGTACAAAATGCATGTGCCCGTGCATGCCACTCACGTATATGTACGTACGAAGACATAGTGTGCAGTGCTTATCGCCCTACAATGTGCCCGTCATTTTTGCAGGGCCCGTCAAAAAAATGCACCTGTTCGTTAGGGGCAATTTCAAAATGCTCATATCATGCAAACAACGCACACGATTCAATTGTGTTGTTTTCACATGTTAAACTCACACTCATAGGTTGAGCGCACTTTGTACATGTCGCCAGGCCATCCCCGGCACTGATATTCACCAATACGCCCGTGCAGCTACTCACCTACGTGAGTAAGGTTGCTCAATCCACCGCCTACAATAGTGGTTCAATCGACTGCAAAATGCATGTGCCCGTGCAGTCATCACGTACGGAAACATATGGTACGCAGTGCTATTCACCCATACTGGACAATGGTATCGCCCTACAATGCACGTGCGCGTGCTCGTCCTTTTTGCATTGTTTGCGTCATATTGAGCACGCGCGCTTTAGCTTTAACATGACGTAAACAATTGAAAAGAACAGCAGTGCGTGGAGTTCTAGGCTATACTCTGCCACGTTGAGTCTCAAAAAATGCTGCTTTTTTGCAGCTTTTTCGACAACCGCTCTTCCAAACCCCTTCAAATTTGGCACTGCACATTCTGGTGTCCCGAGCAATACACCCGCCGATTTTCAACTTCATACGGTGCCCAGTTCTGGAGATAATCGGCGGACAGACAGACAGACAGACAGACGGACAGACAGACAGAGATTCCTTGAATTGTAGTATAGATATGTAGGTGAATTAAATTGCAATGTACATGTACATCCACACAATTTTTTCTCTCAGAAAACTGATCACTTTAGACATTGCCTGTTGTATTTCGGGTCATGTTTGTTGCATGTTTGTTGGTTTTCATCCATTTTGTGATTAGCCTGTGAATTTATCGTACAGGTTTATCTCACTGAGAAAGAACAATGTTCCAGACACTTGTGTGATTGCTGTCTGTCTTTTTCATTCATAGTTTGGGTGTAGAGATCTATCAAAAAAACTTGACGTGAAAAACGAAAACCCAGTGACTGATTGGTGGTCCTAGTTCGAGAGAGAGAAACATCCAAAATGGGCCGAGCTGACAGGACCTCCAGCTTTAGGATGTCGCCGATTGTGCGGTAAGCTCACTTTATTTTCCTTGATGTAAAAAAAAATAATGGAAAGATTTCCATACACGAAGTTCACTCAACACTCTGTGTACAAACCCTATGAGATTGGACTGAAAAATTCTAAGTGTTTTCTAAGAAAATGCTTGTATTTTCTCATTGCTCAAATTGACTTTGATGACATGAAATTGCTATCTGGGGGCTTGTTAGTCAATACAGAGGAAAATTAGTGAACTTCGCATATGGTAATCTTGCCAAAATAATAATAATCAAGATCATATTGGACCCTAACTATAAATGTTTTTTTTTTAATGAAAGATTTACTGTCCGTCCATTTCCAACTGATGTTTTAATTTGATTGAAAAAATGTGGGGTTTTGTGCTCTTGGTTGACTGTCTGCAACCCTCTGGGGCAAAAATGCACTGGAAGTTCGGGAACAGATCGTCCTCGCATGTAATCTTGGTCCCCTTTAATTTATCGATTTTGTATTTTGTAAGGAGCAGCACTCCTTTACCCCACGAGAATTGAGTTATTGTGGGGACGAAAATAATTCAAAATGTTCTCAGAAATTATTTCACAACTACACCTGGGCCAGTTGTTAGTTCTGACATCTCATTCAAATGAACACTTCTGTATTGCTAGAAACATAGCAATTTAAAAACCAAATCTACTTTTTGGAGTGAAGCTTCAAAATAATACCAAACTAAATGTAGTTAAATGTGGGAACCCGTAGTTAAAGGGAAAATACAACATTTGCAAACATCGAAAAATAAAATGACCAAATTTTTTACGAAATACCTTACAGGATGTTGGTAAATGACAGTCTAAAGCATCCTGTAAAATTATGGCACCTGGTGTGAAGTAATTTTCAAGAAAATTATATTTTTGTTTACATTTCCAACGGTGGTCGGCCGACCACCGTAGGAAAAACCTAACTATTTTTCACTACTGCTCCAAATTTACCATTTTTTCCGGTCCAATTTTGTTTGCTAATTGGTTTTATGTTCATGAATGGGTGCAGGTCAGCTAGACTGGTTCCCTTAGCGTACAATTTTCCGGCATTTGTAAATTGATCCATTTCATCTTCAGTGGAGTCATGGAACCAGACTACTTGAACATTTTTGTTTTTCTTGGTTTTTCCAGCATTTTCGAAAACAAAACTTCAAACATGTCAGTGTAACAATAATTTGATCTATACTAACCCCTCAAATAGTTCATTTCTGAAAATTAAAGCATTAAGCCAATTATGTACATTCCCTTTAAATGTACCGGTACCATATGAAAGTTCTATGACAAGGAAATACTTTGAAACTAAATTCTGAAAGAAGTTTTACTTTTACCAATAAGGTACTGTACATGCTATGAATGTAAAAAAACAACTCACAACTGTTTGCTGTGAGTGTTGAAATAGTATTTTTGTGTGTAGTTCATGCAGCAGGATAGACATGCGGCCTAAAGAAAGAAAATAGTGTACAGAGTTCAAAACAGCATATTTATTTACTTTTGGGGAGGGATTGTTGGAACTTGGCCAGATATGAGCTGAAAATTTTCCATGTAAATATGCACCGACTTTACTTAGCATTGGACACCCTCCCCCCCCCCCCCTTTGAAAAAAACCCATCCATTCACAGAAGGGCATCTCTTTTGTTGAATACATCACCACCTACAGCATTCTAATTTCCACCAACATGCTATTTTTAGCGGCTTTGACCTGCCTACAGAACCCCAGTTCTTGGGCCAGAGCCAAGAAATTGTCAGTAACAGACAGGTTGTTCCATTATTGCATATACATGTAGGGGTGTACATGCCATCATTTAAAGTACAGTTGGCAGACCCTATTTTATTGATCTGGAATCCATTATTGGCGACTAGACCCCTAAACCTGTTTTAAACCAAACGTATCACACTGTTATTTCCTTAATCAAAGATTTTGTTACAATAAAGTAACAATCCAACCCCCCCCCCCCCCCGTTTATTTTTTTAAAGTTGCGTTCCCCGTGCTTTTTTTGAGTTTCATCCCGAAAAAAATAGATTCTTTTCAAAATTGCTATTTTTCTGGCAGTGCAAAAGTTACTCACTTTTGAATGAGACATGAGACATTTAAAATTGAATGTTTTTGTCTGGACATTTTTTAATACATGTACTAAATTGAGTTTTGTGGACTGTTATACGGTAGGAACCTGAAAACGCATTGTTGATGGGTGTATGTGTGTGTGAAGATTTAGACAAATTTTTCGACGATCAGTATATTAAAATAAAAAAAAATAAAAAAAAGTTATTCTGATTTAAATTTTAAAAACCAATTAAATAAAAAGAAATCGGATTTTTGATTTGTTTTTAAAAATAAATAAAAATCGCCAACCCTGCCTACCGGATTGTTACGCAACAGACCTTTCATGTACACGAGCATGATGGGGCACCGCCTATTTTACCTGCTAATGTGTAGATGTAAAAAATTTCCCGCCACTTTTCACCGGGTTGGCAACATGCCAAAACAAATTGTGCAGTCAAATCAATGCCTATTTTTAGCCTTTCACAATGTGCCTTTGTCTGCAAACAGTGAAGATCAGTCTGCTATTGTAGCTGTGACAAAGAACATGTACCTGTTAATGCCCATTGTTACCTAGTAAACATCCCATTGTTAGTAAACATTTTTATGGGGCAAGTTCAAATCAAATCCTAATCTAGTAAATTACTAAAAGGTAGTTTCCTTTATGTTACAAAATCATGCAAACAAAACATAAATAAATAGATGACGTTGAAAAATAAACAATTGACTGTCTTTGCACCCTTGTTTTTTTTGGCTATAAAAATTTCAATCCAAAAAAACCTTTGTTTTACAACCCACACCTACTAAGTTTTGTAGCCTGATGGTCCAGTTACTGAAACTACGTTTTGTGTGGGTTTTTTTGGGAGGGGGATATAATTTAATCACATGTACAATGTATGCCCACGTGTTTATTATTGAGTTTTTAAATTTTCTATTCACATATAACTTTGTTTTGCACCCCTTCCTGAATGGACCGATCCAGTAAGCACCGCCCCATGGTGTTCTGACCAATCACAGCCGTGATTTGTGTCCGACGTGCGTGCACAAAAGTCTGACACGCATGCACGCACGTATGATGCGCGCAGCAGGGAATTGCAATGTGGCATTGGAGAGGAGCATGTGTTAATTTGCCCACGTGCGCAGTGGGAGGGGCTTACTGGATCGGTCCATTGCTAAGAAATGGCCTTGTTGTCCAAGCTTGTTTGTATTACAATGGCATGCACTGTCCATGAATTTTGTGGGTTTATAAAGTTTCTATTGACAATCTAGAGAGATTACATCATCTTTTTCTCCCCTTTCTCATTGATATTATAATGGTATCATGTGAAAGCTAAAGTGTTCACGTGCAGAGCACGTGCACTTGCAGTGCCCTGTTTGAAGGGGAAAGTCCCCGGTCATGTGATGGTCACATCAGTCATGTCTGACCGGCACTGGCATGTCTGGAATGTCGGAAATTATTGCTGGCTTGGCATCCACTCTAAATACAAACCATAAAACAACACCGCCCATTTTACCTGCACATTGTGTAGGTGTAAAATTTCCCGCCATTTCACCTTGCTGGCAGTATGCCACAAAAGATTGTGCAATCAAATCAATGCAAATATTTAGCTTTTCACAATATGCCTTTGTTTGCAAATAGTCAAGATCAGTCTGGTATTGTAGCTGTGACAAAGAACATGTACCTGTAGATGCCCATTGTTTGTAAACATTTGTGGGGCACGTCTGTTTTTTGTCGTCAGTTCAAAACAAATCCTAATCTAGTAAATTACTAATAAGTAGTTTTTCTAATGTTACAAAATTAACAAAGTTAATAAATAAATCTTTGAATACTGAATTGAGTTTTGTGGATGATGGGTATTATAGGAACCTGAAAGCTCCTTGTTGATGGGTGTAAGTGTGTGTGTGTGGGAAGATTTAGACAAGTTTTTAAAGTAAAAAAAAATAAATCAATCTGATTCAAATTTTAAAAGCTGACTTAAATTTAAAAAAAAAAACCTGAATTTTTTTTAAATAAAAAAAAAATTTCCAACCCAGCCTACAGGATTGTTACGCAACCAGCGACAGACCTTTCATGTACATGAGCATGATGGATCACCACCTCTTTTACCTGCACATGTGCAGGTCTACAATTTCCCGCCATTTTTCACCTTGCTGGCAGCGTGCCAAAACAAATTGTGCAGTTAAATCAATGCACATTTTTAGCCTTTCACGATATGCCTTTGTCTGCAAAAAGTCAAGATTAGTCTGCTATTGTAGCTGAGACAAAGAACATGTACCTGTAGATGCCCATTGTTAGTAAACATTTTTATGGGGCAAGTTTGTTTTTGTTGTCAGTTCAAATCAAATCCTATCTAGTAAATTTCTAAAAGGTAGTTTCCCTAATGTTACAAAATCATGCAAAGATAAATAAATCAGTAAATAAAATTTAAAAATAAAATAATTGACCGTCATCTCACTCTAGTTTTTCTGACTTTAAGCATTTCAATTCCATAAAACCTTTGTTTTACCACATGACATACCACCTACCTACATTTATTTGGCCTGATGGCCCAGTTATGCTGATACCATGATACTATGTTTTGTGGAGGGGGGGGGGGGGTTGGATAAGATGTAATCACATGCATGCCCACGTTTATTATTACGTTTAAAATGTTCCATTGAGACATAATTTTGTTTAAACCCTTCTTGAATTGTTAAGGAATGGCCTTGTTATCTAAGCTTGTTTGTATTACAATACACGGCAACTGCTTTGTTAGCATGCACCTCAATGACGTTTCCATTCACAATCTGGAGTGGTTACATCATCTTTTTCTCCCCTTTCTCATTGATGGCATCATGTGATAGCTAACTTGTTCACATGGCCGAGCACACGCATTTGCAGTGCCCGTTTGTTGTTATCATTTCAACACCATTCTACACAATAAACAATCAAATCATCCTGATTTTGGTATTTGTGCTTGCA